AAACTCAGAAACAGATAAAGGAAAACACATTAAATTTTAAATTTAAGTTTTACTTGGGCTTAACGTGAAAAGATTAGATTTTGGACAAAATCTCGGGGGGGGGGGGTACTTTATGGGAGGCCGTTTTTATATTTTATGGAATATATCTGTTATTTATGTTTGGAGAAGAAAATTGTTTAAATAAAAATTACTTCTAATATTATTATGTATAATTTTTGTTAAAAGACAAATTTTCCTGAAATGGTCCGTATTCGAGAAATTGGACAGAATGTGCAAAATTCGAATTTTTAAGAAAATTGTTAAACTAAAAGTTGTTTTTGATATCGATCTCTATAATTTTTGTTTTTTACATGATTTTTCTAAAATGGACCGTAATAGAAAAATTGGAGGGATAGTGATAAATTTCAATTTTTCAGTATTTTCGTTTTCAATGAATATCTATAGAAAAATGTTTCGAGTTATATGTATATGGAAAATGTATATATTTAGTTTATCCTCTAAACATTTATAGAGGTGCTGCAATAGGTTGTACAAAATAATCAGAAAAAGCCTATAATAACTAGATAGGAAAGTCATGTGTTGGACACATCAGATTTTTTAACTCAAAGGGAATATACAAAGCGGTGACACCGTTAGCCGAGTGTAAATCACTCGCAGCGTCCGTTTTAATTGATTTGTTTTATAATAATTAACATAAGTTGATTATTATAAGACATCAAAATATGGTTGATGTTTTGTTATGATCTAAACACATTTTAGAAACTTTTATAAAAAGTAACTTTTTTGTTTTAAAATTTTGTTTAGCTAATTTCGTAGTATTAACATAAAAAGTACAACATTTTATTTTTTCTTAAGATAAAACCGAGGACATTTTTTTTGGGCCGTAAGTCCCAATGGTTTTTTAAATATTTAAACTAATATATTTACCTAACTTGTAAAGTGACTTTTTGGCTATTGCGGTCATATTGTAGTACACGTTGAAGTGGTACCCAGTGAGCCGCCACTGGCATTTCAGTTCGAAAGGTGCGTGTGTGCGCGACAACGGCGGAATCGTGGAACAGTCAGTCGGTACCAGAGAGAAGACATAGGGTCCTATGATTGAACGTTTACGTTATCCGTAACGTACATGTTAGGATCAGTTTTAACAGTAATTAGGCAAGTTCGTATGATGAAAAACGGTTTCCAATACATTACTGTTATTTTCCGCCTGTTATGTTCTAATTTAACAGTTTTCCATCGTACAAACTTGCTTCGTTACTATTAAAATTCGACCTAACATGTACGTTACGGATAACGTAAACGTTCAATCATAGGACCCATTGTCTTATTTCTGGTCGGTACGAAGCAAGCGATAAGAAAGGGTCGATGAGCTTTGAACCCGGCGTAAAGTTTTTTTAACCTGTATTTTTCTGTTTGTTAAATTAATAAAAGTTGTTACGAGTCTCATAGTTTCATAGTTATAACTCCTCAGAACCCACACCAACTCAACGTTACGCTCTATGCAATGATAACAATATCTCGTTTTTTAAAAATAGTGCCCTTCTGCACGGTCTAATTTCGGATTACTTCCGGTTTTAGAATCTCCAAAATATTAGTTTTCAATTCAATAACAATTCAGCTTGTGATACTAAGTCCCCTACAGAATTCATTTCTAGAGCAGTTTTGTTACAAATAGCACCATACTATATACATCATCGCAAGTAATGAAACATGGATATACTGCTATGATCCCGAAACAAAGCAAAAAACGTCAGTTTCGGTCTTACGAGAATGAGTCGGCTCCAACAAAAGTTGTTGAAAATAGCCGAAACAAAAAAATGGTCGCCACTTTTTTTTTGAAATTACTGGGCACATTTCCACCGTAGTACTGGAGGATAGACGTACTGTTAATTCAGAAGGGTACACTACGCTATTTTTGTATCAGGTTCTCCACAAAGTTTGCGAAGAGAAAGGAGCATCTACTGCTCGTACAAATGAGTATTTGAATGCCCAAAACATAGAGACCTAGCACATAATGACTTATTTCCACGAAAAACGGATAGATTATGTGGTTTACATTTTACATCGGCCGAAGAAGCGGTCGATGCCTTTAAAAATAAAATAAACAAACTACGGAAAGAAGATTGGAGAACATGTTTTTAAAGAATGGTTTTTGCGGATACAAAAATACATTGACTGTGGGGGAGAATACTTACTTTGAAAAATTATAAATAAATTTAAATAATTAAAAATAAAAATCATCAAAATATATAGCCATACATAGATAATTTATCTATATAAGTTATGACTTCATATTTTATGTTGAAATTGTGACTTTTCTTGCAAAGCATAGAAAGCAGTGTTGACAAGTGAAATGAGTTTGATAAAATGTATTACTTGCAAATATACGACTGTAAAGATATCAGAGTTATTTAAAAATGTTCGTGATAAAAGTTTTAATAGGTTATTAAGTATTTTTATAACATTCACTCATTCATTAATATTCCATAAAGATACTCACTTGCATATTCCATTTCTTAATGGCAGGACGAAATCTTCTCTATACAGTCTGTACTGCACGTCTAAATAGTGTTCGATATCTCTATAAGGACCTTTAATAACGTTAGATCTCAAAAACACGTCTTGGTAACTGGTAATCTCCAGAGTAGTTGGATAAATATCCAAGTCTCTGAAGTTATCTGGTGGTTCAACATAAGGTTCTTCGTCTCTGTTAAAAAGGAATATATTTGGCGACGGTAAATAGGTTTTTACCGTACTTGAAGAGTTATTGCTCCGCTGACAATAGCAACATAATGTTAAAGATATTACAATAATTTTTTTATATACAAAGAGAATAAGTGGAACTGGTTCTAAGCATAATTTTTTCATAATATGGTCTTAATTCTAAATTTTATTGCTGTCTGCTATAGTAGGGATCTAATGATTTGTGGACTGTATAATTTTTTGCAAAAGATTTACTTGGACGTACAATAGTATTTGAATTTGAGTTTATATAAGGTCTACCTTAGACACATTTTTTGTGGATCACTTCATATTTCGTTGTTATCAATTTCGAGATATATTCATCGAGATAGAATAAAGTAGACGACTAAACACTATTATGCGATATGGCACTTCAAGTGACGGAAAAGTGTAATGAAAATGGCGATTCAAGTCGAACTTTTATTTATTTGAAGTCAATAATTTTATATTTGAAGACTGACGGAATGCAAATGATTTTATATCATTTAAATTAAGTTTTTACAAAAAAAATACATTTATTCTCACCAAAACTGACTAGCTCCACTGTTTTGAGTTTGAAATATGACGTAAAAATGTAATGCAAAGGTGCGGTCACTTTAGCATCGTGATAGCATCTCCTCTTTATTCCATCTCAATGGATATATTACACCCTCTTTTTGACTTCAAACAATCTTATAAGAACACTGATAATAATATGAGGTATATATTCTTAAACAATTATAATTTCAAACTCGTTTTGACTTTTAAAATAACTGACTATTATAGAAGAGAAACTGACGCCAAATGTATCGTGAATATTTTATGAACAGGTTCAAAATATCTAATAAAATTCGCAAAGCGATGTGACGTTACAGGAGAAATTTGACGATAAATTAGATTTCATGAACGGAGTAATAACTCTTAAAACGAGGACAGAAAATAATGACTTACGTTACATTGATCTCTTTCTTTTTTGTTTCATATTCGTTCGATACTTTTTCGACGATATCGCTCAAATGTTTGAGTTCATTTTTGATTTCGTCAGAAATATTGACATGGTAATTGGTAGGGTTACTTTCCAGATACGTCATAGTGCACGTTAAAGCTCTTAAAAGTTTAAGATTAGATTCGCATGACGACGACGGTATCAGGTTATTTAATGTTGTAACTAAAGAAATAACGTTTCTGCAAAAATTGTCAGTATCGTTCCAGAAATACGTATTAAATTGTTTCTCTCTGTTGGACTGAAACACACAAAGATTTTTCGATCATTGTCGGGCTATTCGCGATTGTATAAAAGTTTGCAGGGCCGAATTTAGTGGAGTTCCGGGGCGTCTAAAATATACATTTTTCGGCGATTTGTTAACTAATGGTATGTAGCATTTGAAAAAAATTACTCGAGTTCTGACAAAAAAATATTGTTCATGCTTTTTTGGGTCATTTTCAATCTTTCAAAACATATTTATGTCAAAAATTAATGAGAAATGCCAAACATGATGAATTTTCTATTAGGGTGGAGTGAATTTTTCAACTTTTGAAACTTAATAATTCTATTGGCTTAAGATGTGTCTATTACATGTGAAGAAGTGAAGAAATATTATCTTCAGCTTCCGGAACCATCTTACATTTTAGAAATTCATTTATTTTTACTATATACGAATAAATTAAATTTTAGACATTTATTAATTCTTTTAAACGGTTTTTAGTGCGATTGGAACATAAATAAGTAAATATACAGGGTACGAATCTTGTGAAAAGTTTGTTATCATCCTTGTAGTAAGTTATTAAAAAAAATGTATTAACAAAATTTGTAGGGTAGCTTAAGGACCATATTTAAAAATTACATAGATGTATACATGGTGTTACATGACTCAGATATGAACCAAATATATGTTTTGTTAAACCAGAACACCAGTTTATTATTTTACGTTTAGATTATTCTCATTTTTTTGCATTCTTCTAATATATGGTTTGTCTACGTCATATAGAGTACTCTAAAAGTAATTGGCACTTTTGTATGAAAATAGTAAATAAATCAACGTCCAGTAGCCAATTACATACAGTGAAAAATGTAGTTTTTTTTCCTACACGAGTTTTTTTAATATCATGTATTTCACTTTCTTTAGGAACGTTATTATATGCTTATTAGTATACAGGGTGACTCACGACTTGGAACCTTGATTTTCCTGTTTTATTTATACCCTATATTTTTTATTACCAGTAGATTCCTCTGAAAAGCCTTCCATTTTTATTAAGCATTCCCATACCTACAGTTAATAATTATCGATAAATGAACATTATGGTTATTTAGACAAATAAAACTAGTGTTTTTAATAAAAAAAAACAATACTTTATAAACTTTAAAAAATAATGTGTGAAATAAAAAAAACAAAATTATAAAAAGTGTTATAAGTAACCTCCCATAACATTAATAATGTTGTAAACTTGATTTTATAGATAACGCCACAAAAAAAAACAATTTTTGCCCGGCCACCCCATTGCCCCGACTATCCACCTTCTTGAAAAGTAATTGTGAATTAGTGCAGTGTGATGGACAGATGAACCATCGTGCAAAAACCACATTTGTTGGCGAATGTGAAGGGGAACATCCTCGAGTAATATCAGTAAATGATTTTAAAAGAAATCCAAATATACTGCACCATCTACTCGTCCTTTAAAACAGTTTGTCCTTATGACATAATCACAATTCCACCACAAACATTCAATGGCCACCTTGTTTGGCTATAGTAACTATAAAATGTGGATTTAAAGTAGTTATTGTGAAAGTTATGCCTATTTATTAAAACTCCGTTTTTGTGAAAAGTCGATTCATCACACCACTATTTTCATTTAACGTTACTAAATATCGATAAATATTAACTTTAGGTCTATGGAATGCTTAATAAAATAGAAGGCTTATTATAGAGGATTCTACTGGTAATATAAACTATAGGGTGCCCCATTAATATAAATATGAAAATTAAGGGAACGAGTCTTGAGTCACTCTGTATACTAATAAGAATATAATAAAAATGTTACTTAAGAAAAGTGTATAACATGATATTAAAAAACCTTTACACAGTATGTAATTGGCTACAGGGCGTTGATTTACTAACGATTTTTTATAAAAATGCCAATTTCCCATATATAACCAAGACAAACCATATATTAGAAGAATGGAAAAAATAAGAGTAATTTTAATCTAAAATAATAAACTGGTGTTTTAAAATACATATTTGGTTCGTACCTAAGTCATTCAACACCCTGTGTACCTCTATGTAATTTTAAAATGTGGCCCTCAAGCAACCCTATAAATTTTGTTAATATTTAAATATCTTTTACAAGGAATATATCAAATTTTTCCACAAGATTGGTACACCCTGTATATTTGTAATTTACCCCCGGTCTTTATAAACAGTACCATTTAATGCGTCTAGCGCCGAAACATAAGGGGTTGAGCCTATTTTAGATAGTTATCGGTAATTTGGATATGGAGACAACAAAGAAAAATCATACTTAAAAGAAAATCGAAGGAATTAGCCAGGAAGTCATTATACTCCGAAGGTATTAAGGAAAAGTGAGCTACAAATAGTACAACAGTCTATATTTAAACGTGAGCCAAACGGAATAGGATGAATTATATCTACCTAAAAGGCAAAGGGTCCTTTAGCATCGGATTCCTATAAAGTTCGGGAACTAACAAAACACCATCTTCTTCCCAAATGCGACTCCATTAGCATAAGCATGTGACTGAACAGGAATTTCCGAACATTCAGCGACAATAATAGTAAGTGCTCAAAGACGTTAGGATTATATCAGACACTAATTTCTCAAAAATAGTAGATCGTAGTAAGATATGCAGATAAAAGAAATAAAAGACGCGTTAGTCTAACAAAAAAATTTGCTGAACATACCCTAGAACTAGAAGTACAGGCAATCTGTTTTGATGGATGTAGGGACAAAACCTTGGTCCAAAACAAAAAAGACTATCAAAATACTGTCACCGAATAACATTATACTTTAGTTTCTAAACCCGGATCAAAATATCTCGGACATGCAAGTCCAACATCTGGAAGTGTTAAAGCAATTAAAACTTTAATACTTGAGTTTTTACAATGACATACATACAATGTGGCTATAGGTTGAGACGGAACTGTAGTAATACCGGTTCAAAAAACGGGGGTAATTCGAAGTCTAGAATTGGCTATAAAGAAGCAGTTACAGAGGTTGGTTTGTTTCCTTCACACAAATTACCAAAATATTCCGGATCAAAAGGTTTGGAAAATTGGCAATCATTAGAATGGTCCCAAAAAGTAACCTCTGAAAGAATTTAAATAAAATTGATAGATATAAAAACGCTAAGTACAGATCAAAAATTCATGTTTGAGATATGCCTGGGAAACTCTAACGGAATTTAGCTTTAAAAGCGGCTGGACAAATTTATACCAGATGGCTTACGATAGCTACAGAGTTCTAAGGTTATACGTTGCTACTAAAGAACCACCTCAAAACCTTGAAATATTAACTAAAATTATAGTTAAAGTGTTAAAGTGCATGCCGTATGTTGGTTTGAAATTAAATGTGGTCTTGTAAAAATGGCGAACGCTTTTTAACGTACTGCGTCTGCGAAATTGTTACTGTTAGTAATAATTCGATTCAGGATTCTTACCGCGAACAAAGCTATAAGAGGGACTGATATTTTGCCCATACAAAAAATCAGGTGATAGAACATTCACTCGAGAGTTGGCCTTAGAAAGATTTTTAAATGTTGAAAATCATCAACAAGAACAGAGAACGTTAGAATATTTTAAGTGAGTAAACTAAATTTTGATTGTAAAAATTATGTGGACTTAAATGTCAGAATGTCAGTATAAGCGAACTCCCTTTGACAATGAGAATATCAGACAAATATTTAACTAATATAATTTGTAATTCCGGATGAAATATGCCTAATAAAAATTGGTTGCGATTCGCAAGTTAAAAGATATATAAAATTAATAATTGAAGCTTCTATAGCAGTTTTTTAGTTCTGAAATGCGAGACGGGTTCATAAAAGATCGTATTGAATCGATAGAAATTCTACCGCAATTTTAAACAAAAAATTTTAATGACCAAAAAATAAATAAATTTCTGTACGGGAGAAAAAGTTAGAGCGGAACTCGCCATGCTGCCACTTTTTTATTTGTTAAAAAAATCATGCCGAGCTGATTTTTTTTTATTTGATTTCGGAAGCCAAATATATTATCGTAGGATACCTATTGCGTCTGCATACAACATAATTTTCTATAAAAATTTGTTTTACGTCTAATTTCACTCCGCCCTAATGTTCATTGCAAAAATATTTTATTTGTTTCACAAAATAAGTTCTCCTACTTCTTTGTTGCCGCAGAAACTCCATACCTTTAAATTCGGTCCTAGAACTTTGTTTTTAGAGCCTGTTGCTAAAAATTCTGGAATCGTTATACACGACAAATGATGTACAAATATTCGTAATCTTTGGTATGTTCTATGATAATTAGTATTCACAAAACAATATTAAACATTGATAGTGTCTTATTGGATTCATTATAAAACTTACTTAATACTTCTCTTTGCAGGTAGCCTTAGTTTTTGGATTATCTGACGCTTGTAGTTGCCACGAATTAAAAGAGTACTGGAAGAACAATGTGGCAGACCTGCTTATAAACAATGAAAAGAGCTGGGCAGCAATGGAATCAATAATAAGAAGAATAATGACAAAAAAGGCAAAGATGAACTGCATTGGGATTCTCATCTTTCAATTCGGCACGTGTTGAGACGACTATCTTCGTTCAACAGAATGCGTTTCGTATGTAATCTCTCTCTCTCTCTCTCTCTCTCTATCTCTCTCTCTCTCTATCTCTATCTCTCTCTCTCTCTCTATCTCTTTCTCTCTATCTCTCTCTCTCTCTCTCTCTCTCTCTCTCTCTCTCTATCTCTCTCTCTCTCTCTCTCTCCTATCTCTCTCTCTCTCTATCTATCTATCTCTCTCTCTATCTATCTCTCCTCTCTCTCTATCTCTCTCTCTCTCTCTCTCTCTCTCTCTCTCTCTCTCTCTCTCTCTCTCGCTCTCTCTCTCTCTCTCTCTCTCTCTCTCTCTCTCTCTCTCTCTCTCTCTCTCTCTCTCTCTCTCTCTCTCTCTCTCTCTCTCTCCTATCTCTCTCTCTCTCTCTCTCTCTCTCTCTCTATCTCTCTCTCTCTCTATCTCTCTCTCTCTCTCTCTCTCTCTCTCTCTCTCTCTATATCTCTATCTCTATCTCTCTCTCTCTCTCTCTCTATTTATTCAATTCGTTACGTGATGAGTACGCACATAAGAATAGATAAAACCAACGATAGACACGCCATCATATTTGAAGTAATATCAAAAGACGGTGCCGAAGATGGATAAAGGCGGACTAGGTGGCGTTTTTAGTGGTTATGACCAACTAGTGCGGTGTGTCCCACACTATCAATCCTTTATTATAGGCGATGATGTTCATAAGCAGAATTTTCACCACCTAAACGGACGCTCGCTAGTTAACGTCCGTTCGATAAATACTTGGGTTAGGTATTTAAAAACGTGCATTTCGAAATAAAACGTCCGTTCGCTTTAAATACTTTTGAGTCAAATGAGTCATTTCATGCAAACGTACGTTTGTTCTGCGTCGGCAAAACGGACCAAGCACGCATTGGGGGACGTCTCTCCTTAGAACCACCATTTCTGCACTAATTCCGACACTTATTACACTATTACAGTTTCTTCACCGTGGGTTGTATGTTAAAAATTGTACGTATTGCAATAGTCGGAAACCAGTCCAGCGATGGATGGTAGTGAGGACGTTGAACTGTCGAAGGACTACGTCGAAGTGTTTTTGTCAAATCCAAATGATGAACGTTACAAAAATAGAAAGAATAAGAAGAAGAATGGTCAGTAAAAACAGAACAAATATATTATCATCTACCTCAATAAATTATAGGTTTGATTTGATACCCCATGATTTTCAATAATTGTTCAAATAAAAGAATCAACAAATTATTTAATTTTTGTGAAATATCGAATGAATGGTTAACTTTCTGTTAACAAAATGAAGCATTTGTTTATGCAATTTTTTTTATTTTAGTACATTGCATAATAGAGTTAGTATAGTGTTTTACTCATCGAAAATCATTTTTCGTCACACTTTCCAGAAATTTTAGCAGCAGTTCGCGTTCAAATAATGTGTATATACCAATTTACCTGAATCGGTAAAGACATAATGAACTTAGTAAGAATTTCCGCGAAACCGCTGTCAATTACGGTTTTCCAATAAATGTGTTTTCGTCGCGCCAAAACTGCACCCGCAAACTCTTGCTAAAAGTTTTACGCACAAAACAGTTAAATCTGGACTCAATTTTTCGTTTTCCATCAAAAGTTTGATGCCTTTTCGTTCGTTGGATAAGTAGAAAACCACCTGTAATTTGTGAAAAAAAAAAAAAATAAAAACAATCGAGAAAATTACTTTTGAAAATAAAGTTGAGACATATACAGTGTTCTACCTCTTCTAAATCGTTGTTGTTTAAAAGCTCTTGTATCTTTTTTAAATCCCATTTTTGGCGGTCCTCTACGATTTCTATTTTCATTATCATTAAAATTTCGATTCCTTCTTTGCGGATATCCTTGGTTATCCCTACGTCTTTCATCATTGTGATTATCGCTGCTACTTGTTCTTGGATAATCTCTTCTGTTATCCCTTCGTTTTCCTTCATTGTCGTTGTCCCCAGTTATTTCTTCTTTGATCATTTGTTTGGTTGTTAGTACGTCTTTCCTTCGTTTGTGTCTTCATTACTTTTATTCCTATCCCTCCAGTAGCCTTAGACAAATTTAAAGTTTTTAATAGTCTGGTTTATTTATTTATTAATATTAATAATAAACTTTATTGCCCAACAAAATAAACCCAGTTACCTATTCGCTACGTACGCCAATTTACTTTTGTACTAATGGACTATTTCTGCCTATACTGACAATACAATTTTTAATAGAATTCATAATTAAAAAGTATATATGTTAGTTTTAATAAAAGTATATGGGTTTGTAAAACAAGTAAAACATTAATTTTTTATTATTATTATATATTTTCATCGCTTAAACTAAAAAAATTTAAGTATATTCAATAAAAATCAATAAGAAAATAAAGGCAGGCAACAGTATTTACGGGAAAATGTATGAGAAAATGCCTAAGTCTAATGAGTTGTCTTTGAAGAATTAACTATTCTGTCCAAATAAAAAAAAATCTTTAAATAATGAGCGTGAAGTTAAAATGTATTAAACAGAAGGATTGTTATTTATATTTTCAATTTTGTTCGAAAGAAAACACAATGAATGAGTAAAACTGGTTTTCTCTCAGTAAGTCACAAAATTGCATTCCAGTCACATACAATAATCAAAGGCAGAAATCTAGTTCTTACTGCATAAACATTTAAGATTAAAAGGATGTTGAAGAACATCGTGAAATGATATTTATTGTTTATTTAAAAATTTTAAAACCTTTCAAGTTTCTGATGTCTACTATTTCCAGTATTACTGTTATTATTATAAAAATAAAGGTAATTTTTCTTCTTATTGTACACATATCCATTTATTTCTTTGATTTAATTTCCACTTTACTACTGAAAATTTTTATAATTTACACTGTTTTTTTTTTTTGTTAGTATTTTTACAATTTTCAACACAGCAACTCCGGTTGCTAATTATATTGTTTTTACCTACTTTTTGAAGAAGAAAAAAGTAAAATGTATACATGTATTTGATATGCTAAAATTACAAAAGATCGCCCTAAAATGCACGAATTATCCGCAGCTAGTGCTAGTATCGCTTTTGCTTCCACTACCATGACTTTGCACTGAGCGAAGAGGACACATAAATACATAACACCATATCATTTCATATAACGAATAAATAATATTAAATCTATAATACAAAAGAATAAATAAATAAATAATAATAAAACATGGTACATTTTAACTATTAATAAGGTTAAGATGCTTCTGAGTGAATATAACCAGAAATGATCGGAAGCCTGCATCTGCCTGAGCAAGAACAGGCTACGTATTGTAACAGGGATCTTTACCGGGCATTGCCGACTAAAAGGACAACTAAGTAAACTGAAAGGTAGGTAGAGGATATCGAGTGCAGATTCTGTGAGGAGGAGGACGAAACCTCCATTCACATCCTAACTGAATGTGTAGCACTCCAGAATCCACTATATCTAGGAGGATATCAAATAGAAGAGGGAGATTTACCTAACTTGAAGCCACTTCAAATCCTACACTTCCTTGAGAAAATAGGATTGGAAGGGTCGTTATAGGCATTAAGACATTTCCTTGGTGCACTGGCGAGAGAAGGGGGCACAATAGATCTTTTAGGTCGCAGTGTATTAATACCCCATTCCCAACATAACATAACTATTAATAATGTATAATTTAAATATGACATTTTTTAAGATATGTGGAAGGTTTTCAAAAATAAATCACATTTAATACAGTAAGTAAAGAGTTATTGCATGTTCAAATAACGGCCGGCACTAATATTCTCAATTTGTTATAATTAGCACGCCGATTTTGCTTGATAATCCTTTTTAAAGCTCCTAAATTGGCATTGGAATATTGCGGATAATTTCCAGTTTTCGGTTCTTGAGCAACATATCCAGTTGTTTTGTACAGTTTAATAATATATCGAACTGTATATCTCGATTTATTAACACTGTCATCGATTTGGGAAGAAGTTTGGCCCTTCAAATGCAAGTGAATTATCACTTTCTTTATTTCGTCAGAAACAGCCTTTAACACGAGCCATTTTTAGTTGTTAACAACACCAATGTACGAAAGTTAATTAAAACGTCAAAATCGGCTTCTTAGCAAAGTCACAGTTTATAGCTAAAGAATCAGTTCGCTCACTCTGCGTCGGCACTTTTGATCTCAATGTTCCAGTTTATACACTGCGCAACTCGGATTTGTATCCCTGGCGCATACAGAATCAAATCATAACCAATACAATATATGACAACCGCCTACTATATTCAAACAGCAGTCTTCTGCGCATCCTGAATTTGTATCCCTGGAGTGGATGTTATTTTGGAACATTCAACTGGTCCAAGTGAGCTAACTGATTCTTTAGCAATAAACTGTGGCAAAGTCAAATATTATCATTTGTTTTACAAAGCTTGCCTTGATTTTATTGAAGCCGATAAACCGACTATTCAACTTAAGTTGTCTCCATCATGTATTTTGCCAAACACAAATCATTTTACAAATAAAACAATTTCGAAATAAAAACTCTTTAAAAATAGCCACGCTGATCTTATTATATTTCCATAAACATTTAAACAAACCAAAAATATATTTTAAACAAAATTTTAATTTGCCCTGAGATAAATTCACAAATATCATGTTTTATGGGGTTGGGCCAACTGAGACAGAGCTCGCATATTTTTTATATATCCCTGTTATAAACTATAATAGTCTTTTGAGATGGTAGTAATAGTAATAATAGTTCGACATCTAATACATATTTGACATATTTATCTTTATGACACAGGGCTAGGTTTAGTAACTCGATTTTTGAAATTGGTTCATTGAATTTAATATTTTTCTTAGTAAGCCAATCTGCAAACTGGGCTTTTCTCCATTTGGTGGTTGGTAACTGTTCTACACACGCCGGCTGTGGTATGGAGCGTTATCCATAACAATAACAGCAGGCAGATTCCCATTGACAATTCGATATCGAAATACTCGATTTCGACGGTTTGGTGAATTTCGATTTGCAAAAAATCATACTCGCATCGACTAAAACGATTGCGAGTCACTCGCCAGCTCTATGGTGCCGAATTGCTCGATTTCGGTAGATTATTGAGGTTATATCACGTGGTTGTAGAGGTTGTAGCCTTGTAGTGGTTGTGATTTCTAGTTGAAGTTTAAACAGTTTAAAGCATTGTTATGGTTGATTATTCTATGTCATTGGTATAAGAAGTTCTTAAGAATTTTGAGAAAAAAGGTATGCCTTAAAAAATAATGTAAGTACCTAATTAACTGTTAAATTGAAACAAAACAGCACCAAACTATTATTATAGGTAATTATGGTGGGTTTATGCACGAATTTAATTTAACGTAATTTAATAATGAAGCCCTGCTATTGGCTAACTGTGATCACCTGATCAGGGATACATACTCTATTTGCTGCTCTTGCGTTAAATTAAATTGTGTGCATAACCATTCCTTTACAAAGACAAATTAAAATTTCCTATTATATGCCGTCAGTGTGGATGACATTGTTGACAATTAAAACACGTACTGCGCATGCTGGCTACGAATACTACGAGTTTCGGAATCGACCAAAACGCAGGGCAATTCGATAGCGAATAGGAATAGCAATTTTCTCGATATCGTATTTGGTTGCGAGTATTGAAAGCGATTGGATTTCGCATTTCGCACTGATTTGGAATCTCAGTACAGATCCTGGTTCGATTTTTAAAAGAATATCTGAAAACAATTCCGGACTCTGCTGATGAAATCCCTATCAGCGCGCCTATGACACCGCTTCAATGATAACATCCAAGCAAGATTCAAATGCGTTGTTGCCAATAACGTCGCTTTAATCTGCAACGACAGTGTGGATCTCGGACATTATCTACCGCTAGATAAAGATGCAAGATAAACGCTGGCAACGCACCATTTTACCAATCACTTGGAAGACGTTTGAACAGTTTAAAAATAGACCAGTCAAACTATTAAAATTATTTCAACAAAATAACATCTGTTCTGGAGGTAAATAATAAACAAATGAATTAGTTATTTAAAGTGAGTAGAAGGAAAAGGTTTTAGTAGAAATTTGTAAGAGATTAAATAAATTTTGCAAGACCCCACTAATTTGTTTATTAATTAATACTGAATATTTCTCCTTTTGTCGGTATTCCAAAAATCAACAACTATTAAAAATAACTTTTTTTTGTAGAGGGTAAACGTCTGATTGGCCTATAAAATTTCTTTACAACATGAGTCACTATCTACAATTGTGGTATACTAGTTGTAAAGCAAACATTACATCGTAGTCTCACTCACTAGTATAGCTGCACTGGCAATTTTTTAAGTTTCTGAATCTAAGTACTAGGTATCCCTCAAAAATATGTAGGCGATTTTTAAAAATCCGCCAAGGGTTTAGACCAATGATATCTTTATCTTTAGATTTTATTAATCTTACATACACGGGTTTCTTATTTTGCAACGATTTATATAAATATGTCAAATTTTGGATCGGTGTTCAATTTATGTACAGTTATCTTACTATTTTTAATACCCACGAAGTTTTTTCACTTAAATTATTACGACACCACATTAAACCCATCATTAAAAAAAAATTAAACCTCTCTTTTGATCGTGTAAAATACACTGAAATGGCGGCCTTAATAACAAAAGATTGGCATTTTCTATAATAGCATGTTTTGACAGTTACTTAATTCTTGACTTATTTCGTCTGCGTATTATTTATTTCGCATGGATAAAGACTTTCATAGCCACTACAATAATTTTTTGTGTATCAATAGTTTGGACTTAACACGTCTATGAATGTGACTGACGAAATAAACATAGGATAATTAATATCCACAATGAATAAGCTTGAAACATGCTTGACAAATTTTAAGTACACTTTATCTTATCACTTTTAACAAATAATCTATGTTCTAAGAAATATTTCTTAATCACATTGGATTATTATTAACAAACAATTAGTAGATAATAATACAATGAACTGCAGATCCGACAATTCTGATAGTACCTAGGTACTTATTAATTTATTAATTTTTTTTGTTTCTTTCAGACTTAGATAATATTGTTTTAATATAATCTAAATTAGCCTGAGTGGCTTAATAAAATAAAATTGGTACGCAAACATTTATACCACCAACAAAGAAAATAAATTACAAAAAAACTACCTATTAAGTATATTAGTGTCAAGGGCGGCTCCAGGTCAAATTTTCGGACATTGTCAATAACAACTCCCTTTAGAGCATATTTTTTTAATAAAAGGCTCATGGGTTGTAACAATTTTAACCTTGGGGAGGGAGCATGGTCCCCTGGAGCCGCCCTTGATTTGTGTAAATATACACGTGTAGACATATATTTAGTAGTAATGAGTGGGTCACTGAAAACAGTCCACCCTGTTATTTGGCAGTGTTCGTTGGATTTTAAGAAAAAGCTGAAACAGGTCGATTTTTATTTCAAAGGGGTCACATTCTTACGATTTACACATCTGTAATATTTTCCATGACAGCAAAAAAAAACGAATTTTGCAAAAAATTATTAAATAGGTATAGTTACTAAGACATTTGGTTTAGTTTATAAGTGTTTCTAGTTCTATTGCAGAACGAGTTGAAATTAATTTCATATTTTTTGAAAACTGGAATTGTGCAAGGAGAACAGCAATCATCTTCACGAAGAAAATCAACTTTATAACTCATACGTATTAGAGAGAGTGGAAAAATGGTGGAAAAATTGTGGAAAAATTTCGTCAAACTGGATCCGTAGCTAATAAAAAAAGAGCTGTAAAAATCGAGTTAGGACTGAACCGCAGAAGTAGCAATTTGAGGCCATATTAATTTGGATACTGTATCCATGTATACAAAACTTGGCTGAGGAATCTGGCTTTTCACGCAGTATGTACTGTAGGCCAGTCAGTAAAAACCTATTTTGAACATTTCACATTAATTACAAAAGTTTTCAAACTGTGCAAAAATAATCGGCTAGTTTAAATTTGCAACCATTTCCAAGATCCAGAACTAGTTAATTTATACCAAAATGGCGCTTTTGTATATAATGTTGAGAAAAAAATGGTAAAAGTGCTGCAAACTTAAAGCAATATATATTGTATTATTTGCAACTTTTTTGAAAGTCCGGAACGTGATTTTTTTTGTAAAATAGCGTTTTTGTTTAAATCATAGACAAAAAAATTGCAAAAGTGCTGCAAACCGATGACATAACTCATACAAGTTTTTGGAACAGCTATTCCAATTTGCAACTTTTTATTTTGCACGGAAATATTTTTTTTTGTGAAAATATCAAAATAATTTTTATTGCCCTCTAATTTTGTCAAAAAAAAAAAAATGCAAAAGTTTTGAAAATGGGTTGCAAATGTTAATATTATTTTTTAAAGAAGACGTTTTGTTTTTTACAAATGTCTCCACATTTTGAAGTAGTGACACGTTTTCGTCTTTTATTGTGCTACAATGCACAATCAGCTTGATCTCGTGTACATTCATTTTTTTCTTATCAATAAACATTGGCAAACTTTTTAGAAAATCTTCTTTTGCAACGCGTATCAAAGAGTGCGACAGATCAAAGCCACGCGCGAAAGCAAGAAAAACGATTTTTTCTACACCCTCATGGATATTAGCTTATCTACGCACAGACTACAAATCTAAAAAGTATGTCATTGCGTTCAACTGAACGAATATATTTCATATCCATTCTAAGTAGTGAGAACACTGCAAAAAAATAAAATCCACCAATCAAAGTTCATATTCTGGACCCCCAACTACTATTATTTTTAAATTTTAAATAAGTGAGAATCCTGTGAAAGTATATTTTTTGATTATTAAAATTAAATATACATTAAAATTAGTTATTTTTGTGTAGAATCAATAAATAATCGTAAATGATAGCATTTCTATTTTTATTTTAACCATATTTTGAAACAAAAATAAAATTTTATTCAAACTATAGGAAACTAGTTTAATTACGTTTATTAAAACCAAAATCGTAAAAGCGGCAGTAGGGGCATGGACAGAGTACCTACTTGACTTCTACACGAAAAGTCGGGAATCGATTCTCGGCCGGCGATTAATTTTTTTTTATATTTATTTTATTTTAAAAATCAGTAAAATTTATAAATTATTTTAAAATTAGTTATTTTGTCTTAATAACCTAAAATATTTTTTTAATTTGTAGATTTCCGTTAGTGGGTCGTACAAAAAATATACTGTTCAACTCGAGTGGATTGCCCATATCCACTCTAGTTGCATAAACTACTATACTTAGTTCAAAAAAATATACATTACTTTAACAGATTAAAAACTTGTTAACATGCTGAAATTAATTATTCTTAACTCGAAGAGGTATTCATTAAAAAAAACTCCCGTGCAATATAAAATTTATAATTCTCACTGTATACCTTTAAATATCGAATATATTTTTTTAATAAAAAATATAAAATTAATTTAAAATAATTAAGCGAAATTACTTTATGTAAAAAATAACAAAGTGTACCTGTACAGACATAAAACAAAATAAATTCAAATCACTTGTGTACTTTTTATCACTTTTAAATAGTAGAAAAGGATATACATTTTGTTGGTGTCACCCTCTAGACGAAAAAGCTTTTAACGTATTTTTTTATTGTAAGAACAAATACTCCTGTAGGTAAAAATAAATATATGTTTCTCTTCTAGCATTTTTATTTGTATTTGTTTTCGTTAGAAAGACATCTTATTAGATTTTTTCAAAAGAAACCGATTTAAATTTTTAAAAAGTGACTCCAGTAGGGTACGGGTTGAGCCTTTACCTGTACTTACATAATTTTTCTCTTAGCCAAAATAAAAAATAATCCGTAAAATTGGTGTATTATGAAACCCTTGCATATTATATAATATGTCGATCTTAGTATTACAGAAATGATTTACGTAAAACAATAATGTGTACAAATACGTAAAATTTATTTATCCCTCGTAAAACATCAGTAAAATATTTTATAAAATTGTTTTCATTCACAAATATTCATAAATTCACAAATATTAATTTCTTAAAAATCTAACAGTGGCGCCACTTTCCAGACGAAAAATCTTGCAATGTAACAGTTTCATAGTATCCCACTTTTAAAGTTTATTTTTGACTATTTTTAAAAGAAAAAATACCTATGTATGTGTAGGTAAAGGTTAAATATATGCTTCTCTGGAACCACTTTTTCAAAATTCAATTTAGTTATGGGCAAAAAAGTCGAGTTTTATATTTTGTTTTTTTTTTTTTAGAAAAATCTTCCAAATTTTGAAAAAGTGTCTCGAGAGGAGCGTAGATTTAACCTCTTTGCCTACACGGACATATTTTTTTCTCTTAGAATAAGTCAAAAATAAACTTTAAAAGTGGGGGTACTACGAAACACTTGCATGCTCTGCTCTAAAGCCAAGTAAATACTCCTCTTAAGATCGTTTAAGATAATTTTTTTGGGTTTTGTACTTTACACCATAAATAATTGAAACTTACTAAACAAATTCAGTTTATACATGAAAGTCTTGAATAGCAAGAAATTATATTTCAAAAGAACACTTTGCAGAATTGCAAATAAGTTATGTGCATGAATATCTTTATTGGAATAGTCATTGTAGGAAAAATAATTTTTCTATATCAATTAATTTCAAACTAAAATGTAGCACTTTTATCAGTCAATGTTTTAACTTTTTCTAAACCACTAAAATAGTAAAAACACTATGATATTTTATACCTAGTGGCGATCCCAGTTCAATGAATGTGCCAGTATTTACTTTTAATTCTACTCAATTAAATACATAATTTTGCTGGACCCTGTAGTAATAAATATTGGAAAAAATTACCGTTTGATAAAAGATTAGAAGACCTTTTAAAAGGAGAGTCTCCTGTTTGTATTTAAAAAAAAATCATTGATTACTTCATACGCCATGCAATAGAGGCTATTTGTGAAATAATGAATTTATTCTTTATTCCATACATTTGCATTATGTATACGAAAGAAAAATGTCAACATAAATTGTATACTATTTAAATTTACCTATATAAGTATTACGTGTTATGCCGGCTATATGGTTTCAATACTTTGTCATTCATTTTCAATAAAAATAAAAAATATGTAGGCAATAATTTAGGAGTGGGCGTGCCTGTAGTTAAAGGTCTAAAACGCAGCAATTCAGAATTATTGTGGATTGCGTTTTGAGTTCCACGTGTTTATAATTATGTCCCCTTTAATATCCCTATCCAAAATTAAATGTATTATGTAAAACAATTATGCGAGTTTTGATGCTTAATGCTTTTTTTATATTTATATATGCAATCTTATACCAACAATCTTTCCACTAAAAGAAATTTAAATTACCTAAATACTTAGTTCAGTTCAAACTAAAATTCTAAATATATCCTACCTTCACTTCTGACATTTCTTCCGCCTCTCCTAGGATTTCTATTGTCATTTTGCTGATTTCTTTGCATATTAAATAAATATGACTATATTTTTTTTAAATCACTATTATCACGCCTTTTTATTAGTTACACTTTTATCTACTTTCAACAATAAGATTCTTATTGCAAAGTCGACGTCAACAATGTAGAATGTCGACATTCGCAACTCGCTGATTTGGGTTTGATCACGACAAAGCATAAAAGTCATTAAGGCTAAAGACAGCTGAGTATCTTGACGACGGCAACGAATTTTCATTGGTCTAACAACTGACTTTTACACCAGTAATATATTTTAAATTACTGAAATTAATAAAATAAAATGTTTCTAATCAATCAAAAAATTTAAATAATTCTATACACTGTAGTTTAATTAAATATTGATTTAATTTTAGCATAAGATTAATAATACTGCATCGAATGTACATTCTAAAGCAACACAGAATGAAGTAGATTGAATGAACCGTCGGTGTGCTCTAGAGTTCATCTACATGGGGGAATCACCAAAAATGCGTATTTTGTATTTTATAATTAATTATTAAAATATGTATATTGTATTATTCATAACACTTTAATTTACTAAGAGATTTGTATTTATAAATTAGAATTGTTACTGAATATTTATAATCATTGTAAATGTGTATATCACCATCCTTTTTTAATTATTATGATTGGTGTTTTCATTTACAACGCCACACTGTTAGCTAAAGCTAAGTGAACCAAGTATATCAAAAAACAATATTTAACTTTGATAATATTTATGTATCCGGTTAGCGATTAAATGGAAGTTTGAAGTGGTCTGATGGTCATGACTGACTCGACAATATATTAGCACAGCTTATTTATATATATGAATAAGCTGTGATATTAGTTTCAAACGTAAGGCAGTAGGCAATACTTTTAACACTTATGTAATACTGGTTGCGTGACTATTAGTTTAGTACACATAATATAGTGGTTTAGTAATATAGGGTGGACCAGATGTAATTTTACAAAAGGAGGACACTAGACAACAAAGAAGTATGATTTTGTATCAAAAAGGATGACAAATTAAAATAAATATATTATAAATCCAACAAAAAAATATCACATTTATCATAAAAATAAAAGCAAGATATTCATAAAAAAATAATAATACCTAATAATAATTTCAAATTAGAAAGACTCAATATTATCCTAAGGTGTCAACCTATAAATAATTTTGTATTATTAGTGTCTTCGTCAACTTAGGCCATTAGCCTTGTGTTCTGAGTAGGTTATGGAATGCTAGTAATTTAGGACCGATTCCACCGTTTGTGTTAAACGAAGTTTAAAATGACATTTTTACATTAACATTGTCATTTTAATCTCCGTTTAACACAACGGTGGAATCGGCCCTTAATGAATTTATCTTAATATAAATATTTAAAAACATTTTAAAAATGTATACAAGTTTGGTAGAATTAAAACTATTAATAAAAGCTGGATTTTACGTTCTCAGACTTTAAATTGGGAGGGAAGATGACTCAGTGGTTAGAGTCTGAACTTGCGAATGCAAGTCCGCGGTTCGAATCTCATCGCGTTGGCCGGGATTTTTTAAATTTATTTAAAAATAATTGAATCGGTCATTTTAAAAAGGGGCCACATCCACTTTTTAAAATTTTACAGGAGAGATAAAAACCTTTTAATCTTTAATTTGAAAATAAATTTTTGTACGATAATATTGTTTGCTTTAAACATGAACTTTTATGACCATGAATTATTAAAAAACATGATTTGTATTTTAAAAGAGGCTAAAAATTGACATTTTTTGAAAAAGAGATGGCCCGTTTTCAAAATGAACAATTATTTAAAATCAAAATAGAATATAAATATTGTTTATTTTAAACAACAAAGTGGTATAAAATACATTTTAATACAAAAAAATAAGATCTTTTTTCATTTTCCTCCGTTTCTTTAGCGGAGATAGTAGGCCATTCGCAGATAGTGGTGTAAAATTCCTTGTATTTATCTGGAATATATTGCTGAAGCATCTTTATATCCTCAATTTTCTTAACATTTATCGGAATTTTGCCTTGATAGGCAGGAAAATTCTGAGGATCGGGCACCATTATTGTCGGAATGCCTCTTTGTAGAGTTTTTAAAAGAAAGAAACGTTCGTCAACAAAGCTGCCAATGTATGGTTTCGCAAAGATGACACCCAAATAAAGCTGAACTCGTAGAAGGAGTTGATAGTGAAATTAACCTTGTCTTCTTTTGAAACTTGTTTGCCAAGACTTCGTTTAGACAACACTTTCTTCTTAAAGAAATCCGGCCACCATTGTTTGAAACTAGCTACATCTACATGAGTAACATGTTTAACGTCGAATTTATTGCTTATAGATGAAGAAACTCTTACATCTTCATATTCTCCTACAGAGTTTGTTCACATGATTAAAGTGTTCTTTTCCAGTAACTTTTGCTTTTTTTAATCGAAATTTGCTTATAACTATTTGAATTTTTAATACCTTTCTTCCGTTTGGGAAGCGGAGAGATTGACTCACTACTAGATGGCATTTTGTCACGCGACACGTAAACAGTCATCTCTAAACAGTCTAAAATATCCATAATACCCTAAAACGTTGGTGGTGGGGGACAAAGCACGATTCATTTTGAGAAGGGGTTATCTCTGGAGGGATAACCCGTTTTCAAAATGAACTGATTTTTGTGTGTTGTGAATAGGCGGTAAGAATTTTGAAAGATGACCGTTTTCATCTTGAATTGATGCCTCTAGGCATGCTGAATATAAAATCGCCAAAAAGTGAAAATGTTAAAAAAGTGGATGTGACCCCTTTTCAAAATGACCGTTTCAATTCTGCATGATGCCTACGTAGGATATCCCACTCCAGCAACTATATTTACTGTTGGGTACTAAAATTAACAGTGCTGTTCCTAAAGCGGCGTTGGGGAACAGTTGTAAAGCTTGCACATAACACACAAACCGAGTCTCAGTTTGTATTATTTGATAGGCACTACCAGAGCCATTCAATTAATAATATATTTAATTTATGGGATATTCACTGAATGAAGGTTGTCCAGATTAAATTAACTTCAGCAAATTGAAGACTCCCTGGGACAAAATAATGAAAAGTATGGTATTTCGTCTAGCTCTAATAAAGGGTAGATTGGTGGTAAATAAAATTCATGAAAGAGGGTTTTTTGAATTTTTTCGTCAGCTTTCTCATAAAAGAGCCAATTAAGGTTTTAAAAGAATAGAAAACAGATTGTTAATCGTAAGCATATGATGATACTCATTTCAGTTTTTTACTTCGCAAAGAAAATAAAGTAGGCCATGACCGACAAAGGCAGACGAGATACGAGCATGTTCGTGATAACTACGTGCGGCTTTCAAATTGACACTTAAGGATGAAACAAGAATTTTTCCAGGACACTTAAAAAATATTTTTTGTGGATCAATTCTTATTATATTCAACTGACAAATAATTTTTACTTTCCCCTGTAACCAATAAGGATACTATAGGAATCAAATTTGAGGAAAAGGACAAAATTTTAATTTCTTCGTTGGCAATGAAGATATGAAAAAAAGTTTCAATAAAATGAGTGTGGTTTTTTTAAATTTTTATCTCATATATTCTTTTTCTTATTTTTAAAGCTGCCTTGGGCTTAATTTTTATTTACTTTTAGTCGTTGCCATGTCTATTTTAACTGCGATTGGTTATAAAATAGCTAATACAAAATTAAATTGATGAAATATCGAATAGAGTTGGGTTAAAATTTAAACGTCTAATTATAAATAACCTTTTAAACTGACAGTTAAAATGAACTAAAACGTTACAGAATAGACTCCATTATCGCCAAAATTTTAGGGGTGGTAGATGTCATCAAAATAAACATTTTTTGCGAGATAGTGTTAAAGTTTTTGAAAAATACATATTTTTGTAATAAAAATGTTTTAAGTGAAATTTTCACTTTCTTTATACATTTTGGACCTATTAGTATATATACAAAATTCTCAAAGACAGAAAAACAATAAAAACCTGTAGATATAAATATATTTTTTTTTGATGAAAACCTAAAAAAAATTTTCCCTTTTCGTTTAGATTTGTATTTTTAGTCCCTTCAAAGACATGCAAAAGTTTGTATTTAATTTTTTTCTCGAAAACTAAGTGAGATAAGAAAAAATTAAGATACAAAAAAGTTGTTCTAATTGCTTTAATTAAAATAATTATTAAAATTGAAAATATCCACTGAGCGTTATTTTTGTGTAAACTTCCCTTTATTTCGAAAATCAAGCGTTTTTGGACAAATGTTTATTTATAAAAACATATTTTGATTTTCCATTCCAGCTCTAAAAGTTTGGCGGTATAGTTATGAAACACTCTGTATATTATTAGGTGCAATGTTTTTGTATATTGTTAACCAACCTTTAACCAAATAAATTAATATATTTTGACCATAAATAAAAAACGTGCATGTCTTGACAAATATTTTTATTCAAAACGTTAAAATTAGTGGTCCATTTAAAACATAAAAAAATTATAATGTATAATTTATATTACAAATAAACATCAAACTCAATCAACGAATACATTCTAAATTTAAAAAAGTATCCATTTATAACTAGTTTTTATTATAAAAATATAATAGAGTAATGAATACCTAAAAAAACTTGTTTTTAACTTGTTTAATCCAGTTTTTGTACACAATATATAAAATCTACAATTCTACCATCGATTACCGCCGCCACCACCACCACCTCTTCCTCCAAAACCGCCTCCTGAATTTCTATTAAAACCGCCCCCGCCGCCGCTGTTTCTATTAAAACCACCGCCGCCGCCACCTCGGCCGCCACCGAAACCTCCTCTGCCGCCTCGACCGCCACCCCTTCTATCTCCGCCTCCGAAACCGCCTCTTCCTCCGCGACCGCCGCCTCCACGGCCCCCTCTGCCTCCACCGCCGCCACGGCCTCCTCTACCGCCGAAACCGCCTCGTTTTTTAGCACCGGGAGCGGACGGTAAGACTCTCTGGAGCGGGAGCAGTTTCGCTGGGTCTATGAATAACTGAAACAAAAAAAAAATAAATTTAAATTTCCAAGTATTTGTTTTCACCTTTGAGGTTCGGGGACGTTCTTATTAATTCGTAGGGGGAATTTTGGAGGTTTGTTTCCGAATTATCAAATTATCCAAAACAAAGCATTTGATTCGATTTGGTTGTTAAACATTTTTTAGAAGAAAGAAAAATCAAGATGTGTTATCAGAACCATTTACTGTTTTCTAAGGTGTCCCCCCAAGGTTTACCATTTTTATAAATTTGTTATATCACCACTTATAGGGGAGATTTCTACCTTCTCCAATAAGCTGATGATACTTCAATAGTTTTACATGATCAAAGATTGGTTAGCACAGTAAACATTGAAAAAGATGCAATTCTACATAGAAAATTTTGAAATATAGCTCAAACAACAACCCCAAAAAGTGTCAACTAATCTTATTAAATCACATCATTAAATATTCTTCACTATCGTCTTGGTAGGGTAAGTGTTTTAGGAGCGTGCATTCATTTACAAGCAATTTTGTGGTTGAGACACCTGCTTCAAATCCTACACCAGACCATGTGAATTTTTAATTAATTTGCTTGGTTCGTTAGATTTGATGGATGCCTATTAGCAGAAATTTAATTTCTGTTGATGATATCCAGATTATAAAAATCGGCATGCATTACCGTTTCGATGTTGGTGGTTTGAGTTTTCCAGGTATTCCTCACCTGTAAGTCAAATGGCACCATCAATAATCTTTAAATCGCCCCGGAGCTCCACGGCAAATAATATTCCCCGGACAAGCTCAACTGTTGGGGTTAAAATTTACTCGTAAGGGGGCGAATAGACCTTTCCCGTTATTCAACAATTTCGCATTACTCATGTGCGAAAAAAGTGCAGGAATATTGAATCTAGTAATTTTTCAAACAACTTAATTGTTCCCTTTCTTATCCTCGCCTTACAATTGTTGTTTTGGCCACTACGATTACCCCATGTCATCGTTAATTTAAACAACTGTCATCGATTCTATATAGTAGGGAACCATTTTATCTTTTGTCCAACTATAAAATGAAATTAGTTCCACGTACCGCGAATGATAACTGGCATTATCGATTATAATCAAAGAAGGATGTCCAGACTAGGTATACATTTTTTCTGTGTTTCCATTATTATGATAATCCATGCTTTTTGTTAGACTTAAATATAAGGTCTGCATTTTTTATACACTTCTTCATTGCCACCATGGACAAATTATATATGGAATCCCATCTCCTGTTTTTTACTTGAAGTAGCCATTGTTCCATCTTGCCAACGTTTTCTGTCACTTCCCTTGCTATATACCCACGTCTCATCCATAAATCCAGGCTAAAAGTTACCCATCTATCTCCTTGTTAAAATTTTTCAAAAACATTTTTTTTTTAACTGAATCGATGTTCGTTCCAATAAAAACTGTATGTTGTTACTTCTTTTAAAGCAAAAGCCAATTTTTTCGAATCCATGTATTAATTGATCGTGCAGAACATTTCACATCAGGCATTTCTTCCGAAAATCGTTTATGTAACGATTTCATTGTTACATGTTGCACACCTTCGTACATCTTATATATAACTTGCCTCAACTTACTTAATATTAAAGAATTGACTTTTGTTTTACTTTGGCTTACTTTTTTGGACATTATTTTCACATACTCTGTATTAGAAATTGTTGGTTAACTAAGTCTATAGTTTTCTGTGAAATATTTAATGCCTCTGCAGCCATTTGATTGTACCTCTTTCCAAGAGCCTTACAAATAGATTTGTACCTTTTAAAATAGGAAACTACATTTTTGATTGATCACTAAATCATTTCACCATTTTGTTGAATAATTACAAAAACTTTTGAAATATCAAATTATACAAATTTTTAACAAATTGATAAATTCAAAATATGATGTAATTAAACTAGGAAGTGCCAAAATCTAGTAACTTTTTGTTTCATCCATTTTACACAATAAAGAAAGCGAATGGACTTGGGGTATTTCCAAGACTTTATTATATTTTATATTGCCTGAAAGAGTATAATTAGCTCGATCTACTGGTGAAAACCTCTTTAAAATTGATCCATATTTGATGATGCTAGATTGATGAGTAGATTTATAGATTTCTGTACAATCACTCACGCTCTGAATTTTTGAGAGTATGCTTTGTACTCAATTCAACTTTATTAAACTTTGAAAAATTTTACTTAGTTTTATCTACACAAATTTTTTATTAGTCTAATCAGAGCATAGTCTACACAACCATCCACTCTCCATACATACATACATACATACATACATACATAACAATTCTTATGCACTCCTACCTTACATACAGATTCTAGGACATTTAGGATGTAAAACTTATTAAAATTAAACATACATAGAATATAAACTTTACATAGGTAGAGACATTACATAACATTACAGATTACAAACATTTTATTTCTCTGAATTGAGAAATTCAGCAGTAGAGTAAAAGGCATTTTTTAGCAGATATGTGAGCAGGGCCGATTTAAATTTATTTACATTTTCAATAACACCAAATAAACTAACCACGTGATTATAGCATAAGATTCCTTGGTATGTTGCAGAGTTCTTCCCCAGTGCCAGCCATGAGTATGGTAAGCGTAATTCATTCCCTTTTTGGGTCCCCTATGAGTGGATCTTGTTGTTTTTTAAGTGCTTTGATTCAATCATATAGATAAATGTAGTTATTGTTAAGATATAGAGGCAGGGTAGTGTTAAAACTGCCAGTGAGATAGGGTTTTTGCATGGTTCCCTCGTCTGTGCACCTGACATGCATCTAATTATTTTCTTTTGTATAACAAACACATTATGCATGTGTGCTGAATTTCCACAGAATGCTATTCCATATGCTAGCTTAGATTGTACCAGGCCAAAGTAGGGTAATTTGAGTACTGGTTGTGTTACAGTTTCTTTGAGATTTCTAATTAGAAAACATAAGCTACTTAGATTTGAGATTAAGTTTTGTGTGTGCCATCAGTTATGCCACTGATAATAAAAAAAGATTACAAAATCAACAAAAAAAATATATTATTAGATACTAGAAAACATGCCTAAAGCTTAGATAAATCATTTTTAGTTCATTTACTTTGCAAAAATTAATTGCCCACAAGGTACATAAAGTCAATTTAAGGGGTTAAATCTCCGACCTACCTACATACAGGTGTCTAAACCTAGGTGTAATACCCACATTGTGTAAAAAGTAAAATCTAATTATTGTGGATATTTGATCTTTTTGTCAAAACTCAATTAAATAGTATTAAGTTCCCTCATTATTAATTGATCTACCATTATCCAACCAACATCATTCAATATAGCAACAAAGTGCGTAAGTAATTTCTTACAATTTACGATGAATAAGCTGTAGCCTATGGATCTGTTTTGATACCAGATTACAGGATATTAATGATGTACAATTTGTATTAAACTTTTTTGGCACACCCTGTACATAAATAATAATACACATAAAAGAAACAAATATAAAAAAATCAGTCATTAATATCCATTATTAAATACCTTTTGATTTTCGTGAAAACTACTGGCCTTCATATCATCTCCCAGCCTTATGCTGACCCAATAATCCCTGATATTCCCGAAAATCTCGTCGATTTTTCCAATTTGTTGCTTATTTTCTAAGTAAATTGGGGCGTTAAAGTATGGTACATCTTCTATTTCAACCTTACACACTAAGTCGTCTTGAACAGCCTTCTCGAAATAACCTAATGGTATTACTGCCTCTGGAGGGCCTTGATCGAAATTCCGACCGCCGCCACCTCTGAAGCCTCCACCGCCTCCTCGGAAGCCTCCACCGCCTCCTCTAAAACCTCCGCCTCCACCACGACCGCCGCCAGAGAATCTGTTACCGCCACCTCGGAATGACATTCTGGAAAGGTTATTATTATAAAACGAAAATACTAACTAGGTTTAAAGAATTTCATTTAGGATTTGTATAAATATATATTTATAGTAATGCATTTGTTACATTCTAAAACACGTGTTAAAAAACATAACCTAACTTATTAACGTGTTTTAAAGATATTAAAAAGTATTTCAAAAATACCTGATTTTTTTACTGGTACTTCATTTATGTATTTATCCAAATTCAATAAGCAGTTTGTTTATAAAAAAAAAACTTTAAAATGTTGCCAAAGCACCTTTATACAAATTAAAATATAAATTATGAAAATATATCTTCTTCTTCTTCACTCTTCACTTCTTTTTTTTTTTGAATGCCACAAATGTGGTCTTAATTCACTGAGTTATTCGTACAACAAAAAAATACATTTTCTCAATTATTTATTGAAATATTGTGTTTTCACAAGAACGAAGTTGATAAAGGATAATTTTCAATCAATAAAATCTAAAATTTCAAACATCTAAAGAATCGCAAAAAGAATCGCAGTAGTTTGTGAACATGGCGCACAAGTGTTTCCGGCTTCCAGTGACGTACTCTTATGTAAGGGTAGAAAAGAAAATTATTGATTATTTTGAACATTATATTATGATTGTGATATTTGTGCAAAAATAAACTTTTTCTTTTTCTAGGTTTACTACACGTAGAATGGCTATTAATGATAATTTTCAAATTTATAATAATATAGATTTTGGGAGGGTAGGGAGTTTAATTTTTGTACACTTAGTATCGTGGACATTTTTTTTCTTTGGAGTTTCTTTTACACCTAAATACAAACTTTAAGATAACGTAATTTAAATCACTTTTGACTTCGAACTAAAGTTTTTCCATCTCTTTAAAATGAATGAGTGGCTATATTCACTGACAATGTCACTTTTTGGTAACTAAACATAGTCACATTTGTAGAGGCCATGGACTACCCGAAACACTATCCAGCGACTAATTACGTTTCCCCATTTTAGCCCACGTAGCAGGGACGTGGCCGCCTATGGTAGCGGTCCTTTTAATATTTATTTTGTCTTACGTTTTATTATAAATTTTTAGGGTCTTTGATTTTTCCTAATACCCTCTGCTATAGAATTTCTCCTCCTTTTGAGGGTAGTTTGCTCTGATTACAATAGTAATCTATTCTTAAGCGTTGTGTTCGCAAATTAATATCTCCAATTTTCCTATTTTCAACTTTATTGCCGCGTTTGAGAATCCACATCGGATGCATCTGAAATGTAGTAAATCTTTGATCACGTGATTCAATAAACGTAAATGTAATGGGACAGATGTGGATAAAAAAACGATCGAGATGTAAAAAATGCATCCGATGTGGATTTTCAAACGCGGCATAAGTATAGAGAAGTCCATATAGATAATAAGGTGGGAAATATGATTTAGGGAAACCTCAAATCCTAAATCACGATACTGTACAAGAATGTGATAAGGGCTATACATATATGTAATTGGGATGGATTGTGGTTATGTTGTGGTCACGTTGTGGTATTCCGGAAAGTGGGTAAGAGGTTCTGAGAAGGCGTTGCTTATATTTGGACTGTGATAGTTCCGTCAGTGAGGTATGAATGCATGAATTTGGAGATATTGAGAGAGGCTTTTTGACTAGTCTAGCATGCCAGACTTGGTCAAATGTTTTTTGAGCATCGAGAAGTACGGCTGAAGAGATTTGGAAAGAATTTACTGCTAAAAATAGTGTAAAGTGAGGAGATTGCGTCCTGAATGGAGTGATGAGATCTGAAACCGTGATGGGATCGGATTGAGGAATAATGTTTTGTAGCGGTCCACTTTCTTGTGGTTTTTATTTTCGCTGATAGGTTACCGCGACTTTATGTGTTACTTGGTTTATTTCTTAGTAACATGAACAATCTCAGTAATTTCAGGAAACGTCTACATACTATGATATGGTTAAATTTTACCAAGATAAAATAGTAAATAATTCTATGTTTTATATTATAATTAACTTTTAATCTTTTACTCTTTCTTATTTGGATTTGAAATATTATTCATTCTTTAAATAACTGTCAAGATATTCGTTATATAGGTGGCTTAGTTAATCATTTGCCTTTAACTTGTGTGTATTTTAATGTTTGTAATTTAAATTTAAATTTTTAAACTTTAACTTTTCATATATTTACATATTTCACGCGTTTGTCAATAAGAAAATGTATCTTTGAGAATAGAGCCTTTCTTTTTATATCTATCTAAGGCCCGGTACTCTGCGAGCTGATTAATTTAACTATCAAATTTTGACAGCAAATTTCGGTACCCCTTTTATGAAGTTAATGTGGGTTTGTCTGTATTAGTACAATAAGATCAGCACATCTCCTACTCTTTACAGTATAGATTTCAGTTTCTTAAAATAATGGAGTTACACGAATAAAGGGGATTTTTAGAAATATCATATTAAATCATAACTTGGCAACTGGTACAATAATACAGACAATCAAATAAAACCTAGATCATAACAATTGTGAAATTTTATTTAAGAAAAAGAATGAAATATATTTTTCCAGGAAAACTTTGATGAAAACTGGTATTTACATCTAACTATAATAGTAAACCTTATAAACTGATACAAACAAAAATTTGATAGGAAAGCTGTGTGGTCTTTAAATGGAAGAATTCTATTTAAATTTGACAACACTGTGAAAACTATACGAAGCGTTATTGTATCGTAATTTCACCTTAGACTAGGTAATTACTTGGTAATTACCTAGGTAATTACTAGGTAATTGCCTAGTCTAAGATTTTCACTGCAAAGGTTATCGTACAATAATTTATTTATTGTCAACGTAAAAATATATTTATTGAACGATTTTGATTTTTGGTCAATGGTTAAATTTGTCAAAGTTATATGTTGGATACACCAGATATTTATTTACTCAAAAACAAAAATGTTTCATTCATAATAGTGTTTAATAATTTCAGCCTCTCTCAAACCGCTTTCTGTGGCTCCTTGCACGTTTGAAAAATAATAAGGATGAGTAGCCTCTCCAGCAAAATGCACAAATGGTCGTCCATCGACGTTTTTGATTGGTACCGACAAATCTTCTTCAGCGTTAGTTGGATTATCTCCTTTCATAGCTTCGGGTTTTTGGAAAGAATATGATCCTCTAAAATGAGGATTAGCGCGCCATTTCGAACTAAAAAAAATAATTCATTTTATCACTATTTGATGCTTTTAATTTTTTCGGGCTTACTGAATTATTTTGTTAGGTTTCGTTACATTGTAGGCATGCCCTAAGAATTTGTTGGTAAGGTAAGTTAAACCGTTTGACAGAGTCTCATCGGATATTAGTTCAATTTCTGGTATTAAATTTCCTGCAAACCAGCCTATTAATACATTTGGATTTTCATCTGCCTTCAAAAAGCCACTTATGTACGTAATCCAAGAACGGTTATTCTGAAATAATAAAATATTTAACATTTAAACAAGAATACATATTATTATTTAAAATATTTAAATAAGAATATTTTTTATAGATTTTACAATCCACATTACAAAGCACTTGTAAAACATCAGATAAAGCTGTTTTTTTATGCGGATGATGCAAATATGAAGTAGTTATAGTCTAAGATCCGAAGTAAGGTCGACCTTCACCCATCTGTTTAATGGATGAAAGTTTCTTTTTATTACATAAAATATATTTATAAATATACCGCAAATGGGTTGCCTAAGAAAATATGGTCCAAACTATTTTTTTTTCTTAAAGTAAAAAAAACGACACCCTGTAAAGTATTCTCCAGATGCTTCAACTATGCCCAAACTTTAGTCAGCTCACCGCAGGATGGATTAAAGCTTAAATTTAAAATTTGGTGATTTTCTCTTTATCCGTTTTTGAGTTGTCTTCAAAATTCGAAATTTGCACTTTTCCTCAAATATCTCGAATTAGGTTCATTTTAGGAAAATCATGTATAAAAACAAAATAATAGATAATGACATCATAAACAACTTTTATCATGATTTTTATACTTTACTTATCTGTACACAAAAAGGAAAGTAAAAAATGGCCGTGACCGTATTTTCTTAGGCAACCCATTTGCGGTATATTTAAAAACATATTTTATTTAATAAAAAATAAGATTTATTCAAACAGATGGGTGAAGGTCGACCCTACTTACGGATCCTGGACTATTAACTGTGAGGGGGGGTTAATGTCATATTATATAAAAGAGAGTTGTCAATATACGTTTGATTTATTTATTGTTTCGGCCTTTACTTGATGAAAATCCATTTAATTTTGAAAGAGTAAAACCAAATTTGGTAGATTTTCACACTTTTATTTTAAAAATAAAAATTAAAAAAAAAAAACACTAACATGACATATGTTTCGAAGTACAACTTCTTTTTCAAATGTGACTATTTACAATTCGGTATCCAATATATATATACGAAATAATTTAACAAAACAAAGTACTTAAGAAAACATCAATAACATTACAAAATAAACTAACTATTTAAAGTAAATAAGGGTACTTAGGTAATTATAATATCCATCAAATAACAATAAGATAGCCCATTACCGGGACTATCTCACAGAAAACTGGGAAAGAGATTTAATAAGGGTGAATTATTAATATCTAATTGATCATTTAGTAAATTATCTGAATTTTTAAATCTATTTATTTCAAGTGTTTCTAAATGGTTTAATTTAAGGCTCTTATTTTCTACATGTAAAATTTCAAAGTTGTCTGTAAAAGAATGATTTTCAGCTAAAATATGATTTGAGTAAGTAGAATTATTTTTGTTTTTTGTATAGCTATTATAATGTTCGGAATAGCGTTTTTTGAAAGTACGGCCTGTTTGACCAATATACAATTTTGGACAACTACCACAATTTAATTTATATACCCCCGATTTATTATTAGGATTAATTTTACCCTTATTGTTTTTAATATACTTCCCAAGCCAAGCCAAACCAATAATACGCTTGGGAAGTATATTAAAAACAATAAGGGTAAAATTAATCCTAATAATAAATCGGGGGTATATAAATTAAATTGTGGTAGTTGTCCAAAATTGTATATTGGTCAAACAGGCCGTACTTTCAAAAAACGCTATTCCGAACATTATAATAGCTATACAAAAAACAAAAATAATTCTACTTACTCAAATCATATTTTAGCTGAAAATCATTCTTTTACAGACAACTTTGAAATTTTACATGTAGAAAATAAGAGCCTTAAATTAAACCATTTAGAAACACTTGAAATAAATAGATTTAAAAATTCAGATAATTTACTAAATGATCAATTAGATATTAATAATTCACCCTTATTAAATCTCTTTCCCAGTTTTCTGTGAGATAATCCCGGTAATGGGCTATCTTATTGTTATTTGATGGATATTATAATTACCTAAGTACCCTTATTTACTTTAAATAGTTAGTTTATTTTGTAATGTTATTGATGTTTTCTTAAGTACTTTGTTTTGTTAAATTATTGCGTATATATATATTGGATACCGAATTGTAAATAGTCACATTTGAAAAAGAAGTTGTACTTCGAAACATATGTCATGTTAGTGTTTTTTTTTTTTTTTTTTTTTTTTAAATTTTTATTTTTAAAATAAAAGTGTGAAAATCTACCAAATTTGGTTTTACTCTTTCAAAAAAAATACGTTTGATTTATAAGGATTGCAATATTTATTTTAAAACTTATTTCATGGCGCAGTCAGTGGTTATTTAGTTGAATTTCCTAATATCTAAAAAATAAAGGAAAGCAACATGCCAAAAAGAAATCTACGGTCCAAAATTTTTGTGGAAGAAGTGGAGCAATCTGCTAGTTGCAGATTGACTTCTTTAGAATCTGCAGTATCTTGTACACAAAATAGTATTACTTTGTTAGAAAAGAAAACTAATAATGCTTTATTTATTTTACACTTATTTCAATGATACTGTCTGAGAAATGTGTCAGTACCTTAGTAGAAAATGGAATTTTAAAAGTATTGTAACGAAAATGGTCTGCAGTTAAATTGCGAAAAAACCTTATATATGAGGCAAAGTATATTAACCATTGAGTAGCGACAGCTGTGAAACCAAATTCTAGTGCGCCGACGCGAAATAGAGAGGCGAAACGTCTTCTAAAGATGTAAACAACCCCTTTCACTTTAGTGCGGCAGCTGATATAGGAATTCGTTGTCATGCTCTTTTATTGTGTTTTTGTTAAGATCTTTTGGGATTTTGTGAGTTTTTTATTATGCCAGGAAATGCATGTGCTTATCGACCTTGCTCGACAAGATCTGGTGATAACAAATCACTGTTTTCATTTCCAGAAGAGTATGAAAGGTAAGTACCTTGAATTACACACTATATTTGATATTTATATCAAATAATAATCTTATTTTTATTGGAACTTATTTCTGAAAATTTGATGTGATAAGGCTTCTTTCGTATATTTCCTATAAAATCTACAGAATATACAGCATATGTACCAGGTTTAACAATTATTATAAATGGGTTTTTTCGAGGATTTCTTGTTTAGAAAAGGGTTCGTTTTATACCTGTCTAACTATATGGACCTATTGTTAGATACAATATTTAAATATTTTAAGAGCATTTTCCTAAATAATTTAACCTTAATTTAACTCTATAAAGCATAAATTGGCCCTGCTTACATTCCTTCTGCATATTTCATGTTGATACTAATATACCTAACTCTGCAAAACTTATATATCTGGAATTTCAAGTCTCTAGCTCATCCGGACGTAGGTAAAAAAATTGAAATTTATCAATAGTGATATAAATATTTTTATATTTACTACATAAGTTAAATACTCATAAATATAAAACTGCCTAATGACCAAACCTTTATTACAAATGTAAACTACAAAAGAGTTTTACTTTTAATTACGTCGAGCAGTGTAAACATCACATTCAAGACCAGTTTATAATTCGAGCAGTATTTTAGTGTGTCCTTCCGTCAATAACGTCAAAAGAGAGAGAAAGAAAATTTGCACTACCCAAGATCAAAGGCACCGACGCTTTATGTCGCTACCAAAGAGGTTAGGTTTGTATAATCTAAGGTCGCTACTTAATGGTTAATATACTTTGTATGAGGTTTCTGTAGTGATATCTTATTTACCTTGTTACCTGTTTGATTAATGTCATAGATTATTTTGGAATTGCCACTGCATCGTTTTTAGTTTTATTCACCTCATTAGCAAAGGTTTTATTTATTACAATTAATGAAACTAAAATTTACATTATCTATATGGACAAGCTACTTCGCCCGGAGATATTCGATGCAGATCTCAGTACGCCTGAATCCGATCAGAAATAGACCCACTAGCTAGCTACTTTTGAAAATGTCCTATCGTCTATTGAAAAGTTTACTGATTCAGATAAAAAAAAATACTCACCAACCCTGTAAGTCATTCCATCTATAAATTCGTCAGAGATTGCGAAAGTTATGATGAAGTAATAAAAACGCTTTATAATATTTATATAAAACCCAAAAATGAAATTTTTGCAAGATATCAACTTTTGACTCGCAAACAACTAACAGGAGAATCTGTAAACCAATATATACAAAGCCTTAAGCAGTTAAGTAAGGAATGCAGTTTTGGTTCTGATGCTCATAAGAATTTCGACTAAGCCTCTTAGAAAATAGTACTTTAAGTTTAGAAGAAGCCGTAACTGACGCCAACGCATTAGAATCTGCCAAGAAACATGCCGAATCATACGCCCAAACTTACTTTCCTCAATGCTGTCCCTTTAACTAAAGAGGAAAACACTGAAAAAGATCCTCAAATATTAAATGCTGCTTTACATTGGCCTAAATGCTATTTTTGTGGCAACAAGAAATATGCACGTTCCGCTTGTCCTGCCGGAGATATAGTCTGCAAGGAATACATAAGCATGGACATTTCGTAAAGGATTGTCAAAATAAGATACAACTGAACAGACCCACAACTGCAGCAATTACTAAAATTATATTAGCCGTTCCCAAATGCCTTTCTAAAACAACTATATCAATAAAAGTTAATAATGTTGAGGCATTATATTAATTCAAATTTTCTTGCTTGCCTTATTCTCAAAGTATATCCTACCCTAGCCAAATATCATTGGCCAAAACTTCATAAAATACTACTGTAGAAGAGCACTGTTTTAATGTTTATGTTAGACTTATGTGCGGATGTCATTATTAGCCTAAATGTTTTAGAACCACATTCAATTGAGTTTCATTTTAATGGCTCTAAAACTCCTTTACATATAGCTGGGTCCCCTACTACACTTTCTACTACTAAAATTTGTCTCCCCTGCTCTGTTTTCAAATTTAGCACCAAATTGTAGGCCAATAACTACGAAATCGCGTAGACACACACAAGATGACGCCAAGTTCATAAACCTTGAAATAGGAAAATTACTTTAGGAAGGAGTAATAAAAGAAAGTCGGTCTCCTTGGCCAGCGAATCTTGTGAATCTTGCAATTAATTCTGCAAATTATATACGATAATCAGAGCCATCTTAAACAATGAAATTCACTCATGTAATAAATGGCATAATGACGAGATTCGTGTACCCTTCTCGAGACTGAAAGAGAGCCAGAATTCTTACAAATATATACTTAAGTGTTAAGTGATTCAATAAAATGAAAACGTTAGTCGCGTGTATCTGGTAGATACATGAAGTGCTTTTATTTCCCCCTCTCCGGTAGTTTAGGCGCCGACTACTCCCACCATTCCAGTAGCTTCCTCGCTTACGGGCATCTTTCGAATCTTTCCTCCATGTTTCAAATAGTGCACGAATCGGCTTGGTACATCTAAGTGGTTTTGAAATATTGGTGTTTTGTATCTCACAGATACACGCGACTCTTGCGGTAATTTTTATAGATATGTTTTTTCTTTGCATATTTTTACTAGTTTTAAAGGTAAATTGAATGGTTATTTGCTATGTGAAATTACATCCTTCAATTGCACTGGCCGATAATAAAAAATATGATATGTATCTAGGAGATACATGCGACCATTAACGTAAATTTTATTGTTTTTAGGCAATAAAATGGAATTTCGACGTGAAAAGTATGATTTGAACAATAAAAAGCACTGTGAGGAGCTGAGAAATCTATTGTTACAACAGGAAAGTGATGATGAAGATGAAAGAGTAGATTAGAAGGCGAAAACAGTGATACAGACGCGTCTGTTTGTTTTGAGGACCGGGAAGAAAATTCTGAGAGCGAACAAAGTGATTATTGTGCGAGTGAAGAAGACGAAGAAGAAAATGCAGTACATTTTACTGCTGTTTAAAAGAAAAGAATGTTGTAGTGAATGAGTGGAAATGGCAAAAATTTCCCCTTTCACAAAGAAGACAAACCCTTCTCAAAATATTCTTATGCAACTACCTGGGTAATTGAATCCGCTAAACATGCTTATTGCTTATAGGATATACGAAACTTTGAACTTATTGATTGATGATACAATGCTGCAGGAGATTGTTGAATGTACCAATAAATACATTCAAAGTATTCAAATACAATTTACTCGGCCTAGAGATGCTAAAATAACCAATATTTCTGAAATCAAGGCAGTTATTGGCTTGTTGTATTTAGCTGGCGTTTACCATTCCAATCGACTAAGTTTAGATGAACTATGGTCAGAGGATGGCGTACAGAGGTTTAGGAAGACCATGAGTTTGAGGAGATTTTGTTTCATAATGCGCTGTTTGAGGTGATGACAGGGAAACGAGAGACGAGAGAAAACACAATCGACCGCTTGGCAGCAATAAGGAATATTTTAGAGGCATTTATGGCAAATTGCCAAAAATCATACTCTTTGGGCCAAAACGTGACTATTGATAAGAAATTATAAGCTTTTAGAGGACGCTGTGCTTTTCGCCAGTATATACCTTCTAAGCCGGCTAAATATGGCATAACAATCTTTGCCCTTGTAGACGCAAAACTATCTTATGCCTACAATATGGAAATATATGCTGGACAACAACCAGAAGGACCATATGGCATAAAGCAATAAACCAGTTGATGTGGTCAAGAGACTTGTTACTCCTATTCATAATTCTGGCCGTAACGTCACGATTGACAACTGGTTCACAAGCTATGATTTAGTAGAAGATCTTAGGCAAAAGAAACTCTCTCTTGTAGGCACTCTGAAGAAAAATAAGCCACAAATACTTAGTACATTCAAAGATATTAAAGTTTGAAGTGTTCCATCTAGTTTGCTTGGGTTTCAAAAAAATTGTACTTTAGTCTCGTATGTATCAAAATCGAATAAAAATGTTCTCTTATTATCAAGTATGCATTTTGATGATACAATAATAGACATCAACAAATGAACAACAGAAACCGGAGATCATAACATTTTATAACGGAACTAAAGGTGGAGTAGACACTGTGGACAGAATGTGTGCAAGCTATAACGTTGCCCGGAACATATAACGCTGGCCGATGGTGGTGTTTTTTTCTATGCTGAACAGTGCTGGAATTAATTTATAAATACATTTTGTTGGAAACCAAAACAAAGTGGAAAGTAGAAAAAGTTTTTTATATGATCTGACTAAGCAGTTAACCGAACCTAAGATACAAAGACGACAAGTGAAAAACGTAGAAGTTCTACCGGATGCCGATCTGAAAATATCCCTGCTCCTGTGCTACACGAAAATGAGGATGTACCCAGAAAAAGAAAACGATGTAGTCCGTGCTATTCACAAACAAAAAAATCCCGTCTCACAAAATTTTTCTGTGTAAAATGTTCAAAACCTTTGTGTCTTGATCACTGTAAAAGTATTTGTAAAGATTGTGTTCCTGGGCAAATAATGTAAATATTTATGAATAATTTAATTATTTTATAATTATATCTATTCTTTTTTGTTTTGTAAAGCAAAAATGTTCAAATAAAGCAGTTTTCTAATTTTTTGTATTATTTCAAAACCCTAAAAATGATAATGTATCTATCAGATACATGCGCGACCAATCCTTAAAGCTTTTTGACGCGACTAGCGGAAGGTTAAGTATAAAATCTGTACAATTATAAACTGGTTAGAACTGGATATTATGAATGTGTTTTTGTGTGGATGTGTCCGGTGGTAGAGTGTGAAAGCTGAATATATGAAAACTTGACTAGTCTGATAAGATTTTTAAATATGTACATGTAAAAAAATACTTTTATTGACGAATAAATCCTATTCTAAATTCTATTCTAAATTCTATTCTAAATTCTATTCTAAATTCTATTCTAAATTCTATTCTAAATTCTATTCTAAATTCTATTCTAAATTCTATTCTAAATTCTATTCTAAATTCTATTCTAAATTCTATTCTAAATTCTATTCTAAATTCTATTCTAAATTCTATTCTAAATTCTATTCTAAATTCTATTCTAAATTCTATTCTAAATTCTATTCTAAATTCTATTCTAAATTCTATTCTAAATTCTATTCTAAATTCTATTCTAAATTCTATTCTAAATTCTATTCTAAATTCTATTCTAAATTCTATTCTAAATTCTATTCTAAATTCTATTCTAAATTCTATTCTAAATTCTATTCTAAATTCTATTCTAAATTCTATTCTAAATTCTATTCTAAATTCTATTCTAAATTCTATTCTAAATTCTATTCTAAATTCTATTCTTTAAATTCTATTCTTTAAATTCTATTCTCTAAATTCTATTCTCTAAATTCTATTCTATAAATTCTATTCTCTAAATTCTATTCTCTAAATTCTATTCTCTAAAATCTATTCTCTAAATTATATTCTCTAAATTCTATTCTCTAAATTCTATTCTCTAAATTCTATTCTCTAAATTCTATTCTCTAAATTCTATTCTCTAAATTCTATTCTCTAAATTCTATTCTCTAAATTCTATTCTCTAAATTCTATTCTCTAAATTCTATTCTCTAAATTCTATTCTCTAAATTTTATTCTCTAAATTCTATTCTCTAAGTTCTATTCTCTAAATTCTATTCTAAATTCTATTTATTTTAAATAATATTCTAAATTCTATTCTAAATTATATGCTAAATTCTATTCTATATAGGAACATGTACATACTCGTAAAAGAGAGAGACCGCTGTTAGCGAGCATCGACACAATTTCGACTTCTGTCCGCCAAACATGTACATGTTCCTATTTATAACTTGTTCAACTCACTGTAAGATTTTTTCCGTCTTAAAAATTTCTTACCTATATAGTTTTTTATTGTATTAAGAACGTGTCAATAATAGATCACATACGTTGTATATTTATATCAACTGAACTTACGTAATGAGGTCCCTCTGGAAACTCAGAAACAGAATTCTCCCTGTCTTCTGTGCTCCAAATAAAATTAAAACCATTAGAACTGTCGTCCCACCAAGGATTTTCATAATACATAGCAACTTTCATGATAACGCCAAATCCCATATTTTTTATGGCTTTCCTTTTGACTAAAGGTAACTCAGGTTCAAATAAGCTGTTCATATTTTCTTTTAACACCCCTAAAGATGTCGTAACTATTACATGATCGGTTACAAACTGAGTATTATCAGAACAAGAAACCGTCACACCCTGCCATTTCTTGCTAGCATCGTAAGACACTTTTTTGACTTCTTTGTTGAGAATTACTTTTTCTTGAACACCTGAATTGTTGAAAAATACTTCTAGGAAGGTCTTGTATCCTTTGCCTTTCCAGTTTAACATAGGATTACCTTCGTTTTCTATGTAGTCGTCACCTAGGTTAATCTCGAACCATGTACTGCTGCCCTCGTTACTTAGCATCATGATTTCGATAAAGTTTATAGCGTCTTCAGCTATTTTTAATTTTTCTTTGTCCGCTCCGAATTTCTCGTTTATTGCTTTGTTATAGCTAAAAAGAAAATACATAGAAAAAATGGAGTAATACACAAAATAATTTTGTAAAGTAGGCCTTGGTAAATATCGACTGGTACACGGCGTACAATTCTTCTTTTTAAGTGTCACTTTAGATTTAATACAGAGCAGTGCGTAGTTATCACGAACATGACTTATATCTCTGTCTTTGTTGGTCATGAAGAAATATTTTTTTTTGTGGATCACTTTTCATTATATTTGACATATAACACAGGAAATAATAATATCTATACTCTGTTTTTAAACTAGGAGGAGCGATTTGAAGTTAAGTTGGCAATTCTGTAGACTTCTGATTGGTCAGATTGCAGTCAGTTTCACACATCACTTTTTAGCATTAACATCGCAGCTAATTCAATTACTGACAATTATGGATAGTTTTGACATTTTATATTTTTAGTTTTATTATTGCTTTCATCCCTTTGATATCTCATCATTATTACTAGTTTTTTAATTTTTTTAACAGTTCTTTTTAGAATATCCAGTAAGCAATTAATTGTATTGAATTTCTACAATTATGTGTCATTTTACACGGAATATGGTTAGCAGTTCCTCAAAAGCAATTCAAGTAAGGGGAGACGCCTTATTATTTTGCATGCTAGTTCTGAAGAAGGTTTTGTAGAAAAGGCGTTGTTGATTTGTGAAGCCAAAAAGACGGAAGATTGCCATAAGAAATGAATTCAGAAGTATTATAGAAAAAAAACTAACCTTATTACTGATTTTTTAAACTAAGAATTGATAAATTTCTTACCAAAATGATTAAATTGTAACTAAATATTGAAGTAAACTTTATTAGGAAATTGATCATTTACAAAATAAAATATTTATAAAATATTTAACAGTAATGATATAATGTTGACATGTTTGTAGTCTTATGAAAATGTTTGTTCTAGTTTTCAAAACAAATCCTGACTGACAATAAGCTTTTAAATGCCTTCATTTGCCCTTTAGCGTATCAACCATGTGTTAACACTAAATAAGCTACAGTAAATCTATGTTACTCATAGAACAAATTCCAGTCATTGTGTGATCCAGTTGCTTCGAGCATATAATATATGCTCCAAGTCCAGTTGATTTTCACTGAGAGTAAAAAGTATTGTATGTTATAGGTGTCCAAGCCGCTAATTAAGTTTATACATATAACAAATATATCCTTGAAAATGTAAACAGACCATATTTTTATATTTTATACCAATCTGCATCTTGATATTCTGTTAACAATTTTCTTAAATATTCAATCTCTATTTCAAAAAGATAATAGATATTCTCAAAAAGTCGATTTCAAAAGCAAGAAAAAATATTTCTCAAACTATAACGTAAACAAATCAACGGCCATATTGAATTTCATTTGACAATTCGTTTTAGACATGTTTCAGATCAAAATAAAGTGAAATTTACTACAGTTGTTTGGGACCAATAAAAATTGCTACTCCTATGACATTTATTCGCTCTTAACCCCTTATTGGACGGCGCCGACTAGGGCCGATAATAATAACTATTTCATAGATTTTGAACCAGACTATATTTCAAAACACACTCTTAAGCTATGGTTCTTTCCACGCGGCCGTCGCATGCGGCAGCCGCAACGCGACTATCGCGAGCGGCCGCCGTTCTATCGAGTGGTTTCTTAGCATCGCATCGCGTCGCGACTCAAGCTCGTGAACGATCAGTATAAAGAGAACTCTCTTTGGTGAAAGTCGTGATGGATAATCTCATAATGTACTTATTACTAGAAGAAGAGGAGGATGAAGAAATATTATTACAATTAGCCAATCTAAAAAATAGCTTAATGCCTCAGCTATTTCTTTCCAGGCGTTTTCTTTGACAACCTGATCCTTATATAAACTATGGGCCAAATCGAATAATGCGGGATGTTTTGCCACTAATTCAACTAATAGTTCATCTTCAGTCACCGTAAATAGCACTTTCGACATGTTTGGGTACTTTTCTAATTCAAAAAATGCCAATCGAATATACTAAATAAAAAATCAAACCAAAAATTGCACACAAAACAACAACAAACGCTCTCGCGGCTGCGGCTATACTGCTTCTCGAGCAGTACAGTCGCGTCGATAGTAGTCGTTCGCGGCTGACCCGCACGACGGCCGCTCGGAAGGAACCGGGTACGTTTAAAAGCATACGTAGGAGAGCGTTGCGGCTAACGCAGTGCGACAGCCGCAGGCGACGGCCGCGTGGAAGGAACCATACCTTTAGTAACGAACGAATCTAGTTACTTTTCCCTGTGTAAATGCGTCGTTTCAATTCGCTCCTCCTAGTTAAAAAACAGAGTATAGTAAGGTGTCAACTGCCGACTTCCATTTATCTACGTGACAGTAAGAAGAAAAGCAATTGAAGCAGCTGCCAGTCCCACTGATAATATTTAGCCCTGTGGGAGTTATTTAGCAAATTATGAATTTTCTGAGGCACTAAACCTTGTAACGGTTGAAACCGTTTTCTTTATTTTGACGCAAACATCTCTACCCTAATGTCATTTGTCGTTTATGCCTTGTGTCAAAAGTTGATAATTCATTTCGATTTATATCTAGGAAAGAGATAATATGCTTTACTATATTTAAATATGTTAAATAGGACTTTTTCTTTTCCTATTAATTTTGGTCTCTGTGAAACTATTCACTTCATAGTTTAAATTGTTCATTTAATAGTAAAAAGCATTTTATCTGTTTCCTATGTAAACTTCCTAGTTCCTTTCTTGATATTTTTACCTTTTTCCCTGTAGCCTGGCTGTCTCTAGACGGTTCTGTAGGAGTTATATCTAAATAGATTGTTTAGATGTTTAGAAGTTTAGAAGAAAGTTCAAGCTGCATATTTTGATGTTTAGAAGTATAGAAACTTAGAAGTTTAGTTCCTGCTACAGAAGTTTATTTCAAGTATATCAAGAGATTTAGTTCGAGTCATCTAAAGAAGTTTATGAGATTTAAGTTTACCTATGAAGATTTATACTTAAGAGTTGGTGATATCCGAAGTGTATCATACGAATCCCCTTGAAGAAGGCCTCTACAAGTCACTCCTTAAATATTACCTCTTATTCAACAGATAAGTCATTCTTGAATAAATCATTTAAATTTGAATAAGTAAGTCTCTGTGAATTAGAATTTGTCGCTACCTTATCTGAAACCTTATTTAATTATATTATCTTAATGGTTAGTGATTTTCTATATTTTTATCATTAATCGATAGTCAAGTTTAGTAAGTTTTAAATATAGTGGCGCTCAACATTCTTTTTGCAAACTACATCCAAGTTGATGAGGCGTGGGACATGAATTTAGATCATTCGCGCATTCTTTTCACTCTTAGTGACACCATTATCCAAAAAGAAAGCGCTCTTAGACTAATAAATAGAAGAACAGGCTGGCAAAGTGTTTCAGACTGGACCTTGAAAATAAAATCAATCTTTCAGTTTCATTAAGAACAAAAGTACAGCTAGATGAAAAAGTAGAAGAACTACTTGTGTCTAACATACAGCAAGCAGCATGTGATAATACGCCACCTACTGTTCAGCGAACAACAGGAAATAACTATCCTAAAGAAATAAGGGACCTAATCTCTGCAAAAAGAAAACTAAGGAGGAAATGGCATCAGACCAGGGCACCATCAGATAAAATCAAACTTAACAACGCCACCCAGCAGTTAAAAAGAGAGATAAAACGAATCAAAAATGAATCTATTTGTGAGAACCTTAGTGAGTAGACAAACGATAAATCCATTGTTTATTCCCTATTGAAAGCCACAAAGCGATTAAAAAGGCTCACTGTGCAGAATGCTCCAATCAGAAATACAGATGGCAACTGGGCTAGAAATAATATATAAAAAGTTACTAGATTCGCAAATCACTTACAAAATACCTTCCAACCAAATTACCAAATTGGTCTCGTCCAGAGAAATATGACTTAATTATCAGACCAACCTCTCCAAAGGAAATTGCAGGAGATATAAAAACACATATTAATCCTAAGAAAGCTCCTGGCTTTGATTTAATTGCAGGCGAAATATTAAAACAACTTCCAAAGAAAGCCATCATTTAACTTACACACCTGTTTAAGTAGCTGAAGTTATTATGATTCTCAAACCAAGAAAACCTCCGAACGAAGTTTCGTCATATATGCCAATATCTCTATTGTTTATAATATCGAAACTATTTGAAAAAATACTAATAAAAAACTGAAACCCATCATTAAAGAAAGGAAATTAATTCCAGATTCCCAGTTCGGCTTTAGAAAAAACTATAGATTAGGTAAATAGAAGTTCAAATGCGATTGAAAAAGAATTAGAAAACAAAGAAGTCTGTTCAGCCATCTTCCTCGATGTTGTGCAGGCTTTTGATAAAGTATGGCATGATGGCTTAAAACATAAACTGAATGTGCTACTTCTACAGTCATACTTCATACATTTCAGATAGATTCTTAAGAGTAAAACAAGATGAAGCATACTCTGAATTGTGACACACCCCAACTAGAACAAGACACAATAGCTACATTTGCAGATGATACTGCCATCCTAGCGATAGGCAGAGATCATGAAGAGGCTGCAAATAAACTATAAACATCAGTTAATCAAATAAATAATTGGACCAAATGATGGCGTATTCAACTAAACGAAAACAAATCTGTTAAAATTAATTTTACTAACAAAAATGGTCAAAGAATACCAATTAACATAAATAATGCCCAGGTCCCTTATGCTAACTCGGCAGAATATCTAGGTATTACATTAGATGCAAGACTTCGTTGGAAGGTCCATGTACTTGGTAGGCATTTCCGCCTATCTACATATAACAAAATTCTATTATATAAACAAGTTCTCAAACCAATTTGAACCTATGGCATTCAGCTCTGGGGGTTGAGCCAGCTACAGTAATATTCTAATAATCCAAAGATTCCAAAATAAAGTATCGAGGAACATTGTTGATGCTTCTTAGTATATTAGAAACAGCGACCTTCATCGAGACCTTCAGATAGAGACTGTTGACCAGACTATCACCAGATTCGCTAGGAGTCCCGAATAATGACTCCACCAACCTGAGAACGTTGAGGCGATCCAGCTTCTTGACAACACGAACCTGACAAGAAGACTCAAGAGAGTGCAACCTTTTGAGTTAGCCAAGTGATTGTATTTTTTTTGTGTGTCATCGGCTTCAACTGCTAAGGTTATTTCGCCTCGTGTTCTGTGTAGGCTTTGTTACTGTTTCCCATCACCACTTTAGGAACCACACTGTTAATTAGAACCCAACAGTGAATAGTCGAGTGGGGAATCCTACCAAGGCATTTGTATTGATAACAAAGACATTACAACATAGACACAAAATGTTTCATTCATAAATCCCTTACAATTGCGGACTGTTATTGTTTTAAAATTGTTAGTGAGTGGAAAGACAGATCTCTTAGGACCGGCTGGCAACGTTATAAACAGTGTCCATAATATGCTCGCCAGTGGCGTAGAGTTTTAAACTTACCAGTATTGTCAGAGTAGTATGTTAAAAAAATACGTAAATAAGTAGGTATATTTTTTTAGTAATATAATTATGATGATTCTTTCATGTAGGTAAAATTCAAGTACAAGTAAATTCAAATACAAGAGAATTCAAGTTACCCTCCGATTTTTAATATTTATTGGTTTATAGTTTATTGGCATTTACTATATATTTGCCTGATATGGAGTTAACCAAAATTATTTAAAATTTTAAATTAACAATAAGTAGGTAGGGGTATCTAAATAAAACACTGTCCTAAAAATATATAATTTTTTAATTAATAATTACAAAAAACATAGTATGGCAAAAAATATCGTAAAAAAACTGTAAACATTTAAAATAACGTTTTAAATATATTAAATACCTTAATTTTATTAACTAAAATTTCATTTAATTTTTTATGCTTAGTTATTAGTGTTACTTAATCAATGTTTTTTTGGCAGCAGGTTGTGTTCCAAAAACAGTTGAATCAGAACTAAAAACCCATACATTAGATATACATACATATAGGTAATAAATAATGTTTAGAGGTGAACAAAAAATAATATTTTGTATTTTTACCTGTTGGATAAGTCATCCAAAAATAGAAAGCCCTCACACCGTCTAGGGTTTGCATCTTTTCTGATATATTTAGCACCATTTGCACGAACCAAAACATCTTCAGGAAAAAAGTGTTCTGAACACAACTCTGGGTTTTTACGAAGGAGCTGATTTTCAAGGATCCCTACGAGAAAACCAAAGTTTTCTTTTCTCAGAATCTTGCGGAAACCTAAATAGAATATTAAAAAATATGTATCGGTGCCTAATAGGTATAGTATATTACATTACGAGTGTGGAAAATCACTTTTCACACAAGTGATGTACAATATTTTTCCTACGACCACAAAATAATGTCATCAAAAAAATGTAAAACCTAGGTTATTATTACTATAACAATTAAAATGTATTTAAAAAAATAATCAACAATAATCGTATTTATTCAATTTTCATATTTTCTAAACAAAAAAAACTAAAAAAAAAAACAAAAACGCGGTCGAAAAATGGCAAAGTTGATAAGTTCGACGTCCTAACCACCTGAGCTAATAGCCCTTGTGTCAATTGAATGATCTAATCGGTTATGTATTTAACTAGAATAAAGAGCAAACATTATTTTAAAATTATTTTAATAATAATTGTTAAAGATAAATATCTAGGATCTAATTTACCACAATTTCAATAATTTAACAATCATATCGATTTTAGTATTAATATGGACATTACATAGATCAAAATAGAAATTAGGTGTTTGACATTTTGTAACAACTACTGCGGAAAGTAACATATTCTCACTCGGGTGGAAAGTAAATTCTTATTCATACGCGTGTGATATAGGGCACTTTCCATAGGACTATATAGTGTGATATGTGTCACTTTCCTAAGTGGTCGTAGGAAAAATCATTTTTAATGTATTCTACATTTTACGTTAAATTTTCTTTGCCACTATTCAATAATTATTTATTGGTATAAGAATAATTTACTAATTTATAAAAGGAATATCACTTTAAAAACTGTTTTAGACTACACAAGTTTTTGATACAATTTCTTTATTTAAATTGTATATTATCAAACCTGCAGTAAATTGTCTAAAAAATTAGATTGGATAATCATTTTTCAAACAATTTACTATGTGATCCTATACAATATAAATTCTATAAGAAATTGTATCAAATCTTGTACAAGAAATTGTATAGTCAAAACAGTCTTAAGACGGCTGTCTTACCCAAATGAAAACAACACATCTTAACCTAAAAATACTTACCGATAGAAGGATAAATTTCGGTTTAAATGACCTACCTTATTGAACACTACACATGCATGTACCATAGTTCTTTATATTTCTCACAAAAGTTCACAAAAATAGTATTTTATAAATGAATAAATCAACAAGTCACACAGAAACTGTCAGAAACACAAAATAGCTGTTAGACCCGATTGGCAACGTTGCGGCTGGTTAACGTAAGTACATTTCATTCATAAAAATATTCGTAAAATAAGATATTCTGCGTTGCCGTATTTACGGAGTTCTTTGCAACCCTAATATTTTGTTTAGATTAATATTGATTTTTAATAAAAAATTTAGCTTATATTAAAACTTTAAAGAATAATTTGATTAAAAACATATTTTTATTTATATAATATAAAATTATACCTAGTTATAGGATACATCAAATTTTATTTTTCGAAAGTAATTTCTTCAAATAATTTTTACAGACTGATAAAACCGGCAAAGACGCAATAAACGACAATCTGGTGGGAATAATGATTTGCCACATAAAAATGTAAACAATTTGGTCCCTTAGTTGTAATGTCTTTGATTAATAACAAAGCAAAGCATTGTGCGGTTTAGTGTTACACGTTAGTTTAGTGTAATTAAGTTATCAGACCCTAAGGTATATAGCGAGTAGAACTTTAGTTTTTAAGATTGCAACCCTAGTTAAGTAAGGTTATAACAAAATTACCTAATTAAAATACAGAAACGAAAAAATAATAAAAATTTCTTAAGGTAAAACTTAAAACTATTAAATTTTAAATGATTTTTTATAAATATAAAATCAGTAAGTACTTATAATGTTTTTAAATATTTCTTCTCCCGCCATTAAGTACAAAATAAATTATTGTTTTTGATAGGATTTAGATACTTTTCTGATAAATATCATCTTTAGTTCATGAACTATATCCATTGTAAGAGTAAATATTATATAATTGTCCGATTTCGACGTACAACTAGCATAATAAATAATTCTTTAACAAGACAAAAGTCCCATATATTTATTTTCGATTTGGACGCGCAAGGCATTTAGCATATTATTTAAACAGTATCTGGGGTTGGCATTAGGGTGAACAGGAAACGAATAATATCAGTGTTGCCAGTTTATACAGTCTGGCCAAGGTTACAACGCGGCCGGACTTGAAGTTTTCTAATATTGTTTTTGTTTGGCATTTGATATCTGTATATTATTATATTTATGATTTAATTTATGCAAATTATAAATTTATATGTAAAAGCTTATTTTTTTATATGAATATTAAGATTCCTAATTCAATAGTTTGATATTTTAGTATCTGATACAAACTTACTATTTTTTAATATAATCTCCATAAGTCATATTTTTGGCAGACTCATCTACGTCTGGATAAATCGTAAGAATAATTTCAATTAATTCCTCTCCAAACTTTGGATCTACCTTGACTCCAGAGGAATGATAAAACTTTTTGGGTATCTTTCCTTCTCCCAGCAGATTTAAATCTTTAACGGTGTTATATACAATATTGCCCTTTTCTCCATGGCAAAAGGTTGCACCAAGGTCGATGTAATTGTCTCCAAAAAACACGCTGTTAATTCTACCTCCAATTCTAGATTCTGCTTCTAGAATGGTTATGTTGTGGATGCCATTTTCTAGGAGTTTTTTAGCTGCTGATAGGCCTGAAGTTCCAGCACCTATTATAACTACAGAGGGAGTTGTGGTGGCATTTGTTAAAAATACTGTAGTTATCAGTAATATAAAACCTTGAAGGCACTTCATCTTGTATGGTTGAAAATCACTGTGAAGAATTTAATTTAATGTAGATAGGTATGGCAAGTTTTCCTTTATTAAATTATTGATAACCTTATTAAATCGAGCAGTCAACATATTTTTACTGCATGATTATTGTTGTTTTCGTTTAAACTAATTTTAGATAGAATTTTAATAGTTTTATTGATATTAGAATTAAAAATAATAAATAACGTTAAAGCAGATAACAATTTAAAAATTGATAAAAGTCTTCATAGCAACTACTGTTTCATTATTGTTAGTGTTGGAAAGATGAATAAAACAGTTTTTCTTTTTATATAATTATAAATATCTAATGTGTCTAACAAATGATTATCCTGTAAAATTATCAAGTATTTTCAGTACGGCCCATGTATTTAAAAAGAATTCGAGTTAAAGATAAAAAACACATATATTTTATTGTAAATCAAAATACTGAAATAAAATTTGCACTTTTCCTCATAATTCTCCTCAACGATTTGTTTTAGAGAAATTATAATTATAATGATATGTTAAGCTCCAAGTATATACAGTGCCGGCCACTGAACATTTTCCAATACCTCTTGCATAAATCTATGTCAAAACAACAGAGAGTTGGTATTAATGGAAGCAGGAAACGAATAATATCAGTGTTGCCCGTTTATACGGCCCGGCCAACGTTACAACCTAGCAACGTTGCTAACTCTCTGTAGTTTTCACATGCACTTGTGGTGAAGTCACATTCGAAAACTTGACAAATGATAAAATTTCATTTGATTTTAAGTTGTAAAATGTAGTAAATTTCTTTATATCACAAAACGTTGTACGATACACGTCTGTTACCTGATCTCTACGTGCTCGCATGTAAAGATCTAGGTAACGGGATCATAGCGTAAACTACTATAACAGGTAAATAAATATTACTTGTAATTAAATTTATGTTCTTGATATCAACTTCTAAGAACTGATCAAATTGTTTTTTATACTTATTATACCAAATGTTATCTTTTTTATATTTTTTGGTCAAAATTGTAATATATCTAGCACTATAAAAAAGACAAAGAAATATGTAGTAATGTAGTAATAAAATATTTGATACATATTTTGAAAATAGTTCCAAGTGAGCTAAATTTAAACATCCAGCTTTTTGTTATTATTATTAGAACCAGAGAAGTTTTATATATCGGGTGGAGTGGTGCATTTTGTTTTTTGGCAGCATCGGGCTTATTACAAATCTTCTATTTAAAACTTTTAACACCGGTGTTCGATTTGGAACAGGTGAAAATTGAAAACTCTGAATTTTTTCGAGAAAAAACAACATCTAATTGGCTTTTAGCTGCTAACTAATTTGTTTTTATTTTCGTTGTTTTCAATCATCTCTACAGTAATTGTTGTTTTTTTAATGAACATTTAAAAATATTTGAGGAATTTTTTAATTAGGTTTGTTGTGTTGAAATTGCACGAAAAACACAAACCTGAGAATTATTAAAAAAAGTATCTTAAAATTTGTAACTTTATTATATGGAAGGCTCCTAAAATTATCTGATTAATACCAACATTTTATTAAAAATAATAAATCTCCAGGATGGGATGAAATTCGTTCTGAAATCTTAAAGTAATAAGTAAAGATATTGCACCTGTCCTGTGTTACTTATTCAATAGATCAATTCAAATCTGCACATTTTCGAAATAAATAAAATTAGCCGAATTTTTACGTTAATATAAAAATGGCGACAAGTCTTCTATCAACTAATTTCGTTAATTTTCAATATTGCTGAGATATTACAAAAAACATGTTTCATCGTTTCTTAAAAAATGCAACAACGTTCTTTTTAAAATTCAATATGGTTTTTAAGAAAACATGTCAAAGTTCGATGCTATACCCTAGTTGGTTTGAAATATAAATAATTATCTCGATAAAAAATATAATTCCGTCGCCATATTAATAGATTTAGCCGATGCGTTCGATACGGTAGATCACAAACAATTATTAGGTATCTGTGCTTCAAAATGTAGGTCTCAGAAAAGTTGCTTCCAAATTTTTACAAAGCTACAATAGCATTTGCTGGTAAATTTGGTATTAACAGTTCTCTTAGCCACTTTTCATAATTTTCTTGATTCATATCAATATGATAATCACCAGATTTGGCTCCAGACACAAACAATAATAAACTGTTAGGAATAAAGCCCATGTTACCACCAGCATAAACTATAATAAGTCTCTTTCTTTTCGAAATGGTGGAAAACAAACCTTTTGCATTATGATCACCCCAATTATGTGATGATGTATGGCTACCAGTGGCGGCTGGTGGTAATTTAAAATGGGTGTTTACTTTTTCCAATAATTTTATCATTTGTAAGTTCGGATTAAAACTTTGTACAAGAGTCAATATCGCTGTTTTTTTTTTATTATTTGAGTTTGTACTAAGTGTAGTTATTATTATCAACATCATACTGTTTTCAATCACTACAACTATTAATAAATGAATATTTTAGTTAGTATAATATTTGTTTTGTTTTTAATACGTTAAAAACCATCTATAAACATTATTAGTTAGTAAACTGACTTTTCTTCATAATTTGAGATTATTTTTAAATATATATCAGGTTATGTAGAAAGCTTGACATTGATTTTTGTGTAAAAAATTTTATATTTATTTATTTATTTATTTCACAACCCAAACAGGCTTTTAGCCTTATTACATGGATATTATTGCTAAGACTGTTACAATAATTAAATTAATATTATTAATATAATATGAACGGCGAAGTTGACAAATTCCGAAGTTCCGTGAAATAATGATCAACCCAATATTGATTGTTAATAATTATGATAGTTTAAATCCCATAATTTTTAAAATAATTTAATACAACTTTACAATACTGATTAAATGACATATTCCAATCTATAGTATGCATAACATTAACATTATTAGCTAAGGAGAGAATAGAGTAAAGTGGAGAGCAGCGCATCAATATTTTTAAGTTAAACAAAAGAGTGGAGCGCGTGCGTTTTGGAGGAACATTGAAAGGTATAAATGCTAATAAATTATTTGATGTATTTTGATTATTCATCAAACCAAACAAAAACTTCATCATAGCTTGCTTACGTCTAACGACTAGAGACGTTATTTGGAATTCTGTTCTTAGCATTTGTGTTCTTACATGATTGTAATCGGGCCAACGGTGATGTTTTTTGTAGTATAGATACCGAAGAAACTTATTTTGAATTTTTTCCAGATTGTCAAGATATATTTGTGGTTCTTGTACCCAAATTATAGAAGCAAAATCTAATTTAGGTAAAACAAGAGTGTTGTAAAGAGTTTTGATTGAAGATAAGTTCGAGAATGAGGATGTTTGCCTAGTAATGAAACCAAGCATTTTATTTGCGCTTTTAATGATTTTTTCTATATGAGGACTAAAAGATAATTGATTATTATAGGTTACGCCAAGATCTTTTATTTCTGAGACTCTGTTTAATAGATCAGTGTCCATTGTGTAGTCAAAAATAATTGGCTCTTTCTTGCGAGAGATTGTCATTTATGTATGTTAAAATATAATTTACTATGAGTACTCCATAAATAAACATTATTGATATCTCTTTGAAGTGCTACACTGTCCCTGACTGTGTGTATTTTCTTAAATATTTTCAAGTCGTCAGCATAAAGTAGACACTCTGAATTGTTTAGACAAGAAGGAAGGTCGTTAATAAATATTAAAAAAAGTAATGGACCGAGGTTAGAGCCCTGTGGCACACCCGAATTTGAGAGATATTGGTTGGAGATTTTTCCATTGAATTTTACAGAAAAATGTCTATCCTGCAAATAACTTCTTAGTAATTTTAGTAAGTTTCCTGTTACACCTAAATTGTTTAATTTATTTAATAAAATATCGTGATTTACTTGGTCGAAAGCTTTACTAAAATCCGAGAATATTGTGTCTAATTGTAGTTTCTCATTTAATGCTCTGGTAGCATGTTCTGTAAAAATTAATAAGTTTGTATTTATTGATCTTCCATTTGATCTTCCTCAGCTAAAATATTTTTCATGTGGTTGTATATTTTACTATAGAGAATATGTTCAAATACTTTAGACGGAGCACATAATATTGCAATTCCCCTATAGTTTTTAATATTTTGTTTATTCCCAGATTTATGAATAGGTGTGTAAAACTTTACCTACCATTTTTTAGTTAGTTAGATGTCAAATAAAAAATAGGTATATTTTTTAAATACCTTTTATTGGCAAATAAAATAAGAACTAAAATGTTTTAAATGTTTATTTTATAAGATCAGTCCCATCACAATACATAATATTACACAGACACAAACAATAATAAAGATATATACGAGTAATGCCTGGCATTCTAAATGATACTCTTCGCAGTTTAACAGAGCCCCTTAACCCTCATTTTCAACCAGATTGTTTTCACAATCAATAGGCCTCAACTCCTTATCGAGCTTGATTTTTACTAAAAATTTCATGTTGATATCCCTTTTCACTTTTAATTTTTTTTTTAATTTCAACCCCCCTTAAATCCCCCATATTAAATAAGATTTTTTTATAATTAAAGGGATTCTTCACCTTTTAGAGATTGATGTTTGCTAAAAATTTATATCATTTTTCGTTTTTCAGTTAGGATTTTTTTTTATATTTTAACCCCCCTTAACTCCCCAATATATTTATATTTTTTTCAGTATCAATAGGCTTTATCTTCTTATAAAGCTTCATTTTTATTAAAAACTTCATGTTGATATCGCTTTTTGTTATTAATTTAGGATTTTTTTTAATTTCAACTCATCTTAACCCCCTATTTGTAATCAGATTTGTTAAAAATCAATAGGTTTTGTCCCCTTATAGAGCTTGATTTTTGCTTAAAATTTTCAAGTTGATATCATTTCTCGTTTTTGACTTATCGTGCAGACAAAAAACGTGACATCGGACAGACAAAAAAAGTGATAGTTTTTGAGAATAATTAAAAAAACTGGCGCCATCATGTCACGTTTAAGGGTAGTTTTTTAAGCAAAAGGGGATCAAGTCCACTCAGGACAGGTGGGAACTCTTTAATTTTATATTTGTATGTCTATTAGGAACCCCCACCCGCAGTATTAAATCTATACATTTTCGGCCAGTCCGGACATGGTCTAATCCTTTCAGTCTCTCTTCGCCTCGTTTGTGCCTATACGACCCCATTTGTTCGATTACCAAAAGTACCTATTCATAGAAATAAGTCGACCCCCGAAACCCAACTCAGTGTTACGCTTGTGCCAAATGGGACGGCTATTGTCAACGTCGATCAATAGTCTGAAATACAGTAGAATATTTAATGAATAATATGAAATTGAAACTTGGCGAAGGTGCCATATTGTAATATTTGGGAAGTTTCGAGAACCTTCACCTTTTTATATAATTGGGCTATATTGCTGTGGCAAAGTCAGTTGAAGATAAGAGTTGATGTCGAGACCTAGCTGGAAAGCAGATCGATATATTTAATGTCCATATAAATTAGTATTTAAATAAATGTGATATATAAATTAGCATAGGTATTTAAGTATACATAAATTAATTTGTGTCTTAGTGTAAATAAATTATTAAATAAACTTTAAAATAATAATAATAAATCTACCTTACTATATTTCTTCTAAAAAATCTAATTAGTTAAGACTATTTAAAAACCTTTCCACTTTTATTCATAAAGGTTTTCTACTATGCATTAGTTTAAAGTCATTTGTCATGTGGTAGAGTAGCATTAGGTACATCCTATATACAGGTACCACCATAGGCGCCGGAATTCAAAAATCGCTTTGGGTGCCCGGCTTCTATGCGGAAAATGGGGGCTATCCCCCCCCACCCTCCACACCTTACTTAAAGGCACCACCAGTTTTTTAAAAAGCTATTTTAAAGTTCAGTTTATAAAATTAAAAAAAAAAAAAAAGGTATTGTCAACTGGCAATTGCTGCATAGGCTGGATGTAGGCTCCCACCTAAAACGGGATATCTGGCAACCCTAAATGCTCGGTGCAGCCACCACTGGTATTTTTACATAGTTTATAACCCCCAAGTTTTAAATCGCTACTGTCTTCCTAGGCATGATCTTTTAACGATTTTTATTTTCTGTAAAAGCCTACCAGTTACTCGAGTAAATGCTAGAAATGCTGACCCTGGGAATCCATGCAATAATAGAGGTTTTGTTCAAAATGCTCTCGGACATTTTGAAGCATCTATGGGGTGATTTGATGACATTCAACAATTATCCGTTGTCCCAGATTTTCCAGTGATGTTAGCTGGGTGGCATAAATTTTAGTTTTTAAGTGGCCCCATAAAAAATTGAACGGGCTTAGATTCGGAGACTGTGGGGGCCACTCAATACTTTCTCTTCTTCCGATCATGGAAACCTGGAAACGTTTGATCCAGGAACAGTGGCGCACCGTCATGGTGGAATATTAAGTTATCTGCTATGTACTGATCGTCATTTTCAACCAACTCTAGTAATGCTGGATAACTAGCGTTTTCTAATAATTCCAGATACATTTCTGCGGTTAAAGTTGTGACGTACCGTTGTGACGACCGTACCGTTTAGGAAAAAGTGCATTGTCTGAATAACACACGTTGAAAAGAAATTGCTGATCATTTAGTACCCGTTCAGTCATAATTTCGCAAAATTGTAATCACCTATCAAAATCGTCTCCATTAAGTTCTTTTACCAGATGTATTTTGTAGGAATAAAACTTGTGTTTTTTCAATATCTTCCGAATACTACGTCTCTTAATACCAGATGTTATCGCCAACTGTCTTGTACTCAATATGGGTTCTTGAGCAATATGTCCTAAAATCGCCACCTCTGTAGCTTCATTCACTACAGAATTTTCTATTTCACGTTATTTGTTAGCTACTGACCCCGTTTTCCAAAATGTTTGGAGTAACTGTAGTTTCGATGGACTTGTCGATTTTGATGTTGATTGTTAAACAGCTAGGCAGTTCTATTAGCACATTCATTGTTCGCAAAAAAAGTGAAATTATTTGCACCCTCTCAGCAATAGAGTAAACCATTTTCACTGATATGCCACTTTTATGCCTACTCTACAACGAAATAAACTAACCTTACTACTTTACGGCGACCAAAGAATGTCATCTGATAAGAATAATTGAAAGCCACAAGAATAAAAGTAAAATTGTTACAAAGAATTCCTTTTTTTTTAATAACAATGTAAAAATTATGTTAAATCGGTTTTGTACTTTTGGTGAGCCACTGTATGGGCCACATAGATAGTAACGATGTAAAACTCCGGGGTTGTTTTCTAGGTAAAAATACCTTCAAAATAACATATCATTCGACCAATCTTTCCATTTAAGATATAACTAGTGAGTCTCACCCCTGATAGAAGGTTTCCGCTTAGAGGGTGAAACTGCCAGAACAATGTTTCCCCCTAAAAAACAAAATTGACGGGCCCAAGCGTTCTTTAGTAGATGACCTGGTTTCTCTCCAGCAATACTAGAGAGCTGTTTCTAACTCTGAATTAACGTTTTCTTCTAACGGTGCTTGATCGGGAGCAACTTTCAAATATTCTCCCTTTTCCCCTCAAGCATTTGCTCAATGGCATATGTACGATCTTATCTTGATAATTGTAGACCGTTATTAATCTTTCTTTTTTGACGTCATAGGGTTTTATACACCAAAAATAACAAACCCTTAAGTTCAACGCGTTGTCTATGACAAGTTTCGGCGACTTTTTTATCACAAAAAATACAGCTCCGAACGATAATATTTTATTGAAGCATCTATCGCTATACCAACTTGGGCCACGACAGCTTCTTTATTTCACTTATTGACACTTTTTGTCCTCGTTGTGCACCCAGAGCTCCGGGGATTCGGCGCCTATGGGTACCACTATAATTAATAACTTATAGGAAATACGAAAAATTCTGTTAAAAACAATATTTGACCGACCTTGGACTCACCCAACAGTAGATCTTTATCTAGACGCTGAAATTGAATGAGCTAGGAGGGAAAAATAGAGTTACTCTCACTTGGGTCCTGGTACAAAACGTGGTACAGAGTAACGAGATTGCAGATAGTCTTGCAAGCAAAGGTGTTCAAACACCTTTTGTACGACCTGAGCCGTTCTGCGGTATCAGCAGTAACATAATATTAGAAGACATTAAAAAAGAATTGGGCAGTAGAAGAATCGATAATTGAAACAATCTCTTTGGGCTGAGACAGTCCAAGATACTTCTGGGTGAATAAAACCAGAAAATATCGGAAGCCTGCATATGCCTGAGCAAGAACTAGCTACGTATTGTAACAGGGATCCTTACCGGGCATTGCCGACTAAAAGGACACCTAAGTAAACTGAGAGTAGTAGAGGATAGTGAGTGCAGATTCCGTGAGGAGGAGGCTGAAACCTCCATTGACATCCTAACTGAATGTGTAGCACTTCAGAATACAAGGGCACTATATCTAGGAGGATATCAAATAGAAGAAGGAGATTTACCTAAGTTGAAGTCACTTCAAATCCTACACTTCCTTGAGAAAATGGGAGTGGAAGGGTCGTTATATGCATTGAGACATTTCCTTGGTGCATTGGCGATAGAAGGGGGCACAATAGATCTTTTAGGTCACAGTGTATTAACACCCCATTTCCAACATAATATAACAAAGATGCTGAAGTTTTCGATATTTATCAGTTATTTGTCAAAATGGTTATTACAAAACAAATGAATATTAAAAAATGAATATCTATGTTCCATTTCTACAACGAATCTGCAACGTTTAATTTTCACAATTAACGAACGTAATAGTTCAATAATTTCTTTAAAAAATTGTTTTCTGTTATATATTATTAATAATATCAATATTATATTATAAATATTAATAATATTAATGATATAATATTAACAATATTATTATTAAATAAACATAGCTAGAATTGATTATGTTGGCCGCAACACAATCCGTAATTTCAGAAAGGCTATTCAAACGAAACATTTCTCGAATCGTTCGTCGTAATCCTAAAAATCTGTAAATCTAAGTTTGAAGGAGCGTCGCGTAGTTTCGAAACGCCCACGAGCGTTCGAGAGCCTGGCATCGCGACGTCCGAATAGCCAGTTTTAACGACGAACCCGTGAAAAAGCGGCGACGACTATTCAGGTCGGTATTTTGCGCAATAATTTCACAATTTAAAAAATAATGTTTCTAATTTTCGCTCTTTGCTTGGATTTTTTCTTCATGCTGCTGTGCGCTTTAATCCTTTTATGCTATTTTTGGAACTAAGTAGTGTAATGCCGCTAAGTATGTTTTATTTGTAGTTTTGTATAATTTTTATGTACAGGATTGTTTAAAATAATTTTTGTATTTAATATTTATTCCGTATACCGTCCTATAACTGGTTTAATTATTTTGTTGATTAATATCTCTAAGATAATATTAAAAACTATTTTAAAAATTCGTTTTAAAGTATTTCGAGCTGTAATATCCGTATTAATCAACAAAAGTAGTGTTTTTAAGTAACGAATTATATTTTGACTATTTATCCTTTTCATTTTGCAACAGTTTTCACTTTTTTCATTTCTGTTTTATTTAAAAATATTTTTACTTACTTTTTAAAATTGATTAACGATTTGTCTAAACAAATTTAATTGTCTATGCTTTTATTTTTCCATAATTTTGATCTATGATGTATGATGATTAGTCTAGTATTTGTCTTTATATTTTATAGTCTCATTTCTTAGCCTTTTCTATAATTTTATCTCCACAACTTTTAAATTGCTAAAATTTAAAAAAGCTACGAACAAATAAGGAATTTTAGAAGTCCTAGATTCTCAAAATAATATAGATTTTTGAAAAAATATAAAAAAGTGTGTAGACAATTCAAATTTAGTAGAAAAGGTATGCATTATTACTATATTATTTGACGAATTAATAAGTGGATTGTTATATGAAATATTTTAAGTTTATAGATACTCTAATTAATATAAATTTTTGGTTAAATATAAATCAAAAAGTGTGTAGAAAATTCAATTTCAGTTTTACTAATAATATTTGACGTAATAAATGTTTAAGAATGTGTCCTTTTCTTGTGACCAAATAAAGTCTTTTAATCTGTAGTCCATTAACAATGAGCATGTAATTAATGTAGGTACTTATTATAACAGAACAACATCTACTTTTCTTTCCTAATTTTTTTTTGCTATACTATTGGTAAGTCTTATCCATAAATTTAACAATCTTATTTAGCAAAGCAAAGGATACAAATATACGATTTAGCAATCAGTTGATATTTTTATTTAAATTATATTTATTAAATAGCTATTAGTATATTCAGTGAATTGAATATGAAACTATAAAATCTTCAGTCACAGTTCAGGTATCCCACAAGGGTACTTCTTAGGTCCATAATGAGTTAACCTCTTCGTGAATGACATTATTTAATTTTAATGCTTAATATTTTGCTGATAATGAAAATGTTCAACTCTCTGTAGAACGCTAATCTTCTAAATATGCAAGTTCAAAGGCATACTCTATATCAATTGTTCATTTTTTTAATCCCTGTAGAGAAAACTTTAAGACGCTCTTGGCTGAGATGAAAATCCTTAGTAACAATGTTATTTTTAAAATAGGAATGAACAGGTATTTTGCAACACCACTGTGAGAACCTAGAAACAAAATATAAATCACAAAAATGTTCTTGAGTAGGTGGTTACAAAAATACATTTCTCAAAACAAAAAAAAACACTTACCTTGGTTTTTGATTTAAGTGTGGACTTGAATGTAAATTAAGAGAGGGTTAAGTGTTAAGTATCAATTAAAGTTAATATGACACTTTATATATTGGTAAAAATTCCACTGCTTATTATCCAGTAGTGTTATAAAACGGTATTCTCCACTAGGTTAGGAATGTAATTCCTAAGGGAATTTTGATTATTGGTATATCCAACGCATGTTTAATATTAGAATATGGCGCGGTCTGTAGGATATATTGCAACAAAATATATTACTAGTCAAATGAAAGATATGTGATACAATTAACACAATAATTATTAACATGTGTTTAACTATCAATTTTATGGACTACAAAGTGATTTACTATAGTAGTTTGTGCAACAAAAGTGGATATGATGGTCATATCGCACGAATACGAAATTTGAGCACGACGTCGTAGGCGGTGTGCTCAACCGTCTGAGTGCGATGTGGATAATCCACTCGAGTTGTACAGAATATTTTTACTACGTCTACGTCCCACTAACGAAAATTTACAAATAAAAAAAATATTTTACGTTATTAAGACAAAATAACTAATTGTAAAATAATTTATGAATTTCAATAATTTTTAAAATAAAATAAACGAGAATCGAACTGTAGTCATCCATGTGGAAGCCAAGAACCCTAACTACCATCTACGCGTTTATTTTTTTGCTTTAATACTCGTAATTAAAATGATTTCATATAGTTTTATTTGAATTAACATATTTATAATTATAGACGAAATAAAAATATAAATTCTATTATTTATCGATTCTACACAAGAATAACTCATTTTATTGTATGTTTAATTTTAATAACTAAAAAATATACTGACAATTAGTTTGACATAATTGTCACTTATTTAAAATTTTAAAATAATAGCAATCGGTTGATCAAAATATGAACTGTGATTGGTGGATTTCATTTTTTTGCAGTGTTCTCACTATCTAGATTAGATATGAAATATATTTGTTCAGTTGAAGGCAATAGCATACTTTTTCGTTTTGTAATCTGTGCGTAATAACCATGTGGGTGTAGAAAAAATAAATTATTATTTAATTTATACAAGGATCAAAATATAATTTGTATTTATCACTTTGTACTTTTGTACATTTGCCCCATCTGGAAAAAATTATGGAGACCCCATCAATATCCATCAATGTTTTTTATAGGTAAAAAACAATAATGTATGTATATTTTTTAACAAATAATTTAAAAACAGCTTTCCAAACACATGTAAGAACGGAAGCGAAAATTCTCAAAGTCTTAACCACAAATTATATTAAAAAGGGAACGAAAAGCGACTAGTTTCGGTCAATGACCATCATCAGGCAGCCTGTAAAAGATAATATACATGATGTTAACAACACTATCTACCTTTACTTGTATTCTTAGCTTCGTATATTATCTCTCACAGGCTTGATGATGGTCATTGACCGAAATTAGTTGCCTGTCGCTCCCTTTTTAATAAAGTTTGTTGTAGTTAAGACTTTGAAAAGGTTCCCTTCCTTTACGGATATACCACATTTGAGAAATGGAAAACCTTCTTACACATTATGCAAAACTGATAATGATCTATTTCTTGTTTTATTTTGTTTTATTTCTTTTTATCCATTGACAAAGTGACATTTTCGTCACCTTTAGTTTATTCACAAAATTTTATAACTATACAATAATTATTAATAGACTTAACATTTATAACAAAAAAAAGTTAGTAAAAATTAGAGATAATTTGAGAAACTAATAATTTTTCAAATCATTATTACATGATTAAATGTCAAAAAAGACAAAATTTATTACAAAACATAAACGTCCTAACTAAAATGCATGTTTCATTAAAAAAAAAGACCTTGTCAATATTTTTATGGACAAAATTTGGTATAAAACATATATACAAAATATGACCTAAAACTGATTACAGAATGCAAATAAACAATAATATTTTTTAAAGTCGACTTAGTTAAATAATCAGGTATAAGTAGCATTTATAATTTTTGGAAAGTAACATAATAGAAACAAGACGATCTTCCTAATATTTTGACTTATTTTAGTTTTTGGCAAGTGCCCACAAATCGGCACACATGCAAGTGTGTTTCGAATTACAAGTTGAAATATTCTGGATCACTAGATTAGATGAACTGAACGTTTTCTATTCGAATACTTAAATATTTAAGTTTATGTCTATGCGGGAAGTTGAAAAATTCCAAAGCTCGAAATAATCCGAATTGATTACATCAAATGTTTTTTTAAGAATAGCTCATTTTTTATTCATGACATGTGAAGGGGAATCAATTTTTTATTTTACACATCGAAAATATACAATGTGTTAAGCTGGAAATATATGATGTCTACAGCACATGACTTTGCTGCAAAGTTATCAAATATATTGATACGCCCCATTTATTTAAAAACATGAATTAAATATTAACAATTTCCACGCACATTTATTTTTCATTGCCAACAAAAATATCTTCGTTACGATCCATTTTAGAGAAATAATATATATAAAAAAAATTGATAGAGAATATGATATCAAAAACAACTTTTATTTTTTTTTATTTACTTCTCTTGTCATAATTAATAGAAATTCTTAATATTCAGTATATTTTTTTATTTCTGCATGGTCTAAAACCTATAATAAAATCGTTAGTAGATAATTAAGTAGACATACAGTATAAGAAAGTTATTTAAGGTATATTATAAAGTTTTTTAAACCTCATGGAATCATAAAGTTTTTTTTCCCGTCTGACTAAGTCTCCGAATAACACTGACCCTATTGGCTTATTGTGTTTTATACCATGTTAGTTCATAGCACCCACTCTGTCACCTACACGTCTCCTGTCACTAACCTTGAGATACTTGTGACCTGGCTTAATGTCAAGTTTTCCCAGTGTATTCCCAAATCTGTAAGCACCTAATCTTGCCTAACCTTGTATCACATAGTGAAGAGGTGCGAGTCCTATTAGTGCTTCCATTGCAGCAGTGGGGGTTGTTTTAATTGCCCTCGTTATTCCGAGGCAGGCAAGTCTTTGTACCTTGCTTAGCCTCGTTATTGCTTTCCTTTGCTGTGTCTTTGGTCACCACATCAAAGCTGCGTGTTATTATCGGTCTCACCACCATGTTATAAAGCCAATATACCATGTCTGGTTTTAACCTCCACTTTTTTTTTCAAAGGATCTCCTTGCCATTATTAACGAGGTTTCCGCTCTCCTTGTGGTTTTTTCTAGATGCTGGTTTCAGGTAAGTCTCGATTCAATCATAACCCCGAGATATTTTACCTCCTGCTTCAGCTGGATGCTTGCACCTCTTAGGTTTAGAGGCCCTAGTCCCTTCAATTTTCTTCTGCGGGTGAATGCAATTATGTCAGATTTGTTTGGGCTAATGTATAGTCCTTCAGCCTCTGTCCATTTTGTTACTATATTTAGAGCCTCTGTGTCATGATTACTAGATCATCGGCATATCCCAGGGTTCTATGTCCCTTAGCTTTGAGAGCCCTAAGCAGACCGTCCACTACAAGGTTCTCATAAGGTTGTGTGTATAGTTCTCTCCCTTAACATAGAGTCGATCCAGGACACGCACGTGTCCTCGATTCCTCTGTTTTCGAGAGATGTAACGATCGATTCAACAGAGGTATTGTCAAATGCACCCTCGATATCCAAGAATGCTCCCAGCATTATCTCCTTTTCCAGTGTATTCTCCCCCCTTCGTATTAATTGGTGGAGAACTGTTTCAGTTGATTTCCCTGCACTATAGGCGTATTGGTCTTGGTATATTGGCCTCTGAACCAATATTCCGTCTCTAATATGCCTATCTAAAAGTTTTAGGTACAAAGGACATATAAAGTTACAAGCGATTCAAGATTTTGCATGTTTTTAGTTTTTCCATTATAATTAAAGTATATTGAAGGCGATAATGTTAAAATTGTGAAAGAAAAGCAATAAAAGATGTTAAGCTCTAGTTCGCCCCCTCAATATATCTGCCAAGACACTCATAGTATATAAAAAAGCAAAATCTACATTCATAAACATTCTCTAATATATAATTAGTCAGAAATACATCAACTGATGCCACAAGCCAACCTGACGAATGTACAAAGATGATACACCAAATAATGAATCACCAGAAAATTTCATACCCCCAAACGATTCAGTCGTGTGTCGAGGCTTCATAAATGACTCAGTTCGAATCATTTTGGCACAGCTTGGTTTGTTTTCCTTACCTTTAATAATAATGAGTTTATTTTTGAACAGACGACGTCAACCAAACAACTGACTACAGGTTGATGGCCAATATATTTTTTTAAATTACAAAAAATAGATTGCCAACAATAAAAACCAAACAAGTAAATTTGAGATATAGTTTTAATGTAAAAATATAGTATATTAGTATACAATCAAAAGTTATTAGATATTTTGGATGATATTATGGGAATGGATTTTGAATTTCATTAAGCTTTATTTATACAAACAAAAAGTTTGTCCAATTAATTCCTCAAGATATAGTACTTGGGTCAGTTATGTTTCTTATATACAGGGTGTCCCAAACTTGTTGTGACATGGAGCTACTATGTTTTGTAGATGTCAAAATAAATCGATTTATATACATTTATATACACAAAAATGTACCGTTGGTCCTTGAGAAATTTAATAAAATTTGGCAAAAGTACATTTTAGACGATTACTTAAAGTAGGATAACTTTTAGTAGGTAATCATAGAACTCCATTGAAAATTGTAGAAGGATTAAAACCACCCTCACCCAGTGGTATTTTTTTTCTTAGGGTTGGTAACACGACTCTGACTTTTAACGCATTTTTTGACTCTTCGCATACTTTCGAAGTTTATTAAAATTGTAAAACAACATTTAATTGACGGTGGATACAAAGACAATTTTTATTTTACAATGAGTGTTCGATGTGACATACAAAGTATTCAATGTGACCTCCATCTTCATTAGTTCAGATGTCAATTCGACGTAAAAAATTGATAAGGAGTATTCTTAAAATATCGTAGTTTTTCGTAGTGCGTTTACAACATTTCGAATTCTGTTCCACAGTTGTTCGGAATTGTTAATTTTAACCTCGTACACTTGTATTTTTAACGCCCCATAAATAAAAAAGTGGCAAGCAAATTGTTTATTAAGATATTCTCTTACGGTACGTGCAAAATGAGGTAGTGCACCGTCGTGCATGAAGAATTTGTTTCAACGCAAATTAAAGGGTATTCTACTAATTCTGGTAAAATTTCTTGAAGGAATCGATTGGAAAAGCCCAACTAAAAAATTAGCTTGCCCCATACATTAATTTTAAATTCCCGTTGATAATGTCTGCCTTTAATAGCTTGTGAATTTTTATCTGCATTTATATGTTCATTATGAAGGTTCATCATGCCACGATATCTAAAAAAAGACTTATCAGTATACAAGATATTAGTATGGATTTCATTGTTTGCTCTCCCGAACAATTTGTGAAAAATTTAATACGTGATCCCTGGTCAAGTGGCAATGTTTCCTTCACTGGATATGGAATAGACGAATTAATTGATTGCTAAATATTCGAGTTACAGTGTTTTTTGGAATCCCAGTCTTTCGTTTGAATGTTCTGGTACTGGTTTCAGGATTGTTATTAATCATTTGAAGACCAGCTTCTTTCTCAAAGGGTGTTCGGCTTGTTGAGATCTTCCAGCGTGGATTATGATTTGCTTTAACCTTCCTGTTTCTTGAAGACGTCTTTCTCCGATTTGAATACTGCTCTTGATACACGCGGATACTTTGGCGGCAGTTACCTCTATCTAAAAACTAATAGCATGTCGGTATGCTCATTAAAAGAAAAATCCATATTTGATAGCCTAAAAATAAACAGCACAAACAACAGAATACAATACTGGTGATCACGATAAAAAAAATAATACATATCAATGAAAAATAAACAAATTTTTGAAATATTTTCTGACAACAATAAACTGGGATGTTTATGAATTTATTTGTTGTCAAAATCATAACTTTTGTTTTGTTTTTGTGTCTACGGTCAAGTAAATTTTGTACTACAATTAAAAGACAAAAAATGAAGATGATGAGTAAGGTTTTCAATTAAAAAGTCTTAGAACCAACCGTATTACCACCTCTAAGTAAATTAAAAAATCCCAGTAGGTAAAGGTAAATTTGTTTCACGCATTTCTTAACGGCGTACAAATATGTGAGTAAACATTGAACTCTTCTCACGGAGAACCATACATTTTGGTATATAAAATGGGTCCAATCAACTTATTTTGACCTTTACAATACGTGGTAGCTTTTTATTTATGTGCCAGCAATTTTACGATACCCTTTACATAAAAGTAACAGGTTTCCATCAGGGCTTCCAGAGTACTACTTTAAACTTACCATAATATCCTTTGCAGACTTTACTTCTTTTGTCCTTTGATCGTAGTAAAAATATTTACCATTATTTTTTTTGTTTCCAGGTGTAGATTAAAAACGAAAATCGACACTTTAGAAAAATGGCGAAATTAGTAAATAAACAATTCAATACGCCGATTGGCCTTTACTCCCAACAAAATATCCAAGACGTCCTAGACAGAGAAGCGCAAATCTTAGCTAATGGTGCAGTGGGGTAAGTAAATCAAAAATAATTTCCAAGAAACTCATTCATTTAGGAAGCGCTATAGGCCGAGCGGATGGTCGCATTGAAATTTTTCAATAACCATATTATACTTGAATAAATACACTTTACAATAGTTTTTTACAATAGTTTTTTACAATAGTTTTTTTACAATAGTTTTTTACAATAGTTTTTTACAATAGTTTTTTACAATAGTTTTTTACAATAGTTTTTAAAAATAGTTTTTTTACAATAGTTATTTACAATAGTTTTTTTACAATAGTTTTTTTACCGTAGTTTTTCACAATAAATTTTTACAATAGTTGTTTACAATAGTTTTTTACAATAGTTTTTTACAGTAGTTTTTCACAATAGTCTTTACAATAGTTTTTACAAGAGTTTTTACAATAGTTTTTACAATAGTTTTTACAATAGTTTTTACAATAGTTTTTACAATAGTTTTTACAATAGTTTTTACAATAGTTTTTACAATAGTTTTTACAATAGTTTTTACAATAGTTTTTACAATAGTTTTTACAATAGTTTTTACAATAGTTTTTACAATAGTTTTTACAATAGTTTTTACAATAGTTTTTACAATAGTTTTTACAATAGTTTTTACAATAGTTTTTACAATAGTTTTTACAATAGTTTTTACAATAGTTTTTACAATAGTTTTTACAATAGTTTTTACAATAGTTTTTACAATAGTTTTTACAATAGTTTTTACAATAGTATTTACAATAGTTTTTACAATAGTTTTTACAATAGTTTTTACAATAGTTTTTACAATAGTTTTTACAATAGTTTTTACAATAGTTTTTACAATAGTTTTTACAATAGTTTTTACAATAGTTTTTACAATAGTTTTTACAATAGTTTTTACAATAGTTTTTACAATAGTTTTTACAATAGTTTTTACAATAGTTTTTACAATAGTTTTTACAATAGTTTTTACAATAGTTTTTACAATAGTTTTTACAATAGTTTTTAACAATAGCTTTTTATTCGAGTACAAAGCTTAATGGAATAATCAGCGCTCAAAATCGACTAATGTTTGTAAATTTCATCCAAACTATAGTCCAGGGAAGTTAGGAAAAATAGCGGAACTTTGCTCATACACCAGATATCGAGATGCGGTTTTCTGCATTGTGTTCAGGAAGGTCCAGGGAAAAAAGTTTACATGGTCTGGTTTGGCGCGTTTTTGAAAAAATGCCTTCTGGGCCGGAAAATGCATTTTCCAATTGCACGATTATAGGAACGACTGGAAACTTGGAAAAATCGCTCGGAAATCATTATTTGGGGATTTTCGGGGCTGCCGAACTCGATTCTGGCATAAGAATTACCCGGGGGTGCACGGAGGTGGCTCTGTGGGGGTGCGCGGGTGGTGAATTGGGGGAGAAATGGCAGCGTGCATGAAAGTCGCTCCAAACTCGTTACTCGGGTGTTTTCGGATCTGCCGAACTCGATGTTGGCATTAGAATTACTCGGGGGTGGTTCTGTGGGGGTGCGCGGGGGAGAAATGGCAGCGTGCGTGAAAGTCGCTCCAAACTCGTTACTCAGGGGGTTTCCGGTGATGCCGAATTCAATTCTGGCATTGCAATTACCCGAGGGCGATTTTCATAGACGCGACCACCCCACCCCCAAGACAACCCCACATGGGGACCCCCGAGCGCCCTCGAGGGAATCTAAGGCTATAAATGAATTTGGCCTCCCCGAAAACGAGTCTGGAGTGATTTTCATGGATGAGGCAATTCCCCCTCCCCCAGAACGACCCCCAGCCAAATACACAGAGGGACCCCCGAGCACCGCCAGGGAAATCTAATGCTGGAAATGAATTTGGCATCCCCGAAAACCCCCGAGTAAGGATTTTCAAACCATTTCCATGGACTCTGCAATTTCGCCCCCGAATCAGCCCCCGGGCACCTCGGTAGAGCCACCTCGAACACCCCTGGGTAATTCAAATGCCAGAGTTGAATTAGGCATCACCGAAAACCCCAGAGTAACGAGTTTGGAGCGACTTTAATGCACGCTGCCATTTCTCCCCCAATTCACCCCCCGCGCACCCCCACAGAGCCATCTCCGTGCACCCCCGGGTAATTCTAATGCCAGAATCGAGTTCGGCAGCCCCGAAAACCCCCGAATAATGATTTCCGAGCGATTTTTCAGAGTTTCCAGTCGTTCCTATAATGGTGCAAGTTATGATGCAATTGGAAAATGCATTTTCCGGCCTAGAAGGCATTTTTCCAAAAACGCACCAAACCAGACCATGTAAACTTTTTTCCCTGGACCTTCCTGAATACAATGCAGAAAACCGCATCTCGATATCTGGTGTATGAGCAAAGTTCCGCTATTCGGGTGATTTTGATCTAAATGCCCTGGGCTATACCTCTTTTTTGATGACGCCGTTAAAGGTGCGCGGTCGTAGGTCAAGAAATTCTAAAAAATTAAATGTTGTAGAGCGTCATCTACAGTTATGATAGTTTCTGTGTATTATAAAAATATTTTTATGATCTTATAAGCCGTCGAATGTAACTGAACATTTTTTATTTAAAAAAAAAAAATTGTTTTATTTTCATGTTCAATCGCATCTGACTCTTTTAATTTATTCGAATTGGTCGTAAGTATGATATATTTCATATTTTAAAAAAAATTTACAATTTATACCGAAAAATTTTTGACTGGAAGATATAGAAAAACAGTTATGCACTAAAATCACCTGTCATCAGTCATCAAGTACATTTAAAAAAATACATTTTATTAAAACAGACAGTTTTAACATTATATTTTAAAAATAAACGAATAAATAAATGTGTTTACACCGCAATTTGATGATTTTGTCCCGTATTGACCTTGCGACGTATTTCTGGAAGCTTTTAATATAAAAGTTCACACTATATTATAATTTAATAGTGTTATCTACAGATCAACGCGAAAAAACCCATTTTCCAAAAATATAGTGTGAATAGCCGTGCTATATGTAATTATATAATACAAAATTAAAATGCATAGAGGTGTAATGCAAGTGTATTTCATAAAATTTTTGGCAGTTATCCATAATTGCAAATATGCGGTATTTTTTTAAAATTAAACTTCATGGGTTTCTTTGAAATTAATATTCAACGGAACAATTACTGGAAAATAACTTTATTCGAAATATTTCTTTGTTTCAGTATTGATTTTAGGAACCCAGACGTTGGTAAACCGGATAATTTGAAAAATTCGGCAGTTCTTAGAATGCTGGAGGAGGAAGAAAGTAGGCAAAGAAACGGTTATGGATCTGGTAAGTAGATATACGTTTTTCTGGCTTTAATTTTCATTTTATATTTCATATTTAACTTTCCAATAACACATATTATCACACTAATAATACTTTTTGACATTTATACCGTTTGTTTTCGATCTCTGTAGGCAGTAATTTTTCCGATTTGAGGCAGTTAGAGTTGTATATATTTGCGCTATATCCAAAGCATTTTCAATAACTTCCCATAGTTGACAGCGGTTTTCCGGCCTAATAGTCTCTTTGATATTATCTTATTGGTTTCAAGTGAGGACATTTTGCTGGCCATGGCAAAACATTTATGTTATTGACCTATTCTCTTCCTATTCGAGCCATATGACTTTCCTGTAATAAAAATCAATTATAATAAAAATTTAAGAGAATAGCAAACTAATTTTTTTACATGTTAAAATGTAAAATTGTCAAAAAAATGTATCTTACTGATGGTGACATCACGTTGTCTAAGATGTTTATGTAATGCTCGGCTGTTGATTGCCCATCAATTTGACAGCACATTCCAGGGGCCGTTATATGTTTATCCGCGCCCAAATATTGATGAAAAAGCGCACACTTATACCCAACGTATAATTATCTTAGAATCCTGAATTTCTAGGACGATAAAATCGTAACATTCCGCTATTAGAAGCTTGGAATGTCTTTTCATCGAAGAATACCATGTTGTTCTAAATTCCTCCCCGTGATTTAAAAATTCACTTGCCAATTGAACTCTCCTGCGCTTATTTTCTGCAGTTAAAAAACTTAGTAGGCAGCAGTGCAATTTTTTAAGACAGATTTTTTTAAACGCATTTAAGTTGTTCTGTCTTAATTTCCATTAGAGAGAAATATTTCCTACACCTTGTCTTTGTTTTTCTTGTCAGCGTTTCTTAAATTAAAATTAGGGGAAGGCGGGGCAGATTTGACATGAAAAATTCTCTTCTATCCACCAGAAATTACAGTTTACCGAGGGTTTTGTTAAAAAAATTAGAATAGACAGTTAAAAGGGTTAAGAATTTAAGGAGGATGATAAAATATCCTAGTTTCTTAATTTAACAAGATTATTCTGAATTAGGTGATATTATGTATTTTGACAAATCTGCCCCCCAGTATATATATTTGACTTTGTAAAATATAGAGTGGGGCAGATTTGACACATTAATTTGAAAGAAATCTTTAATTTTTATTTAAAAAATTATGGTTTAACACAAATATTCGCTTAATCTAATAAAAAGTCATTCGGATTGTAATATAAACAATTATTTTAAATTATAACTATCAAACTTGACATCAAACTCGTAGTATTTGTTTGTAACGATTAGTTTGAGTTAAACAGAACTTCAGGATAAAAAAATTATTTTATTTAAATTTTTTTCTTAAAAAATTAACTTGAAATTCGTCTGTATCCACCACTTTTTGAATTCTGCCAACATAAAGTACAACAGATGATTTGTATGAGTTGATCGTCCTTTATTTCTTAAAGAGAAGTTTCTTCCATGCTGCTGCCAGAAAAAAGTGACAGAAGAGAGTCGACATAGCTGTCTTCATCAGATTCTTCAATTTTTTTAATGTTTCTTTTTCTTTTTCTTTAGTGTCAGTGGCTGATTTTCCTTTTTTGTTTGGTTACATTTTAATACATCTTGTTGTCTTTTACCAGAGGCTGAAAAACATTCTTTACAGCATTTTTCAATTGTTTCTTTTCTCTTCGTAGCTCTTTCTACTATTTTTTGAATTTCTGGCGAATCGGTATAAACTTTAGATTTTCCCTTTCACCTTCCCGTTTTACTATTTTTTTTTAATTTGGTGTCATCGGCTCAACAACTTCGGTTACTAAACCATTACTCATTTAAACCATTACTCAAATGCCATGGAGCAGTTTTGACACGTGTCGAAACTGCCCCTTCATCAAATGGCAAATCTGCCACCCACCACAATTTAGGAATTTTTAATTATAAGTTAAAACTCAACTGGCTTACACACTCCCATTTGACAAAAACTGAAGGTAAATAGTCTAGTTATATAATAATAAAAAATCTGTAAACCTAAACATTAATTTACCTCACTTAAATTTATAAATTGCTTTTTCAAAAATTTTTATATACAATATTAGTTTTGAAGTAACTACTACAAACCATTCGTTACATACCACATATTTTAACTGAACATTGATAGAAGCCAACGCTAATATATATGTAAGACAGACTGTCCGTGATCAAAGTTTAAGCGGAAATTTTGAAGTTGTCAAATGTGCCCCGCCTTCCCCTATAACTCACTGAGATTAAATTCAGTAGCCACTTTACTTTAAAGGTACCATTTCGGTAGGCGCGACAGACGACCGCCGACGCGACATACGACCGCCGGCGCGACCGAGAAGTATCGCTTCACATCTAAAATACATACAATTATATGAAACACATTTCGCACGGCGCGACACGAGGAGTGTCGTCAAGACGACACTTCCTGAAGACACTTCTCGGTGCAAAGCTTTGCTGCGTATCGCACTCGAGATCACTGTCCTCGGCATCGCTTTTTTTTTGGGGGGTGACTCGGTTGGAAATTTCTTTCGATCTAGGCAGCGTTGCCAGATTTTAAAACAGTATGGGTAAAAAAAAAACGTAGATCTGAACAGTAGATTTTAATACAGGGGGAAATAATTAAAATCTGCAGTGTAGTAAATAAAAAAACAAGTATATAAGATACGAAAAATAAATTTTTTGTCAACCCAAATTAGAAGGTAAACAAAGAATAAAAACAAATAATAACATTTTTTATATATACTTAATGTACGGAAACAAAAAAAGAACAATGAAAAATAATAGGTACCTACTTCTTCTGAATCAGATAATTCAAAATCGTAGTGTGCATATTCTTTTTATGATGCCCTATTAATTCTTTGTTTCATTTTAAATAAAAACAATGATTATCTTGATGTTTTTTTATGGAGCCAACCTAGAGTAGTGGATGCTTATTACGCTGCTTTTACTGCAGAAAATTTACTAGAGAAAATATTCTTTAACCATTTGCTGAAGAATGAGGCAAACTTAATAAATTAAGAACAAAATTTGCTAGAGACAAAAACAGTAGATCTACGTGAAAACAGTAGGTCTGGCAACGCTGATCGTTCCCTCGAATGGTTATCCTGTAAGTGTCGCGCGACACTTCTTAAGCTTGCGAAATGTACCAAGCGTAACATTTATGCATCTGTCGTCCTACTCGACCTTGGGGTCGCTTCAGTGGTCGCTTGTCTCTTGACGCGCCTACGCAAATGGTACCTTAAGACCAATTTTCTTCCAATTTTGCTGTAGCCCTTGACTTTTGAGCCCCAATTAAAAGCTGTGACATTTTTGAAATTTAAATCTATTTTTATCGCGTCTTCAGGTTTTGTTTATGTAGCAGGTTGATCAGATATCGTTTCCATATGAATGTTATTTTCAATAGTCCTTATATTTGTAATTTGTAGTGTAATTTTAATGTCATAGTATTCTGATACTGAATGCATCTTGAATTTTATACAGCTTTATCGTACAGCCTTCGTGAGTATTTATACTTTTCAATATACATGGTATATTTAGATATTATCAACATTACCGCGTGTAAAAAAAACATGACTAATTTGTCGTTCTAAGAAAAGCCACAATGATAATGTTTTCTCTATGCCAAAAATTCTACAGTCTTAACAATTAAAACCATCTGAATCACTTTCAAAATTAAACAGAACAGCTGTAACTACATACAATGTAATATAATGCAGTGTAGTAATAACGTTGTGTAGGATTTTATCATTAGCCTATAGCAAATTTTTTAAATATCTGAAATAATTCCCAACACTGAAATAGTTCAAGAGATTTTTTGATATGAAATATTAAAAAATATTGAATCACTTTATTTTTTTTATTTATAGTCCGGAAGCTTGGAAGTTAAACGCGTATACAAACTGCTATTTACTGACTATACATGGCACGATAAGTCTGGCTATCAGTTGTTATTTATTCTTTACGTTAACATTTTTATATGAAAATTGCATATTTTTTATCAGTTTTACCGGAATAAGAATATCCGAAACTGAGTTAATCTGTTCACTTATTATAAATTTTAGATAGACATATTTATAATGATGTCAAACATAAACACACCTCAACAATGTACAAAAAAAAACACAATTTTGTTTAACTAATCTGATTATTGTAGCAAGCAAAATTGTTAGTAAAATAGATAAAGAAAAAACAATTTATTTCCATTAGGTACTGCCATCTATCAAATGGAATACAATGTATAAGTAACTTAATTCAGACCTAGGGGTAGATATTTCATTCACAAGCTTTATGGTGTACATTTGATAGATTCCAGAGCTAACCATGGTATCATAGCTCTGTAAATGCTATCGGAATTTTTTTTTATTGATTTTATAAAAAAAAATTTCGAGGTAACTTAATTATCATCTCACTGAAAATTTTTATAGCCAGACTTATCATTTATCGTAAATCAGTAAATATTATAGTAATTGTGACCATTGAAATGACCATTCCGTGCTCCTTGGCAATAAGGTTCCCTCGACTATGTGATTTGTTTGGCCAAAAGTTGTCTTAATTTTAAAATAAATTTGTGAACAAGGTAAACTCAGGGCCCACAATATAATAAATGTTTAAAAAAATCATTGAGGAATAGTAGTATGGTGCTATTTGAAACAAAACCACTCTCAAAATTATTTCTGTAAAAGACTAAGTGTCACCAGGTGAATTGTTAGTGAATTGAAAACTAATAGTTTGGAGATTTTAAAACCAGAGGTACTCCAAAATTAGAATGTGCAGGAGGCCCTATTTTTTAAAAACTAGATATTGGTACAATTGCATAGAGCGTAACGTAAACTACAGTATGACCGCAAAATTCAAAAAGTCCCTATACAAGTTATTATGTATTATTGTAAACAATTAAAAAATCATTGGGGCTTTGATTTTTTTTCTTGGAAACTGGAAGGAATTAAAACTTTAAAATATATGCATATTCTAGATATTTTTGCCTAATTTACTTTTTGAAATATGCTTATCCGAAAATTATAAGACGTCCTGTAATCACCTTAATGCACTCTATGCTAAAACTTAACGTTTTCCTAAATGCGTTATTGTTTCCAACGGTATCGATGTGCTTATTATTTTGGTAAATTTTAAAAACATTTTGAACGAAATTTGGTTAAAAGCCGGAATCAGATATTTTACTCGTTACGTGGCAGTTTATAAAATAGCCCTTAACGAAAAACCTACCTGCTTTCCATACTTTAGCAGGGCGCGATATAACTAGTCGAAAAAAGCCCTGCTTGAAAATATTCCTCCAACATTCGGATAATTTAAATGGATTTGGATCAGTCGACTTTTCCGAAGATCTATTTTTTTTCCGAAGGTGGGAAAATCTATCATGGACACGCTCTTTGCGCGAATTGGACTTTAACCAACTAAAAAACCACCTCCTCCGAAAGAGCTGAACAGGTACCGCCATGGTGGCATATCTTCTGGGCAGCTCTGGTCTTTGTATTTAATTACTGCCTACCTTCCTCTGCAATTGTCTTCAGTACCGTTTTTATGTACTAGTGTACTATATGCCACTTACCCTTCGTTTGCAAAATATCTTCCAGGAACTTGTCTGCTCCTAGTATTACCCCTAGCTGGATGTGTGTCCGTTGTCTTTGTAGCGACCATTTAGGGCATTCGAACAAAGTGTGTGGCACTGTGTCTGAGGCTCTGCAGTATACGCAGTCCTCTGTCTCTGCTTTTTTAAACCTGTGTAGGTATTTTTTACATACTCCATGGCCTGTGAGTACCGGAGTGAGGTAGAAGTCTGTGCACCGGTGCTTGCAGTTTAACCACTTCTACAAGTCTGGTATTGGTGCCTTCGTCCACTGCGCGACCGCTTCTGTCTGCTCCCATTCGTTCTGCCACATCTCGAGGGTGCGTTGCCTTTCTTCCTTCTTGGCTCTGTTGTTAGTTTCTCTCCTAATGTGTAAACGGAATCTTTCCCTTACCATCAGGTGTATAGGAATAACCCCGGCCACGACATTTAAGGCGACTGTTGATGCACCATACAGTATGGTGAATTGAACCACACCGTGAAGAATCTTTCTTCTCATGCTGCTGGGGCCTCCTAGATTTGGCCGAAGATCTATTTAATTATATTCGTCAATCCCATGTTCTTTTTCTCAATGTATTAAGAAGTTTAATGGCCTCTTCAACAGTGTTATCTAGGCTACCCCAACATATGATTCCTTGCGCTTCCATGTCTTAAGAGCTTTTTATCAAACCAAAATTTGGTTAAACTCTTTAAAACTAAAAATGGAACTGCCAAAGACAGTTTTTGAAAAGTGCAGCGAAGATTCCAAAGACAAGGAGAAAATTTAATGCGATTATTACACAAGATTGTAAGTTGTAGTTTTTCTAATAAAAAAAATAAATATCCATGCTCTTTAATTAAACGGATATAATTACTATTAAAGTTAAGGGAGGGCTCTTTCAGTTAGATATTTTACTATTCTAATTTTACTCGTGGCACATTTATTACTTTCCTATCTGTATACAGATGTAATTTAGAGTCTTTGATTTAGAATATTTTATTAACAGTGTTTAATTTGAATTATTTAATTTAAAGCGTTTAATTTAAAATGTTTACTTTGAGATATTTAATATTTCATTTTTAATTTAAAATACGATATTTAGTTTATAATGTTTAATTTATGCTTAATTTATAATGTCTAAATTAATGATTAATTTGAAATTTTGATTAGGAATGAAATGTCGCAAATGTTCCAAATGATTATTTAGGTTATTTAATACAAAATAAAATAGACAAAAAAAATATGCTAACATCAATATAAAAAAAACAGAAATATATTAGAGAAACCATACACTAGCCATACAGGCTTCTATGGATCTTATATTTATTTCCGTTCATTTTATATATTTTCGTATGTGTACCTAAAAAAAAGTGTAATTCAATTGGAAATAAATATTATTATTATTATTATTATTATTATTATATAAGGAAAGTATAGGAATCATGATTTTTTTCGACCTCGAGTTTTCGACGGATTTTTACGTTTTGAGGTCCCCTGAATCCGTTTTGACTATTTTCGCGATGATGTGTGTGTGTGTGTGTGTGTGTGTGTGTGTGTGTGTGTGTGTGTGTGTGTGTGTGTGTGTGTGGGCGCGCGCGCGTCGCATAACTCATGAACCGATAAACAGAAAAACACCAAATTTTAAACTTAAGTTTTTTTCCAGCGTCCAATGAAATGATTAGATTTTGGGCAGAGTCGAAACACCTGGGGGGGTACTTTATAGGTGGTCATTTTTATATTTTATGGAATATATATGTTATTTACATTTGGAGAAGAAAATTCTTCAAATAAAAGTTACTCCTAATATTATTATCTATAATTTTTGTTCTACACAAAATTTTCCTAAAATGGTCCGTATTCGAGAAATTTAACAAAATGTAAAAAAAATATTTTTTTATAAAAATTGTTCAAATAAAAATTGTTTGTAATATAATTCTCTATAATTTTTATTCTATACATAATCTCTCTTAAATGGACCGTATTCAAGATATTTGAAAAAACATGTAAATTTTGAATTTTGAAGAAAACTCAAAAACGGATAAAGAAAAAAACATTAAATTTTAAACTTAAGTTTTATTTCGGCCTGACGTGAAATGATTAGATTTTGGATAAAGTCGGAACATCTGGGGGGGTACTTTATGGGAGGTCGTTTTTATATTTTATGGAATATATCTGTTATTTATGTTTGGAGAAGAAAATTGTTCAAATAAAAGTTACTTCTAATATTATCTATAATTTTTGTTTCATGTCAAAATTTCCTGAAATGGTCAGTATTCGAGAAATTTGACAAAATGTGCAAAATTCTGATTTTTATGAAAATTGTTGAACTAAAAGTTGTTTGCGATATCGATCCCTATAATTTTTGTTTATATATAATTTTTCTAAAATGGACCGTAATGGAAAAATTGTAGGAAAAGTGCTAAATTTAAATTTTTCAGTATTTTCGTTTTTAATAAATATCTATAGAAAAATGTTTCGAGGTAGAAGTATGTGAAAAATTTATATATTTAGTTTATCCTCTAAACATTTATAGAGGTGCTGCAATAGGTTGTACAAAATAACCGGAAAAAGCCTATAATAACTAGATAGGAAGGTCACATCAGATTTTTTTTTGTATATTTAATAGGTATTTATATTAATAATAAATTTATTCGAGATCCCTATTTCAAAGGTCATATATTATACAGGGTGTCCCAAATTATATAAAACATATCTAATAATTTTAAGCAAAAATTAATTAGTTATCTAACGTTTATGGGTGATTCTCGCCTAACTGTGATTTTTACAACTTACATTTTTCTAAAATTAAAAATGTTTCAAAAAGTATGTTTTACTTGTTTTTGTTTTCTATTTATGCATAGAAATAACCTGTAAAGTGGTTCTACTACAGCTACGACACAACGAAAACTGTGACAAAATTTAAAAATTTTAATGCCACGGTACTGACATATAAATGATTATTTTTTTTTACCAATCCAAAGATTGGTATAAAATTGCAATAAAATTCAATGCAGTATGCATTAGATTGTAGTTATAAGAGGTAAATTTTATATTAAAAAATAAATTTTATATGCAGCTTAAAAAAAATTACGAAGGTTTATGATCTATGATTTTTGATCAATGTTTACGTAAATTAAAACTAAAGGAACACTCAATTTTTTGCTTAAAATTATGAAATCTACATATAAACTGTTTCAGTTGGATTTGTATAATTTGGCATATATATAAAAAAATAAAGACCGAATTGTGGTTATATTATCGACTACGCTAGTGTCGTACTGCGATAAAGATATACGAATATATTTTAACAAACATAGGTGCAACTAAGATGGGATATACCATAGCCTCCTAAAAGTTTTAGGTGGCTGTGGATATACAAAACAGTGTGGAAGGAGACACCGATAGCCGACGGTAAATCAATAAGCAGGAACCATTTTATTTATTTTTATATTAATTGCTATAACTTGATTATCAATCGACGAAAAAATATAGTAGATATTTTGTTATAAACTACACAAATTGTAGAAACTTTTATAAAAAGTAACTTTTTTGTTTTAAAAGCTTGTTTAACAAATTTCGTAGTGTAAACATAAAAAGTACAACATTTTTCGCAATTTTTCCTAATATAAAACCAAAATAATCACATAATATATGTACTTTTTTTTTGAACGGTAAGCTCCAATGGTTTTAGAATCTCTAAAATATTAGTTTTCAATAAATTAACAATTTAGCTTGCAATACTCAGCCCCCCATAGAAAACACAATTTCGATTGACTGGTACTACACTATAGAATATTGTTCTTGAAGTCTTAAAGCTCGAACTCGTTGATTTTGTTCTAATGAAGACAAATTTTAGCCATAAAAGTTAATAGTGGTTTAAATATCGAGCCACCTGATGACAAGTGCGGAAACATCTGAAAAATGACATGCGAGTGAGATTCCTACTGTTTTACTTATAGAAGTAAATTAAGAGATAGGTAAATACTTGTGTAAGATAAGAAAGCAGCTAGATTCACAGTGGGGATTATAGTTATGATTATTTCTTTCTTAAATTAACTTTATCACGCACTTTAAAAATACACCGCGATTACACAGTAACCGAATCATTCAGATCATCTCTGTACATCACCTATTTAATCTATTTCACCCAAATTGGCATCCGATACCATACCTGTCAAAAAAATTAACGAATCACACAAAATGAGTCACTGTGTGTCACAGGCAGCGACCGAATCTCGAAACCCCTACGAGCTTGGCCCCCTCCAGACTACGAACAAAAGAACCAACAGCGATCGAAGTTTAAAGATGTCGTAATTCCAGGTAAAAGCGGCGCATGCGTAACCGATCTTCCACTGTTTCGTTCGAAATTCGAAACGTAGTTTTGGTATTCGGTTTTCGAAAATCGGTGGAAGAGTTTGAGTTACGATTTCTCGGCCGGTGTTTTTTAATTTTTGTGTTTTTTTATTAACGTTGGTTGTTGTCTTAGTGTAGTTATTGTGTTTCGGGTTATATAAATAAGATTCAGTGGAGCTGCATCCAGGTAGGATGATTATTTATAGTGTAATAGGATTTTGGAGGATTACTACGATACATTAAACGTGAAAATGTATTTATGTTCGATTTCATTAAAGTATACGGTGTGTTCCAGTTATTGTACTTCATTTTTAAACTATACATGAAGCCATTTATTCCTGATAGTAAAAAATTTCAGGAATGTGTAACAGAGTTGCACAAAAAAATGTTTAAGATACATAATTGTTATTTAACACTGTAACTATGTTATCATTAACTACAGTGACCGAAGAAATTATAACATCTCTCGATAGTAAGTAATAGGTTCAGATTTCTTATTTTAATCGATTACTCCTGAGTATTTAACACGATAACATTTTAATATCCATTCTAAATTTTCTATCGCATTTAATAAAATGTCTATACAATTTAAAAATGAAGTATAATAATTGTGAATGTTGAAAATCAGAAGTGGTATGTATGCAGTTGTCTTTCAAACTGCACTTCTGAAGCACTATCAATTCTTATTTCAACGATGTATACAACAAATATTAAATAGGATAGTTTGAATATGTACAACATTTTATTGTAAGGCATTTGATTCAAAAACCATGATTGGAATTAAAGAAATTACAAAAGTTGCTCAACATGTCTGCCTTTAGCATTAAAAGTACATTTCGGTTATAGTTTGTTCATGGTTCACAGATATACCTACCGTTTGACGCAACTGCAGATCAGAGATGGACTAACTCAGTTTTTACATAAATATTCATAGAGGGTGTCCCATAAAGAATGTAACATAGAAAAACTGAAGATTACCTGGTTAAAAATAAGACGATTTAGGACCAATTCCACCGTTGTGTTAAACGGAGATTAAAATGACATTGTTAATGTAAAATTGTCATTTTAAACTTCGTTTACCACAACGGTGGAATCGGTCCTAAATGAAATATGTTACTGTAAAGATGTTTTCGAATTACAGGGTGATAAAGTTGAAAATTAAAAAAATTATTAATAACTATAAATTTTTTATGACTCAATATAATTGTTGGTAAACGTGTTTGGTCATAAAAACTTTGCCAATAGCGTACGGTATGGACATATACCTACTTTAACCCCTTCCAAAAACTTATTTAGACTATAATTTTAAATTTTTTGTTTTTTAAATAAATAAGGTACTTTTGTTAGAAATTTTTAAAAATAATTAAAAATTTCAAAATAGATTAAAATAAAGAGTACATATGCAGCTTTGGAATCCCAATCACCTTATGATTTATTTAAAAAACATCAAAAAATTTAAAATATTATTCCAAATAAGTTTTTGAAGAGTGGCCTAAAATGTAGAGGTAACGAAGGTGTTACTTACGCATACCTTTCACCAACGGCAAAGTTTATTTAATTATTTTTTTTTGCTGATAGGTGTATCTTATGGCACCAAAAATTATTGCCGAAGTTAGTAAAATTATACTGAGGAATTAAACAATTAAAAATTTAAGAATTTTCAACTTTAATGCCCTATGTTTCGGAAACGAGTACCATTTTATCTAAGTATTGTTTTATATTTAATTAGACTCTCTTCAGTTGTTTTAAGTCCCATTCTTAACGAGACACCTTGAATATAAATATTGATTGAAAAACAGTCTTAAATCTACTAGAGTTCTATAATGACGAATATTAAAATAAATATAATCGTATTTGTTTCTATAGGTTTATAGTATATAAATATTCCTATAAATATACCTATACCGACACATTTAGGTGCCCTATTTTCGCATACAAGCCTCGAAAACGGATTAAAAGTAGATCGATGTTGAGTAGAATAAAAGGAAATTTACGAGTGGCTCTTGGGGATAACATGAAAAATTTTATTTTCCTTAACATGTGTGAAAAAATCGGTTAAAATCTCGAGTTTACTTACAAGATTACGCCCTTATTTCAACCCTTTAGCCACTTGCAACATTAAACCCGTGTTAATCATTTAGTGAACATGGCTTGCGTGAAAATATGGGTAACAAATACCTTTAATATATGTTAAGGAAATTCGAATCTCATCCCCAGGAGCCACTCGTAAATTCTTTTCATTTTACTTAAAATCGATGTACTTTTCAACCCACTTCGAGGCTTGTATGCGAAAATGGGACACCTAAAACTCTCACTATCTGATAGTCTATTATTGTTTATAATTTAATATTTCTTATAAAAATTTTATACTACATATATAATTATAATTTTTATTAAACTTTGTCCATGGTATTTTGTATTCTCTCTCTGATAATAAAATACAATTATATTATTATTTTGAATACTTTCTTATTTTACAAATATCATTATTATTCGTTTTACAGAGATTTTTCTAAAAACATTCTAGTTTGAAATCGAACATGAAGCTTTTCTAGAGGGTTCTATTAAATTTCATGTCAGTATTAAAGAAGATAATTTCTTGGAATATTTTATTACTAAAATTTCTTTAAACATATGTGTTCAATTAAAAAAATCAAACTATTAAAAATAAACATGTGCTCTAAAATGATTTTATGAAATTTTAGTCATAAAATATTCCAAGGGATTAATTTCTTCCATAATAACGTGACGTTTAGGAATATTCTGTATAATGTATCTATTTAAGTATGTGACTATAGGATACATTGAAAGTAATTGTATCCTAAATATATTTAACTAAAACTAATACTATTAACATTTTATAACAGTTTGAATACTTTCTTAGTTTCGATATAAATATTTCCGTTATTTTTTATTAAAAAGACTGTGTAATATACTTTTTATCCAGCCATAGATATTTTTTGAAATTATTTTGTGATTGTGCTAACTTTTTTGCATGCACATGTGTTTTTTTGTATTTTTTGTTTAAATGCGCATTTGTGGTTATAGATAAACATTTTGAATTGAAAAATGTAAATTCCTAAAGTTGTAACAACAAAATTTGGTAGATTTTGTTGAAAAAATGTCAAAACATTTTTAAATTTCAGGTATTTTTTAGTTTTTTAAATGCCATTTTTTTAAACTGGCTTTTTTTCATCTATTATGAATAGTTTATCTATACAGAATGTCAATTTAAAAACAGATATATTTTTATTAGAAGAGGGGAAACCTTTCTATCATATTCTCAAATGTCGTACGTCTTCCCCTCCCCTCTGTGACACTAACCAATACAATCTAAGTAGGCATAGTACAAAAATTAATTTGATGGTGAATTCAGCAATATGACTGTCATTGCGGTACTTTTGATTTTAGCGCCCTCTAGCAGGATAGAAAATTGTTACGTAGCTAATTTTATTAATATACACAATATAACAAAACATAATTTAATGAAATATAAATTAAATAAGTATCAGAATATTACCATTAATGTTAGTTACATCAACTTAACTAAAATAGCAAATTTATGCTATGCATTAAATTACTAATAAAATATGCTTTCAAATGAAGTGTAGAGGTCGCTAAAATCAAAAGTACTATCTCTATTAAAATTGTATTGGTTAGTGTGATGGAATGGAAGTGAATAACGTATGATACTTGAGAATATGATTATGATAGTAAGGTGTCCCCCTTGGTATAAAAATCTAGCTGTATAAGCAATTTTTGATATTATTTTTTATTGGGATACTGGATGACAATGAGACCAAGGCAACGTTAACATCTGATCAGGACAGGGATTCGTATGTGCGTACTCAACACGTAAGGAATTGAATAGAACATTACATTATGTGGAACGAAGATAGTCGTCTCAACACGTACCGAATTGAAAGATGAGAATCCCAATGCTGTTTATCAAACCATTTGGATTAAACTTGTCACAAACATATTGAATATTATTTCGAATTGACATATATTCTTTAGCCAAATGACCGGCTTCCGGTTTGACCCGAAATGCCATTAAGTTGGATTTTTTAAATGGATCATTCTATATATTTTTCTAATTTTTGGAATATACGGTTCAAATTGCATATGACAGTGTTGCCAAATTTTCATTTCTTTAAAGTAATTGTTTTTTTAAGGAAAAAACCGTGAATTGGAAAATAAAGTTCTAACCTCGAATGACTCAAAATATAAGCTATTTTACTAAATAAGTTTAAAATAAATCCTTTAGACAAAAAATAAATTTCTAAATCCAGATTTTTGCCAAAATCTCACTTTTGTTTTAATTGCACCCCATCAATGGCCATTTCGTCATTAAATGGCAAATTTTATTACCATTCTACCTTAAAAAAGTAACTAAAAAAAAGTTTGGGGAAAAATGAAAATTTGGCAACACGGTATATGTAATTTAAACCAAGAAACAAAATATACGGTGGTCTATATAGGGTGGGCTATTTAAAAAATCTAACTTTATGGCATTTCCGGAAGTCGTGTTTAGGTATAAGTGTCAATTTGAAATTATGTCTAGTAGGTTTGTCCCAAATTTCATCTAAACCGCTTCATAAATAAAATATATACTACCGTCGACCGACCATTTATAATGTATTTTAACGCACTCAAAATCGTTGATTGATGATCCCTATTAATGAATGATTTTCTATTAATCAAAGATTTTATTATATGGAACCCAACGTACATTGCTCTTATTATACATTTATATTGACAGTTACCTATGGTGTAGGCAACCAAACATATACATTTAAAACCAAGAAGGTGTGTTAATACTATCTGTCATTATATGTCATTATTTAATTCAAAAACTCTATGAATAGTTTAAAATCAAAAGATGGATATTGACGAAGAGTTTAATTTAACTCCACCAGAAAATAGTAATTGTTGTTTTTCGGTAAATAAATAAAAATTGAAAGTAAGATATCTTTATTTTTCAAAAGTACGGTCGACGGAAAAGTTCTGTAACAAACTCGTGAATTAAAATGGCGATTAACAATTTCGAACATTAACGCGCTCGCTATCTCAATTGTTAATCGCCCTTATTAATACACTTGTTCGTTAAATAACCATTAATGTGATCTCATTGTCACCGGTATATTGCCAATGGGAAGTTTTTAACTTAACACCCAGTATATTCACCGATGATTACAGAAATGAGTTACTCAAAAAATAAACCTCTCAATCTTTCATCTGGTAAAATGTGTTCAAAATGAATCCAAACCAATTCCAATTTGTTTACATAATGTTTCCAATTCTTGAAATTAGTTTAGTTATTTTCAAAGAAAATCCAATTACAATAAGACATAAATCAATAAATCGTTTCCTGAGTTATAACATGAAAGATTATTCAAAATGCTTGAAAGGTCTTTTGATATCAATATCTAGGAAATTAATAATTACAAAGTAGAATGTATTATTATTCAGTTTACATTTTATGAGAATATTGAATTTTTGTTATTGTACGTTGGATTTTCTGTTAATCATCCAATATCAGATCGAAATGTAAACGAGTGGGCTTTTTTTCAGGAGTAAAGCGGGTAGCTTGGCCTCCACCACTCGAAATTGGACAAGACAGTCCTTATATCGAACAAAACTCAGTTCAAGGACAAGTAAGTATTTGACAGTCATTGACATCTAATAAAAACATCATTTTAATAACGAATTTAACCCAAAATCAATAAGTGTGTATTTTGAATCTTTTTATTTTTATTCAGTTGGCTAAACTGCTTATTTATTTATGACATGATATTTGTGTTATTTCTAAAACAATGGTGATCTAAAATTATTGTTTTCATCTATCTGTTATAATATTTCTTTAGATCTCCTAATACTATTTGACTATATACAAACTCAACTTTTCTACACAAAAAAATATGTCTTGAAGTAAAAATTAATATTAATTTTTTTCAAAAGCTGAAATTTTATTTTAAAACGTATTTGGGCCAGAACGGATCTGTTCAGTGAGCACTTGGAAAGGCCATACAGCAGCGTCTTATTTACTTATGGGTGACCAATCTATATAACTGTATACATCATTGGTGTAATCTGAATTTCGCTCCTTTAGTAAAGTCAACTGATTAGTTGATAAAATTATTGAAATTTATGAACTATAAATTATCGAATAATTTCTAATTTTACTATGAACTCTCACAACTTTCGGCACTTTCTTTAAAAATGGTATTTTGATTCTGATATTCATTTTATACTTTACCTCTGCCTTCCATAAATTGGGTCTTACGGTGTTTAGATAAACATTTTGTAATAAAAATTTACCAGAAATGTATTTAGAAATAGACAATATATAAAAAAATAATAAGAAATGGAAAATGTCCACATTTGAAGTTAGAACTTTCTTACTAGCTTAATGAGTAGAAAATGTTTCCATATGTATTATTTTTGATCATCAAGAATTCAAGTTGGCTTTAATTTTTCGATGTGAAAAGTGACACAAAGATGTGAAAAATTGCACAAAAGTTCACCTTAAATTAAATTTATTCACACTTTTTGAAAATTGTTTACAGTAAAAAAAATATTTCAAAATTCCATAAACAAGTACATAAAATATAAAATCACTTGCAAAACTTATGTAGTTGAGATCAGTTGTGTTTCCTTCCCAGTTTTCTTAATCGTTTCCAAAAGATCATCTGCTGACATCGTAGATGTAACTTTAACAATTTGATTTTCCAAGCTAATATCGAAATTTTCCACTCCTTTTCCTACATGTTTGTTCAAAACTCTTTGCACTGCTCCCGAACATCCATCGCAAGTCATTTTTACTTTAAACTCAAACACTTTTGAAGACATTTTGAAATAATTAGTTCTCACTTCTTTGGTATAACTAAGAATTGTTCGTAAAATGTTTTGGAATATAAACGACAAATATAATTATATCATTTACAATACTGATAAGGTTTATCTAAATGTTAAACGAGTTATAATGAAACATTGGCGGAGAATGTGAATGTTTAAAAATAAGTGACACACGCACAACGCTAAATGCACCGTATAGGCTGCCACGTACAGTATGAGGAAAATATTTCGAAGAAGGGTTAAGGTGTGCCTATAGATGATATAGGGTTTGTTTTGACAGAATCGTCGATTCCAGTTCTCAAATACATTGTACGAATTAAGTTAACAGCCTATTGAGCTGAATGAGTGTAATTAACTGATTCTGAACTAGTTCGTGAAAGAACCAAAACAAGCCTATAGATACTTTGAAACCGGTCCCTATTAGGCTACATGCCATGGTGACAAGCCCCCTTGGTGGAACGTCTCAGCAGTCACCCATCCACGACGTAACCGAATAGGTGACTGCTAAATTGTTGCGAGAACGTAGATGCACACTAATCTCGCGGCTAGCCTCTATGGTAATCAGAATATTAAGTACTTTTTATTATTGGAAGAGAGCTTACTAATTTCAAAGAGGTATTTTTTGTTTAATCTTTTAATTAGATTTCGGCCTCGTCTCATAAATAATATTTGTGCAGTAAAATGCAATACGAATAGTATGGAACAAAAATTAATAAAATTGTTACTTTTAATATTTTTAATATAATAATTTTACGTTTATAGATATGTTGAGAATATTCTATTAATTACTCTTATTGATAGAGCAGTAATCTATTAATAAATGTTATAGTAATAAAACAATGTCTTCTGAATAAAGACATCTTTAGCAAATTCGTACTTATCACAATTATTAGTTTTCGATAAAATTTAACGAACACACTCGATGATTTGAACTATTCTGCACATCCTGCCTGATTTGAACAATGCTTTTTCTTTTCCTGGCAGCGACAGAAGTGGAGACATGTCAGTTTCAGTGGCTACATAAGAAGTGTATCACTTTTATGTAGGACATGTTTTATCCGTCTGGTAATGATTTGTGACATTGCGTTAGGTTTTCTAAGTTATTTTATTTCTTAATGGATATGGCTTTATTAGGTATTCAACCCATTTACTGGAAACGCGAATTACTAGCTACGCGGTAAAGGATAGCCTGATTGTTTCCAGGGCCTCCGAGAGCCAGGTCGGGCCCCAGGACAATTCTCCAGATCGGGCCCTGCGACAATTTTATAAAAAATTTAACAAAAGGTCTTCAAGCAAAAATTTCTCCTCCTCTACTTGAATTTCTCTAAAACCAAGAACTTCCTCCCTCTGGTGTCGAACTTTTGAAAGTAACAAAAAAATTCTCGCCACAGTTGCCGGGCCCCATTTGAGCCCTGGCCCCGGGAATTAGTCCCGGCTGCCCCCCCTCTTGTCGGCCCTGATTATTTCTTATGAGATGACGATATATACTGGAAAGTTTTAGGAGTGGTGCACGCAACGTTCATATCGTTTACAAATATGTTTTGATACCATTTTGTTGAAGCGTTGTGTTAAAGCAAGAGAACAGTTGTTAGTCAAGGGATGGAAGATGTGTATTTTTTTAAATGTGTGGGCTTTGAATGCAGGTGTTTTCTTACGACAGGCCCGGCCTGGGAGTGCTGTTTAAATTGTGAAATGTATATTATGAAATTTAAGTACCCTAATTTTAATATTATATCGCATCATTTATATATTTTATTAATTAATAGGAGCTACTGTTAATATTCTTTGACTAGAGCTGGAGCTAGAATAATGAACAGTTTCTTTAACAGGTTATTGGTATTTAGAACTCAAGTAACTGGTAATTAGAGCTGTGGCTAATCAGTGTATCTACAGTGTGTTCTCCCCCTGTTAAACTACTCATATGTTAAAAATTCTAATATTTCCGAAATTGTGGCTCGATAATGGTCAACTTTTTTCTTACAATATTTATCGTAGATCTTAAGTCAGAGTATATGGATTTAGAGTAGTAGTAGTATTTTTCAAAGTGTATGTATGTATGTATGTTTAATTGCTGATACCCCCACCTCTGCAAATAAAGCATCTGAGAATATTTTCAAATAAAACTATCTTTAACTGAATTTGATTAATTTTGTTATTTGCCGGTTTAGTTTTTTATGTTTCACAATTATCACCCTGTAGGTAATTTAATATAATAACCGAAACATAAAATAAAGCATCAAAAATATCCAGTGATTTATTATGCGTATACTGAAAAACACACCTTAGATATAAATCTTGATTTTAATCCAGATATTTAGTGCTTATTTTTAAAATAGGCTAATAAATGTGTAGTATGACCCTGTTGGCAATCTACTTATATTTCTGTGGATATTTTTGTATATTTTACGGACGCACTGTTTGAATATATCACAAGTAGTGCACTTAGATCAGTAGTTAATATGCTTCATTTTCCAAAATACCGCCAAACAACACTAATTTTATTAATAGTATCCAATATACAGGGTGTTCATATTATATACATTTTAATTCGGAATTTATTTAACAATTACAAAAAAAAAATAAAGTAAATCGTTAAACGCCCTGTATATATAGGCAGTTAGCAAGAGGGAAAGAGGAACCCATTTTTTACACTATTTCCAGTTTGAAAGTAATTTATTCGAGACGCACTGTATATTAATTATTTTAATTGATCTATTGTCACAATTTTAATGAACCACCCCTGTCTTTTTAAATTAATAAGTTTCAAATTTGAATATTAAACTACAATAAATATTAATTCTTTTTCGTAAATAGAATCGAAAGATTAAAACACAAAAAATAAACTTAAAATTAAACTCAAAAAAGTACAATAAATAGAACACAAAGTGTAAAAAACAAATATAAAATGAATTTACAATATAGAATTATTATCTAGATCTGGGCTACAAGGTCTATATTTACCTTCAAATTATATCAAATCAATTAAATTTAATTAAAGGTTCCATTAAAAATGTGACTCAATTATTTCCGGATAATTTTTCGCTAAATTTAATTTTTTTATTTTCCTGCTAGGGTGGACCTCAATACCCCTCTCAATCTGCCGGCCAACAGAATAACTACCCCCAATCGGTGCCTTCTAACGCCCCTTATCAACAACAACAACAACAACAAGTCCCCTACCAACAACAGCAAGTCCCTTACCAACAACAGCAAGTCCCCTACCAACAACAACAACAACAACGTGCCCCCCTAAAATTGGATGTCTCTCAGGGCGGACAATCCCCATTAGCTTCGCCTCTGTCTAATCAGAGCCCACACGCCTATCGCCCGACTACCCCTAGCAAGGGGTGGGCTCCCGTCCATTCGCCTGTAGCTACTCCTAGCCAACCTACTTGGAGGCAAAATAGCCCTCAAGTTGCTTACCAACCCCAGCAATCTCCCGTCGCTAATTCCAATCAACCGGCTTGGAGACAAAGCGGCCCTCAAGCCGCCTATCAACCCCAGCAATCTCCTGTAGCTCAGCCTAATCAACCGGCTTGGAGACAGGCCAGTCCTACAAAATTCCAAGCCGCTCATCAGCCAGTTAGTCAACAGACTTTCTTGGGGCAGCAATACGCACCTGTTCAGAACCAACCTATACAAGTACCTGTTGAACAATATCAATTGCCTGGTCAACAGTACCAGTCGCCTGGTCAACAATACCCGTCGCCTGGTCAACATTATCAATCTCCTGGCCAACAATATCAATCTCCTGGTCAACAATATCAATCTCCTGGTCAACAATATCAATCTCCTGCTCCTCAGCAATATCAAACCCCAGCTCTTCAGCAATACCACTCTCCTGGTCAGCAATATCAATCTCCTGCTCCTCAGCAATATCAGTCCCCTGCTCCTCAGCAATATCAATCCCCTAGCCAACAGTACCAATCTTCTGATCAACAATATCAGACTTCTGGCCAGCAACAAACTTCTTCTGAACAATATTCTTATTCTCAGCAATATCAATCATCTGAACAGGTGTATCAATCTCAACCGCAATACCAATCACAACCACAAGGCTACGGTGCTCCATCTCAGGTATGAATGGGTTTTATTTTGAAAGAAGGAGCTTAGTTTTGGTGAATAGCTGAATTGAAGATGCCTTCATTTAGCTAAAAAGAAGAAAATCATAATAACAGAATAATTAGTGGTTCATTTCAAACGATAAAGACGAATTTTAGATACCATAACTAGTTAAATGAAGTGTAACCTCAATTATGTTAGATCGCATTATAACAAAAGCATTTTCATTAGTTAGGAATGATTCACTAATAGCCTGGTCACTGCTTATTTTGGGAGGTGTGTACCCTTAATGATTTTATCTGACACAATGACAAGAGACATTTGACATAAATGATTGTAGATACTTTTTACCGATTTGAGAATGATTTCTTTTTAAGGGGCAACGACAGGCATCTAGACCAGTAGAACCGCCACCAACGACAATCACTCTCCGTCCTCAGGCTCCAGTGAGTCAGGCTCCACCACCAGTGTATACTTCTCAACCAGCCACGGCGAACCTTAAAGGTTAGTTTAATCGCAGCCATTTTTTTTTTAATTTCCTACTTCATTAGAGTATATTCAGCAACATACAGCATAAGAGACACCATTTTGGTGTACGCAAAAATTGTATATTATTATAGTTGAAGCCGTCAATTATAGGCAACAAATTTAAAATAAAAAGTAAAAAATAAAAAAAACACGATACCTGTTTCCGTATTCCACTGCAGTAGATAGTAGGACACTAAAAATCAATTTCCCCGGATTTAGAGAAATTAGCATTGTATATTTGGAACTTCCGCACCGCATGATTCAATAATTAGTACGGCCGATAATTAAGCAAAAACTGGACAAAAAAGGCAACACTGCTTCTCCAGTAAACCTTCCAAATCGATAGTCCAGAACAGGGCCGCCGAGAGCCAGACCGGGCCCCAGGACAATTCTCCAGATCGGGCCCGCGACAATTTTATAAAAAATTAAATAAGAAAAGGTCTTCAAGAGAAAATTTATCCTCTTGCTCTACTTGAATTTCTCTAAAAAAAGGGCCTCAAGCAAAAATTTCTCTACTTGAATTTCTCTAAAAAAAGGTATACAAGCAAAAATTTCTCCTCCTCTACTGGAATTTCTCTAAAAAAAGGTCTTCACGTAAGAACTTCCCCCATCTTGTGTCGAACTTCTGAAAGTAACAAACACCACCGCTGCCGTGTCCTCCTTATACCGCTGCCGGGTCCCCTTTTGAACCCGGGCCCCGGGAATTAGTCCCGGCTGCCCCCCCTCTAGTCGGCCCTGGTCCAGAAAACTGGTGTTTGCAACTCAGATAATCCGATAGAATTTGCGATTCGGCTAGTGTCGTTACCGACAGAGGGGGTGAAGTTAGCCACTACCCTTATAAATCTTAGATAATATAATAGCAGATAGGCCACCACTGCATAAAGTTATACAATATTAATGTCGCTATCATATAATCAGTATCTCTCTTTCTAATGAAGGCTTTGTCACTCGTTTTAGAATTCTCAGCATTAGCGTACCGTAAAACAATTTCGCTGGGTCATTTTAAATGCGAAAATGTTGACCAAGTAGAATATAAAATAAAATGTTTTAAAAGGTAGGTAGGTGCATTTTTAATGAAGTGAAAACAAAATATGACTTTTTTGTTATGAATATAATATTAATAACAATTACTTTTAACACCACAACACGAACAAATTTAAATTAAACACTGGAATAATTGTCTGAGAAAAGCTTTGTCAAACTGACAAATACAAACAAAGAGATAGAGATATTAATCTATTTCTCTCTAATTAGAATTCTCGACCATATTATCATGGCGACACAAACATTGTTTACTGTCCTCACTTTACTACTTACTTACTCTGAGTTATAAATTCGTACAATTTATCAAATAAAGGTTAAACTGTCAACTTCAAACTTTTGTATGCACCGATCATTGATATCTAGATAAATCGTTAGCGATGAATTGATATGCGTTTTTAAATATAAAGGCTGAGTTCGGTTTGGCGTTCGCTGTACTCAGAGTGCACTCGGTATGCCTCAATTGTGGTCGTTTTGGCACTCAGAGCGTACTCTTTTGTGTTCGGCTTGCCACAAATCACGCACTCAGAGTGCGCACACTCTTCCCCGAGTTGGCCGGTGGAGATCAACGGGTATCTGTAGGAATGTGTCAAAAATGTCAAATGTCAATATTCTGGCTATATCAAGCTAGCGGACACTCTGTGGCGGCACCATACGAGACCTGGTGGGTTTTTTGTAGCTTTTTTGTAGCTTTTTTGTTACGCTATTTGCGAATTTGTAGCTTTGCCCAGGTCCGAAAAAACAGCGGATCCGCTAGCTTGAATTTCCATAAATTCCATAGTAGCGGCACAGATTCAGACCCAGCTGGTTTTTCGTAACTTTTTTGTTACGCTAGTCTCCCTTTTGTAGCTTGTACTGAACCTGAGAAAAGCGCGGATCCGCTAGCTTAGCGGATATTTGTAGCGGCACCAGCTCGGACCCGGCTCATTTTTTGTAACCTTTTTGTAGCTTTTTGTTACGCCTGTCTCGATTTCGTTGCGAGGCCTGAACGTGAGTAATAATCGTTTCTCCATGAGCGTGAGAGAAAAGTGTGTTAATTTAAAATCAAGTTTCGGCCTCTACAAGTAATATGTGCAACTCGACTATCTGTTGCTAGATGGCACCAGTATTGCATTTCACGAATTATGGCCATCTTCCATTAAATATATTTTTGAGAAATTTAGATATAATCTCAAAATCAGACATTTTCAACGGTATGTATATTAATTATTTGTCCGATATTAATGTAAAATACATATTGACAAAATTTTTAAAATAGTTGTATGTCGGACGCCACTATTTTCCCGATCGGGTGTTTTCGGTTATTTTTACTACTAAAAACTTACTGCTAACTTCACACCGGTGGTAATAGCTACCAAGCAATTACCTATTCTCACTATATACAGGGTGTTCCATCTCAGACGAGTTCTTATCCCATAGTAATTGGAAAAATTTCGCGAAACACGTCTGATGATTTTCTTTGGGGGACATTTGACGTATATTTGAGGCTTGAATGAGCAACCCCCTATAAAGGGGCGCTTCAACCCCTCAAAATTGAATAGGGAAGAGGGGTTGGGTGATACTTCATTTGTAAGGTCCTGAAAGCCTCTTTACAACGGTGTATGAAAAAAAATCACATCCTTAAAAAAAATCAATTGTTTTATCATGCTTACAATCAAAAAAATCAAAACTGCGTTTTTAAATGAAATGTTCAATTTGTCTTCCATTGACTTTCATGCAATAATAAATTCTCTCGAACTAATAAATAAAAAAATCAAAACATTTTCTTATCTTGCCTTAATTTTTTGCTCTTAGAAGGTTTATCACGTTTCTTCGATCATTTTATGTGATAAAACAATTAATTTTTTTTAAGAATGTTTTAAGAATGTGATTTTTTTCATACACCGTTGTAAAGAGGCTTCCAAGACCTTACAAATGATGTATCACTCAACCCTTCTTCACTATTCCATTTTGAGGGGTTGAAGCTCTCCCTCATAGGGGGTTGCTGGTTTAAGCCTCAAATATACGTCAAAAGATGTCCCCCAAAGAAAATCATCCGACGTGTTTCGGAAAATTTTTCCAATTACTATGGGGTGGCTCGTCTGAGATGGAACACACTGTATAGTTGTGATCCGACAAAATTAAATACTGGTCCATAAATACTGCAAAACGATTGGTTACGGAAATCATTCAAAAAAGATGTAAGAATATTCTTGATTCAACAAAAGTATAAATACATAAACAACACTAAAAAACATTTAAAAACAAATGTTCGATTTTGAGATTATATCTAAATTTCTCAAAAATATATTGGATGGAAGATGGCCTTAATTCGTGAAATGCAATACTGGTGCCATCTATCAACAGATAGTCACACTATCGAGTTGCACATATTACTTGTAGATGCCGAAACTTGATTTTAAATTAACGCACTTTTCTCTCACGCTCATGGAGAAACGATTATTACTCACGTTCAGGCCTCGCAACGAAATGGAGACACGCGTAACAAAAAAGCTACAAAAAAGTTACAAAAAATGAGCCTGGTCCGAGCTGGTGCCGCTACAAATATCCGCTGAGCTAGCGGATCCGCGCTTTTCTCAGGTTCAGTACAAGCTACAAAAGGGAAACTAGCGTAACAAAAAAGCTACAAAAAAGCTACAAAAAGTTACGAAAAACCAGCTGGGTCTGAATCTGTGCCGCTACTATTGAATTTATGGAAATTCAAGCTAGCGGATCCGCTGTTTTTTGGGACCTGGGCAAAGCTACAAATTCGCAAATAGCGTAACAAAAAAGCTACAAAAAAGCTACAAAAAACCCGCCAGGTCTTGAATGGTGCCGCCGCAGAGTGCCCGCTAGCTTGATAGAGATTATTATTTCTTATTTGTTTTTGTTATAACTATTTCCTATTTGACTAACATTAATTTTTTACAGTTCATATACATACACAAAAGTGTATTCAAGTGCAAACTATCACTAGTGTCATTTGTCATTTTCCTGGTGTTCGTTTTGAGATTGTAAAAAGAGCGAACTCTGTCTATGACGTCACGCACTCTGTGTGCGCTCTGTCCGATCCGTCGAGTTCCAAACCGAACTTACCCAAAATAAATAGTCCGATAAAAAATATTTCATTATCAACGTTTGGTTACATGGGATAGTGAATCCGTTATCAATAAAAGTTTTGGAAAAAAAGAGTAGAGCAAAATTAAACCAAAAATGTTACAAATCAACATAAGTTATTTAAGATTACTGATAAAGTTGATTCATGCGGTGCGGTGTTGCCAAATCTACTCTATAAATAAATCGAAAAAATGGTATTAGATATGTATTAGAGACGACGTGCCAAGCATTTTACTGCTTGTTAAAAAGTGAAAGAGAGAAGAACAGTCTGAGACATATGGCAACGCACTACAGGTTTGCTCGGATGTCAGATGTAAAATGAATTATTTACATCTCGGTCTGATTTAAAAACGATACCTTAAATTTAAGTATTGAAATCAAACTCTGAGACAAACAATTTTAAGCATGATATTATATTATAATGTTGTGCAACACTACGTATATATTTAAAACATTTTACTTCCATAAATTCTTCTTTCAATATATGGCAACCCTATTACAAACTTCTTACATTTTTTACTGCCTATTAATGACAAATTTTTAATAAAAGTTATATGGATTTGAAAAAGGCATATATATTAAAAATATTGATATAGTGGTTGTCACGTTTTTGTCTGGAAAATATAAATGTATGTTTTTGAAATGGAATATCCTTTATTTTATTTTAATTTTAAAATGGTCTGCTAATACTGTATTTAATGCTAAAATATTTTCTTTAAATATTACAGGATTACTAAACAATAATTTTTTTTTTGGGAAATTACATAATGATACAAACTTCAAATAAAATTATCGTAATTTAGGTAAATTAGCAATGATTTCAAAAATGTTTAAAATACAGACTGGTTTCTTTTATACAGAATGTTTTGAAACATGTCGTCAATATAACTCATTTAAAGTTCAATTAACTAATTTTTTTTAAAGGAACACCCTTTATATTATTTTAGCATTGAATTCGATATGAATTTACTTATTCAACGATACCAACATGTTAGCCCATTATACATAAACAGAGTATCCGATCAGTGTGTATATAATTGATCGACAACTGCTCAATTATTCTTAAATATACAAGGTAAGCCATGAATATGGAGCAGACTAAACTTAGACTTTTTTAAACCAAACTGCTGTAGATACTCACGCATAACATATTTGATTGTTTTAACCTCGTCAAACAATTTTAATGGATTAAACGTTTTGCATGTTCATTCATTTACTATGTTGTATATAGGGTGTCTCAAAACGCGATTTTTTTATTTTTTCAATTAATTAATTCAATTCTTTATTTTTTATTTTGTTTGGTATTTCTTATGTCAAATAGCTTTTTTAATCTATTTGCAATGGTTTATATTATTTGTGACGTCGGAGAACATAATATAATCCATTAATATCTGAGTTAACAAAAATAAATTAGTATTTTATTCTAAATAATAAGTTCATATTATATATTAGAATAATGTGATAAAAGTATGTCAATTATCCCGAAAAGCCATTAAAATCTTGAGAAAAATGCGTTTGTATATAGGGAATTTTAACATAGTTACTATGACGTTACTGTTACAATTTGTAACAAAAATTGATGTTGCTGCCAATTTGTAACCTAGGTAAAATAATAACTGAATTTATGTCAAATATAGAAACCTTAATATCATCAGACCCTCGGCCTAGCTCATGTCCGGATCATGTAGTTCTAGCTTAGAATTTTCTAACAAACTAATGGCCATCATCTTTAATTAAAAAGACAAGAAAGTGTTCTAAAAATGGTTAAGGACGCTCTGTATTTAGATAGTTAATAAATACAAATTATGCCATTAATTTGTTAGTTAAAAGTAAGGAATAAATTCAAAGAGTGAAATTAAAATATAGTGACTTTAATGTTAACGACAGACACTTAACAATTTCAAATTAAAGAGTAATATCGAAACAACAAATGGTTAACTTCAAATCTCATTAAATTAAAATATAGTGACTTTAAAGATTTTCGTTGGTAAAACAAATGTTTGGATTACTAGCAGATACTTGTTGACTTGGATTGACGGCCGAGGAGTTACGGCCTTCACTGGGCCGTTGATAAGAAGATATTTACTGTTCTCTTTTCCCTCGAGGCTTCCTCTTAATGCAAGCTGGCTGACATCCACTTTCTCTAGGCCGGTATCCTTTTTCTTTCATGGCTTAATTGATGAGAAGATACTACTTTTTTATATAGGCCGCTCTCCTCTTTTACATATAGGCTGGTCATCTCTTTTTGTTGCCGCTCTCCTCTTCTTGTATTTGTGGCCTTTCTCTTTTCATATTTGCCGCTCTCCTCTTTTCATATTTGCCTCTTTCCTTTTTTCATATTTGCCGCTCTCCTCTTTCCATATTTGCCGCTCTCCTCTTTTTAAATAAAGAAAAAACACGGTGTTAGTCATTAATAAAAAAAAACCTTTCCAGGTCTTAACATGTGTTACACAAAAGAAAGTACAAAATAAGTACTTTTAATATAGAACAATTATTAAAATTGCAGAACAAAATAAATATATTTAATATAGAACAATTATTAAAATTGCAGCGATTGATTAGATTCGCAACAGTATTCAGTTACCTTGTTAAAAGATGGAAAAGAACAAAAAAATCTAGATATAAAAAAATCTAAAATGGCCACTTTTATTGGCATGCAGTCTAAAAACAAAAGAGCATTTTAACGTTAATCAACCCAAAACATTTCGTTGAACTCACATAATAATCTACAAACGAAATGTTGAACCTGTAATCACTGATGAAGTAGTTCTAAATAACCAAATATATTAAATAATTACCTTTTGTCACCAAGCGTTCACAAAAACAGACAAGTGGATATTTCGAAGTCACACCACGAAAAGGACGAGAATATTCAGTAAGCTGACTTAAAAGGTAAATTGCATTGTCCGATCGTGCGCAAGACCCAATTCATTAATTTTTACGAAGGACGGGTGGGGTTAAAACACAGGAAGGAGATATTTGCACCAGCGGCATGATGAAATATTTTTCCTAGGAGGGTATAATTATTAAATGTAGATAATAATGCGGAAATAAAACTGAAACGTTATTTATAACGTTACAGAATGCCAAGTAAAATAAAGAAATTAATTTATAAATTGGTAATATACCAAAAGTTGAGAATATTGTAACCTCGAGTTTAGACACACCCTGTATATATCATAGTAAATGAATGAAACTGCAGAAAAATTAGGAACGTTGTCTATTAAAACTGTTTAACGAAGCAAAAACATTTTTTGGTTTAAAAAGTATGAGTTTGATTCGCCCTTCATTTATGGCCTACCCAGTATATTTAAGAATAATTTTAAAATATGGTCTTAAAATAATAAAAGAGCTGTCGATCAATGTACAATATGCTAACATGTTGTTATCGTTAGATATGTAAATTTATAAGGAATTTAATATTAAAATAAAATATAGGGCGTTGCATCTGAAAAAAATTAAGTAAAGATCTATATTTATAACATGTTTCAATGTATAAAATAAATGAGTCTGTTGTAGTGTAACCAACTGAAATAAAGAGAGACAACTTAACTAATATCTCTCTCTCTCTTTTATAAAAGTATGATAAATAAAATGGCGGCGTGATCGACTATGAAGTGAACTTGGATACCACGAGTGACCGACAGAAAGATTCGTTATCTATTGGCTACTTACGTGTTATTGAGGAAGTGGTAAAGGTTAAAAGAAAATATCTATTGAATTATATCTAATCTTTATTGAAAATATTATAGATGAAAGAATCATAAAGTAAAAATTTATAAGTATATAAAATGCACTTATAAAGATTAAATATAGGTCTGGTTCAGTGCAATAAAAAAAATAATTAGTTTATGATATGAGGGGAAAGAACCAGCAAGAAAACCTCAAAGTTAAAATAAATACAATAAAACCAATCAAACGTCAATTTGGATACAAATGACAAATTAAGTATATAAATATATATAAAAAAACATTTAATTACTTGATGATTTATTTAAACTCAGAAAAAATATATGAAATAATATTCAATTTTAGTTAAATACAGGAAAATATATGAAATAATATTCAATACATTATATAAATAAAAATATCTTATACTGCAAGGCAAAAATAAAATAAATATTTTAGGAACAATAACTTATCAGATAACAAACATTGAGCATCACTAGGTTCAAACACACTCGATGCAAAACTGAAGAAGGGTTAATAAGTAAAAGGTAATGGGGAAGCTATATAGCTTTACTACCCACCTATGAGTTGAATAATCTGGCGACAAAATAAGGTAAGTTACCGAGACACCTATCCCGATGTTGTCCCAGCCACGGGCGAAAATGTTATTATCAATCAACAAGGCATTTTACTCTTTTAACTTAGATCTGCCAATGCTGTGATTATCAAAATAAAACACATAATGATAGGAATACAATATTACTTTTCCCTTGCAGAACTTTAAAAATGACTGGAAAATAATTTCAAGTTCAAATATTAATTATAGCAAATTTTCCTTAGTAAAACTACAAAATATCAATAAGCTTCAGAAATATTTAAATTAAAATATTAAAAGTATGCTATTTTTCACTGATTTAAATAGTAAAATAAGTCATAAAATCAAATAAACTCGTTATAGGAATGCAAACAATTTTTTATGACAAATCATGACAAATACAAAAAATACCGGCAAGAAATAACATGAAATTACTTATAACAGTGACATTCAAATCTGAAATAGTGAACCATCAACAAGTTAAACAATATATAAAGCAGTTGAAATATAGTAATTGATTTAAATAAGAACTTACATTTTATCACAAATAAAACCTTTTTTTTTTAAATCACCTGTACCTAATCACTGGCATTCTGACTCTTCGATGTTCGATGACTCTCTGCTTCTGTTCCCTGCGCATGCACGATTTTGGTTCATTGGAATTTACCGCGGTCAAAAACTATAGAATAGGTGGACGCTTTATATTGCAATTTAAGGTGGACGAAATTAAATACGATCTCCTTCACTGTATTTTAAACAATTTTGATATCATTGCTAACCTATCATTATAATAATTTTATTTGGGGTCCGCTTCATTCTCTAATTTCCCAAAAAAAAATTAATTGCTTGGCAACTGTAATATTTTTCAAAAATATTCTAAAGTAGGTATGCATTTTTCAAATTTATATTTCTTTTATTTAAAACTTGTTTGCCTAATTATGCACTAATGGGATACAACAAACAATTCTAGAAGCGTCAAAAGTGCTGAATGTTGCTGAATAAAAACAGTCTTCTTCTTTCTTCCCATTGTTGGTTGAACAGTCTTTATTTCTTCCTTTTATAGTTAAAATCTCAGCGAAACATTTACGAGGAGACCTAAAATGGCCTCCCGACGACGTAAGACGAAAGATGTACGAAGAAGCCGAAAACGTAAATAATAGTAATAGTTTCCTTTCTCTTCAAGGTGGAAAACATCTTCGAGGAGACCTGAAATGGCCTCCAGAAGAGGTGAAAATGCAGGCCGAGGAAGAGAACAGGCTTCGCTTAGAACTGGCCAAAGGCCCCGTTTGTAGGCCCAGGAAGGTTAAAAAGGATTATACGTCATTCTTTGAACAACACGCATTAAACTCTACGTATCCTGGTTATAAGATTCCTCCTGGTACACAGTTCTATAAGCCAGAATAGAAAAGTTATTTAGTTATTTTTTGATAATGATTTTAAATTAGCTGATTTTTAATTATGCCGTAGTAAGCATTCAAAAATAAGTAATGACGCTTCTTTTAAAATATTAAAAACTAAGTAAATATATTTCAAAATTTACATATTGTAAAACTCGCACAATGAGCAAACCTCATACGACTTAAGAATCTTGGCGTACGTTTGACAGTTGACGGCTAGCATCCTGAGTGTTTATTAGCCGAAATGACAAAATTTGAATATTTTGACCTATGAAAATAATATTTAAATATTTTTTGTTTTTTTCTTATTTTTGAATGACTTACATGATTGTTTGTTCATCGCTACACTGTCCAAACAAAATGAAAAAGATTAATACAAAACTGTAACATAAATAGAAATGTATATACATACCTACCTACCAATGTAGATTATGTAAATCTATTTATCTTATTTGGACATTTTGTAAATAAATAATTTTAAGGTGCTAAGTTTGTGATAAATGATAATGCTCTTTGAACTGATTTTCAAGCGAATAACTAATTATAAAATTTGCGATTTATTTTAAAAATAATTATATAAAAATATATATATTTAAAAATGTATTTATTCGATTTTAAACATGCCGCTTTTCTCAACGATTTTGATATATTGATGTCGATACGACAGCTTTGCTCTTTTGCAAAACTTATTTGTGAATATATTATTACTATTATATGTTATATGTAGATTTATATATAAAATATGTAAAACTATTCTTGTAAGATATTTGTACTATGTACGGTAACCAAAAAAATTAAATAATAATAAACCTGTAAAAACTTTAGTCGCTGTTTTATTTTGTTCCGAAGTTTCATAGGCATTTTAATCATAGACATAATATTATTATGCTTGCCAATACGCTTTACTAATGTCCAAATGAAAACTACATGTAGTAATAGTTCGCACAGGAAACGAATAATATCGGCTTTGCCATTTTATACGGCCCTACCCCGTCGTAACGTTGGCCAGGCTGTATAAACTGGAAACGCTGATATTATTAGTTTTCTGCTCCCAATAATGTTAAGTATCTCTAGTTTTCACTTGGACATTAGCAAAGCTTATTGGAAAGCGTTTAGTAGCCGATACTGTATAATATTAGACATAAAATCGATTCAATTACTGTATCAAGAACAAACAAAAACGATTGGCCAGAAATGCTTTACTTATCTGGGCTCTAAATTATATAATGAACTTTCCTCTGATATTAAAATAATCAACTCATACAGCTTATCTAAAAGGAAAATAAAAGAATGGATACTAAGTTTACCATTCACAAAATTAAAACAATTTCTTAATTCAATTACTGATAAATCTGGTACAATACTAGGTTCCTATGCCATCATAGAAAGCCTCTTCGAAATAATATTATTAAAGTACCTATACAATTAACGACGTTTTTTTTCTCAGGGTGATGAAATATGTCATCAAATAAAAAGCAGTGGCAGAAGTGGGACGAATAAGCAATGGAGGAAGTTCTCTGTGTGTGCAATGAATACGATTGGAAATTTCATTCCTCCTGCATTTATTTTCCCAAAAAATGAACTCATGAATAACGCACCACCAGGAAGCACTGCGTTTTGTCAGGAAAAGGGGTGGATGAATAGTGATATATTTCTGAAATGGATTAAATATTTTACGCATTATACCAAAGCTTCCAAGGGCAACAGGATTTTGTTCTTGTTTGAGGACACTCTAGCCATAAAAGCTTGGAAGTTTTGCGAGTAGCCAAAGACAATGAAATTGTCTTATTTTTTTTTCCGCACCCTGCACCCATAGAGTGCAGCCACTTGATGTTGGCTTCTTTGCCCCATTGCAGACTTACTACGATCAGGAGGTTTGAAATTGGGTAAAGCAAAATCCTAATAGGCTTGTAACGAACCTTCAGGTTGCTGGACTGTTTACGAAGACATTTTTAATAAGTGCAACCCCACTTATGCCTTTTCCAAAACGAGTATTTGGTTAGTAGAATTTTTCCAAATATTTTCCCAATCTTGAATTTGGAAGGCAGATATGAATTTCCCCACATACCATTTTTAAAGTTAAGTATGCCATTATAGGCTACCTTCCCCTAAAAGGTGGCCCATAAACGAGGGGATGACAAAACTTATACTTTTTAAAAGGAAAAACACCCTGCAGGTAGTTATATATATTTGATTGTCACATCGTCAAACAATTTTAATAGACTTCATTCATTTGCTATGTTGTATATAGGGTGTGTCAAAACTTTTCTTCATTTTTAAATATAATTCACTGTTTAAATTATTAATTGATGGTATAACATACACGGTATATTCAATATAAAATAAGTAAATACTAATTTATTGATTTAATTTTACAATTTTAATATATTTTGAATATGGATCATCTTCACATCTAATAATGTTTAAACAAAAAAAGTACATAATAGATAACATAACAGTAACCTATAAATGACTTAATAATAAAGTCAGAGGTTATCAATATTATATAAAATGATAATTAATTATAAAGAAACAAGTATTCCAACTGTCATCCAACATTACAGTAAAATCACTTCTAACAATACAAGATGAAGTGTTTGACAACTTTCGCTTTTCTGATTAGTTCAGTGTTATTAACAAATGCTACAAAAACTCCGTCAATAGTTATAATTGGGGCTGGGACCTCAGGGCTATCAGCAGGAAAGAAACTCCTGGAAAATGGCATTCAAAACATAACAATCCTTGAAGCAGAATCCAGAATAGGTGGTAGAATCAACAGTGTGTATTTTGGAGAAAATTATGTAGATCTAGGTGCAACTAATTGCCATGGAGAAAAAGGCAATATTGTATATGAAACCGTTAAAGACTTAAACCTGCTTGGAGATACACAATATCCTAAAGATTTTTATTATTCCTCTGGGGTTAAGGTAGATTCCAAATTTAGTGAAGAACTAATAAAAATAATGACAAGTATATATCCTAATATGGTCGAACCTGCTAAAAATATGTCTTTAGGAGATTATGTCATAAAATAGTAAGTTTTTACTTGTTTCATAATGTTTAACATTAATTTTAACAGATTACACTAAGAGCTGGATTAAATTAGATTTAAAAGGATTTGGTCATTATTTATCCTTGTCCATCGCGATCTCTTCAGATTTATTTCGAGACTTCGTTATTTAGACTATGGTCTTTTTTATTAGACATGGCAGCTTTGACAGTAGCTCCCGCATGTAGTTACATGCTCCTAACTTTTTTCACCTACCTAGTGATAAAAGCCTTAATCTAGCCAGGCCTTCACACTGGCGCAGGACGTGGAGTAATTCTTCCTCTTCTTCTTCTTCACAGAACCGTCACAATGTTGCTTCTTCTGCTCTATTGATGACAATCATGTGCCTTTTTAGGAGAGAGTGCCCACTAAAAAGATCTACTGTTATCCTTACGATTTGTCGTTTCTAATCCAATAAGCTTTTAGTGAACTTGGTCGACGATTCCTTAATAAAATATTTGGCCTGTCTCAATCTTCGATAGTTGTTCCACCATACCTGAGATTCTTTTTGCATCCATTGTTTGTTGGATGACTTAGTAACGCCATATAATGGTTTCGGGTCTGTCATGTCACTATCTGAGCTAGTTCTTCGGCCTTTTCATTGCCCTAATATCATTCGTGGTCTGGTACTCAGGCTAAGGTCGCTTTGTTTTGACTACTTAGCTCTGTCAGGTCTTCTAGGCAGTCTGGTACTTACTGATTTATTATTTTTCTTGTACAGTGTTATATGGATATAAGTTCGGCCTGAAATACTGTTGCGTATTTTCCTAGACTCTAAGTAGGTATCTTTAATTGATAATTCAAGATCTTAATAAAAACCTGTATGATGCACATACCAGGGTGTGCAATAAATTATTTTTTCTACATCTACATGGATATTAGCTTATCTACGCACATATTACAGAACGAAAAAGTATGTTATTGCCTTCAACTGAACGAATATATTTCATATACATTCTAGATAGTGAGAACACTGCAAAAAAATTAAATCACCGTTCATATTTTGATCAACCGACTGCTATTATTTTTAAAATTTTAAATAAGTGACAATTCTGTTAAACTAATTGTCAGTATATTTTTTAGTTATTGAGATTAAACATACATTAAAATGAGTTATTCTTGTATAGAATCGATAAATAATGACATTCTGTTTTTATTTCGTCTATAATAATTATAAATAATTTGTTAATTTAAATAAAACTATATGTCAGTCAAGTCAAGTTAATCTAATTACGAGTATTAAAGCAACAAAAATAAAAGAATAGGTGGTCCTGTGGTTAGCGTTCTTGCCTTCCACACTCAAGACTCGAGTTCGATTCTCGGATAGGGAAAAATTAAATGAACTTTTTCTTCTTCTTTCGTTTATTTTATTTTAAAAATTATTTAAAGTCACAAATTATTTTAAAATTAGTTATTTTGTCTTAATAACCTAAAATATTTTTTCTATTTGTAAATTTTCGTTAGTAGTTCGTAGAAAAAATATTCCTTACAACTAGAGTGGATTGTCCACATCGCACTCAGATGATTTAGCACTCCGCCTACGGCGTCGTGTTCAAATTTCGTCTTCGTGCGATATGGCCATCAGATCCACTCTTGTTTTTCTATTACTGGCACATATTCATAATTGCTTCCCGCAAGGGCGCACCAAATTTAGAACCAATATTAACAAAGATAGACGCCGCTAGTTTCCTTTTGATAGTTTTGTACTTCCAACCAATTAACTTTTTGTGTACCTTCACCCCTATGTCAACTTAGCGTTATCTCTGCAATAAATCTCTCGATGCTACATGTAGTTTACTCGTACAAATTATAGAGAAATACGTTTTCATTCTAACACATTGAATTACCTATTCTGTTAGTGGTAGCAGATTTTGCAATGGCTAAGAATTTTGCAGAGCAGATGTATGATGGCCAACCACGATTTCTAGATCCATATTTTGGGTAGATCAATCCCAGTTTCTTAAATAATACTCTTTTCTTGCCAATTATTCACTCTGGCCATGCGTAGATCTTCTTTCCCTTTCTTTAGCTACCCTGATCTTGGTCTTCCTCGTCTCCTTCTTCCTGCTGGATCCCATTTTAAAATTGAATAAACCAATATACCATTTCCAGCTCTGAAAATGTGTCCTAGCCTTCTTAATCTAGATTTTTGTTATTGTGTCTTTATTTAGGTCCTTTGCTAACATAATTCTGTGGTTAGATGGCAAAACCATATGTGTCTGTTTTTTTTTTTGGTAATTTTAACATATATATGTCTATTGTATGTACTTCTATAGGTTGGTAAAACGATAAATGCGGATATCTTTAAAGTATGAATATACTGTGCATGTTCAAAACCAGATATGACATATTTTCATATTAATTTTTAGCATTTCTAACATATTATCTGGATTTGGTATCTAACCACAACATTTTTCTTTCCATAATTTTACATCTTCCTGTTTTTTGTCATATTCATTTTTTCTTTTGCGTACGGTAATATTGGTCTTATTATTGTATTATGTTTACTTTGCTTTTCTTTGTGAGTAGTTTCGTTTTAAAGGATTTTTTTGTTTGCGTAATAGTTTATTTGTAATGACTATTTTTTGGCTCAAGTTTCCTGTCTCCAAGCAGACTTTTACTGTACTCGTACTTCTTCCAAAAACTCGCTTAACTAATGTGTGTGATTTTGTTTACTTTACCAATAGTAGAGTGGCTTTTGTCGAAACCCAAATAGAAAATAATGCATCGATCTTTTATCTTCAGAAGTTTTAATTAGTAGGATTTTCCAATAATTTAGACATAGTTGGCAAAAGAGAAATAGGTCTATTAGATAGAATGATCCACAAGAAATGTTTCTAACGTAGGTATTAGAAAAATTCACAATTCTTTATATTAAGGGTCAGTTTGGATTTAATTCAAAGCCGTTCCTAGTTATTTCGAACATGACTCGTATCTCTGTCTTTGTCAGTTATGTACTTTGTGGATTATTATCTAGTATTTAAGTAGCAATTTAAGCATTTTAATTTTTCTTTTAGCTACAATAAAGCAATAAACGAAAAATTTGGATCAGACAAAGAAAAGCTAAACATAGCCAAAGGTGCAATTTATTTTCTAGAAACCGTGGCCTTAAGTGATGAAAACAGCCCTTCTTGGTTCGACATTACCATTGATAACGACTTCATACCGAATGAAGGTAACACTTGGTTAAATTGGAAAGGCAAAGGATATAAAACCTTCCTAGAAGTTTTTCTTAACAATTCTGGCGTTCACGAAAAAGTAATTTTCAACAAAGAAGTAAAAAAAGTGTCTTACGATGCTAGCAAGAAATGGCAAGGTGTAACGGTTTCTTGTTCTGATAATACTCAGTATGTGGCCGATCACGTAATAGTAACGACATCTTTGGGAGTGTTAAAAGAAAATTTGAACAACCTATTTGAACCAGAATTACCTTCAGTTAAAAGAAAAGCCATAGATAGAATGGGATTTGGTGTTATTATGACAGTTGCCCTGCACTATGAGAATCCTTGGTGGGAGAATGATTCCAAAGGTTTTAATTTTATTTGGAGCAAGGAAGACTTGGAGAATTCTGTTTCAGAGTTTTCAGAGGGACCTCATTACGTAAGTCAGTTTATTTTATTTATGTAGTATGGATAAGACGTTACTATAGTAGCACCGATGTAGCCGTATTGATAATACACTTCGGCCAGTCGTATTGTATCATAATTTGATGTTTTTCAGTGAATGTTTTTATTTATTTCCTTTTTTTTATTTTAATAAAAAAAACATGGTCACGTGCTCTACGTGTTTGTAACAGTAGCAGAGCCCGATCAGATAGAAAATACATGTTTCTATCATATCTCCTATATATCATTTTCTTACCTACCGACAATCTGACCAGTATCAAATATCATTAAAAATTGGAAAATTCAACAATATGACTACTTCATTTGAAGGCTAATTTTATTAGTACCTACCTAATAGAAAGAAATCTATATTTAACTATTTTGTTAATCATTCATCTGCTATATTGGAAGACATCATTAATAAAAATAAAATAGTTTTAACTTGTTATAATCAAAAACATTATCAATCACTCTTTTTTGCTCCTTTTACTGAACTGCATATAAGGCAAATTATTAAATTAAAAAGAACGCAAGATATATATGACAATGATTACCTATTTTATTAAAGAATTTTGACCGAAATGTTGTTAGTCCTATTACTGAACTAATAAACTGTTGTCCAGCTGAAGATACATTTCCACATACTTTTAAAACATCCGGTAAGAAAAGCTACTGTTATCTTCTAAAGACTTGACGTTTTTCATCCAGTAGATCTTTCGTCAACTTGGCCGATGATTCCTTGAACTGTTTGGCCTGTCTCAATCTGGAGTAGTTATTCCTAAGACTCTTCTTGCATCAATTGTTTGATGGATGCCTTACACAAAGCCTTAGCTACTTCACAGGAGGGTTCAGGGCCTGACATGGCCTTATCTGAACCTTCAAAGGCTAGTTCGTCGCCCTTTTCGTTACCCTGATATTCCTCGTAGCTTGGCATCCAGGCTAGGGTCACCTTGTTTTGATTATTTTGTTTTGCCAGGTCTTCTGGGTAGTCTTTCACCAGTCGTGATTTGATTGCTCGTGAGAAAATTGCCTTTAGAGCTGCTTGGCTATCAGAGTAGATGGCAATAATTTTGCCTGATACTTGCTAATTTATTATTTTTCTTGCACACTCTTATATGGCTATTAGTTCAGTCTGGAATATTGTTGCATATTTTTCTAGACTCAGCGAAAACGTTGTTTTCGACTTGGGTTCAAAGATATCATCCCAGACGAGTTCAGCCTGTATGGGAGGTCACTGTTTCCAGGATTCTCGGTTTGGTATATGAATTTGAAAATGTCTTTCAAATTTGTATAAGGTTATGGCTGTATCAGTAGACATTCTAGAATCATATTCTTTTTTCTTGCTGATATAATCTCTTATGGTCAGCACTATGTAGTTCCCTTGTTGGGTTTTGTCCCTGTATAATAACGGACCTGGTTTCTCCTTGTATAAAGATGTGCAGTGGAGGGTAAACTATAATGAACCACGTGAATCCCTATTTAAATAACTTAGCACAATGACCATGTTTTCGCTAGCTGTAAAAGATAAGTTGAGAAATTTCACGTCACTTAGAGAGGGAAAATCAGCTAATCCAAACAGGACCTAGAACAAACAAGTCCCGAACAATAAGTATTTTCTTCTAAAATGCACTTCCACCCCACATCCGTAATCTACCAGGAAAAAGTTTATTCAGTGAATTAAAGAATTAAAAATACATATATTACTGGACATTGTGACTATACCTACAACATAAACGATTATTTTTTAAGCGTAAATTACGTCACCTAATATTTTTAATATTTTTACTAGTATTTTTTAGTATTTTTATTTTTATTACTATTACTAACTCTTATTTTATTATAAATTTTATGTATTGTCCTATGTATGTACCTGTTATCTCTGGTATATAACTATAATGTACCATGTGCTGAATTTTATCAGGATTCTGTATGTTTGGAACTATTTAAATACTGACGATTACATAAACATTTTATGTTTATTATTGTGAATGAAGCATTCTATTCAATTCTATAAATATTGTAATAAAACACTTTTTCTAATTTTGACATAAAGTGTAATATCCTAGGTCGGTATGCCAGGATATAAAATATAAAGTAGTTTTATTTATTATATCCTGGCAAGATGGTTTACTAACCTAACAAAGAGGTGTGTCCATGTACCGGTCTCGTACATGACATGACAGCCCAGACAACACACCAAATCCCAGAGATATCCACAGAATATCTTTTGTGGATATCCAATATATCCACAGGATATCAGAAATATTCCGTGGATCTAATATGGATATCCAAATATCCGTCTATATCCAGAATATAGAAGATATCCTAATGGATATTCAGCAAAATATCTAATGGGTATCTTCCAGAAAATACAAGAAATCCAAGAGATATCCACTGAATATATTTTGTGGATATTCAATATATCCAATATGGATATCCAACCAAATATGTCCGTCTATATCCCATGATATAGAAGATATTCAGATATTCAGCAAAATATTTTATGGGTATCTTTAGTAGAGGTTCATAAGTAACCAATGATTATTGAATAACGTCGAAAGGAAATAGCAGAGATAAAAAATATTTTCAACACTCAAAATATTTTCAACACTCTGCCTTTGATTTTGCCCACTAAGGAGAAAGTCATTCTTATTACGACTCTTCAGCAATAAATGGAAATTCTCGATTCCAGTCTCTAATGGAGTGATTAGGACACAAATTTCGATCGAACTCAATTACGGCGAGTCGAGCATGAGTAGATGCGAGAGTGGTATCGCCATCTATACTTAGTAAGCAGAATCAAATAACATCTAGTGGATATCCACGATGGTTTGCGTTCGCGCCTAGACTTTGATATATTTAGTGGATGTTCATGGGATATTGAATACACCTTAAAAAAATTAATTTTAAATATCTGAACGGTACTATTAGCCACAATGGCGAGCACAATGGCGTAATTTTTTAATAATTTGCTATATAATTACTATTATTTATGGACATTTGCATGTCTATAAATTACATCTCATGGATATAAAATAGATATCTACCATGGACTGGACATTTAGTGGATATTGGGATGTTCAGTAGATATTCAAAGGATTTGGTGTGCTGTTTGGGAGGTGACACTGACAACCTAACCTATGACAACTGTCTAGCTAGACTAAAAAGTTGGTAGTCTAACTAGATTTATCATACATTAAGTACGTCACCAGTTACGAAAAGAAAAAAAATAAAAGTAAACCTTTTAAAATCAATAATATACATTATTATTGAAAGTTTTTATTAAAGAAGAGCAGGTTGACTTATAAAAGTAGAATTTGGTTAAATTTACAACCTGGTAATAATGTTGTTTTGGTCCTTATTTTCCAGTCCAAATCAGCACAAAATAATTAAAACGCAATACACGACAAAATAATCCACTTTTTTGAAAACTAAATAACTTTAATAAACAATATAAACACACTGCAAGTCGATGAGAATAAATAATTGATAATTATGCTCTAATCGTGGTTCTAATTGTCAATAAAATGATGCATATACAACTAACAATACAAGAAAGTAATATTGGTTGCCTAAATGTCAGTTATGGTTAACCAAAACACAATTTTAGTCAAAATTAGAAAAAATATTGTATGTAACACGTTACGAAATTCCATTTTATGTAACTACTGCTCGTCCAGCGAAAATTCACTCATTAGATAAAATAAGGCATTTCACAACTGGTTTCATAAATAACTCTTTTAATCTAGAAAATTTCTTTTATTAAATGGTGTTCAATTAGTCAGTTGGACTACAAATAATTTTAAATAATAGAGCCCTGGTAATTTCGCCATATTGTTATTATAAAAGTGGGGCCATAATACGAGTATGTTTAATTATTATAAATTTCAGAATAACCGTTCTTGGATAACGTATATTTGTGGATTTGTGAAAGCAGATTTAAATCCAAACGTATTGATAGCATGGTTTTCAGGAAATTTAGTACCAGAAATTGAACTAATATCTGATGAAACTCTCTCAGATGGCTTGACCTACCTTAACAAAAAATTCTTAGGACACGCCTACAACGTAACAAAACCCGACAAAATAATTCAGTAAGGCTCAAGAAATTAAAAGTATCAAATAATTTTGTAAAAATGTGTTTGTTTCTAGTTCAAAATGGCGCGCGAATCCTCATTTTAGAGGATCGTATTCGTTCCAAAAACCTGAAGCTGAGAAAAGAGATAATCCAACGAATGCTGAAGAAGATTTGGCAGTACCAATCAAAAACGTCGATGGAAGACCATTTGTGCATTTTGCTGGAGAGGCTACCCATGCTTATTATTTCTCGACTGTACAAGGAGCAACAGAAAGCGGTTTACGAGAAGCTGGGATTATTAAAAAATATTATTCATGATGAATCAATGTTATCCAAAATTTTTCATTTGTTTTAAATAAAAAAATGATTTTATTTATTGCTATATATGATTTCATTATGTTAGTTCCAAGCAGGATTGCCAGGTGACCGGAAGTCTTCCAGATTTAGAGTAACATTCCGGGGTTCCGTAATTAAGAAATTTTTCCGAAAATTCTGAAACATAATAATTCCACTTGGTCTAAAACTAAAAAAATTGTCAAAAAAGCAAGAGACCCATAAAACCTGGCAACACGCAATACACTATATAGGTATATTAACTATATTAAAGTCAACCAAATCAGATTCTAATTACCAGTGGAATTAGGAAGTTTTTACAGACTCAATTTATTAGTGATCACTGAAAATGTGTTTCATTTTTTGTTGATTTTCTTTTTAGTTTAGTTATAGGTAGCTACTAATTTAAGTTTTAAGTTTTTTTAATGTTGCGGTATTATACGATTCAGTACCATTGGTGGTTTTTCTCCATAAAAATAAAATTGAAATTTTTTTAGTTTTGAAACCTGAAGTATAATCTAGCAATCCTTTTCTAAACTTATTTTTTTTCTTGATTATTGGCGAAAGTGGAAATAATTTTTATGCGGCGGAACGCACTTTTAATGAGATATACCCCGATCGCCCTATATCGAGGACTTATTTGAGGGAGATTTTTCATAAGTTTCAACAAACAGCTAGTGTTCATGATGTCAAACGATCGGGTCGACCAAATATTGGTATTGATAAACAAATTGATATAGTTGCAGAAATTGTAGTAAACCCTACTTCTTCCACAGCCCAAGTAGCGTTTACCTTTGGAGTCAGTCATAGTACAGTACACAGGGTATTGACCAAAAACAAATTTCTCCCATACAAATTAAAAAAGGTACATCAACTTTCAGAGGACGACCCCGACCGAAGGCTGGAATTCTGTGAAAATATGTCCACTAAAATTCTGCAGTCAGACTATGTAAGGACAATTTGTTTTAGTGACGCAAGTACTTTTCTCCTTAATGAAAATGTTAAAACTCAAAATGTGAGGTATTGGAGTAACATAAATCCTCACATGTTTCGTGAAAAACATACACAGTTCTCATTAAAAGTAAATGACTGGGCAGGTATTTTCGGAAACCACATAGTCGGGCCTCTTTTATTGAACTCTAATTTAACCGGTGAAGTATATCTCGAGATGTTAGAAAACGCAACTAAAGCGTCAATTCTTCAAATTCTGAAAGATAATCCAGATGAATTTGGTAACTTGGAAATAACGTTCCAACAATATGATGCTCCTGCACTTTGCAGTAAGACGTTATTTAGGTGAGGAATATCCTGGTAGATGGATTGGACTACGAGGTCCAATAGAATGGCCAGCTCAGTCACCGGACCTAACACCTTTAGATTTTTTCTGTGGGGATATCTTAAATCTAAAGTTTATGCTATAGCTCCTGGCAGTAATGACGTTTTAAAACAACGAATTGTTGAAGAATGTAGGACAATTTTCCTTGACACATTTAATCGAGTCCGACAAGAGTTTAATAATAGGATGTTTTACTGCCAGGCAGTAGATGGAGCACATTTTGAACAATTATTATAAGAACTTGTTCTTAAATATTTATTAATTAAAAGCGAAACTCAAATTTTAGTGTTTATTTATTTTAACCATCAAAAACATCGTAAATCCAAAAAAAAAATAGTTTGACTGAAGCATAATCAAATAAAAATGTACATACTTTTAAATAATTTCACATATTATTCGTCAAATTCCAATAATGTATCATTTCATACCCCTATGGTAAATAAACAACTGGCTTACACAAAATCTGGTGGCAGGTACGTTGTCTCCATAAAACACATTGTCTCGATTTTGGAGGTGATGTTGCTTCTTCTTAAACAATTTAAAAACGAAACACTTAAATATGTAGATTCCTTTATATATCTGTATTATTTGAAACCAAACATTTTCCTTTCCTAAATTACCTATTCCAAATAACCATTTATTGAAAAACATTTTGTACGTACGCTTGTGTTTCGAGCACATACTTAAAGCAAAAAGTATGTGGTTTCGAGAGATAAACAAACTACTGGCAATAGCAATGAAGTGGAGAGGGGGAAAATGATAACAGTCAATGAAAAAGTGTAGACATTATGCTCCGAGCAATTACTATTAGATGGAGCTTGGATGGAGCGTAAAACGAGTTTTTCTACACCCGTATTATAATAATGCACTTATATGCCCATAATCCGTTTCATAATGATACCCATTATGATACAGATTTTTCATTACGATACAGATTTTTAATCAATAGAAACCTACAATTTTTCAATCAAGCATGCTGTTTGACGTTTGTCCTAGGTTCCTATGTAATTATTTTAGTTGTCAAAACGTATTAAATTTTCGTAGGTAGCTAAACTTCGATAATTATAATATTAAAATGTCTGATATTAGCGATATAGAAGACTCCTCCACACATATCGGAGAAAGCAGAAAATACAGTACAAAATATTTTACCGCAAAAATCTAGGGAAATACCAATACCTGAAGTAATACCATTAATTACAATTTTGTAGAATTTTTTTATAGAAATACGAGTAATTACTGTTATTGTGTTCAATACCAATATAAATATAATATTTATAGGTCTTGATTATTTATCGGGTGTAGAAAAAATAGCGTATGCAACTCTCATGAAATGGTTATTAAAACACTCGTATAAACCATACGAAACTCGCCTTTGGCTCGTTTCGTATCCCGGTTAATGCTCGTGTATTAATAACCATCATTACATGATCGTTGCATAATATACTATTTTAGGCGATTGTTTTGTTCACAACATCTGTAGACGAAGTGAGAAAGCGGCCACAAGGGGGAAGGTAAACATTGTTCTTGTTCAGTGGCGTATCATTTATCTGTAAGAACACACATTGTCCAAACTTTTTAATGGTAAAAAAACTAAAAAATTTCCTAATTTTACTATTTTTATAATGTATACCGTCTTATATGTGTCTAATGCAGGAAATTAAACAAAATCACTCTAAAGGTCTTTTCGTTTAAAGAATAAAACCTCAAAATCAATTTTATTATAAATAAACACAGGAGTGACTAGTTTCGGCATTACAGGGACATCACAGACCTGTAATACAATAATACTTAATTATTATAATAGGTTGATCACTTACGATTAAAATTAAATAGTATAAACCACAAAAATGGATCCACATTGTAGAATTAAAGCTGTGAAAATAAAAGAGCAGTGCAAACGTAACTAAAAATGGGTACGGAATCTACAAGAGAAAAGGCGAGAATGAGCAATTACGAATGCTTTTAAATTGCTCGGGATAACAAATAAGGCTGATAATGTAAAGTAGTGGTAAAATCCCCGTCAAAGAAGGTCCGGATATCGAAAATACAAAAAAATTTAAGTTTAGAACTATTCAATTTTTCCATTAGGGTCCATTTTAGAAAAATCATGTAAAAACATAATTTTTGTTTTTGGCCTCTTAAGCAAATGGAATCTTCACTCCTTTCAGTACTGGTGACTTTAGTCCTGTTGGTACTTTTCGTTTTGTAAAGTTGACTATTGTGGTTTTGTGAGGGTTAACTGTTAGTTCCTAATCTCTGCACCACTAGTCAACAATGTTTAGAGCGGTTTGTGTGCGCTCCGATATTGTACCTGCGAACTTGCCTCTTACGACGATCGCCAGGTCATTGGCATACCCTAGGCAGTAGTAATCTGCAGATATTAGCCTTTTTATGAGTTCGTCCACTAGGATTGACCAGAGAAGGGGTGATAGTACTCCTTCCTGGGGACAGCCCCTGCCTGCTTTAGCTGTCAGCGTAGCTTTGCCTAGAGATGATGTTATTACCCTTTCTTCTAGGCTGGCTTTTATCCACTGACATAGGACTACTGGTACCCCTTTCATTGTTAGGGCGTTAATTATAGATCTTGTTTGGGCATTACTAAAAACTCTCTCAATATCTACGAAAGTTGCTATTGCCATTTCTTTATCCTCCAGGGATTTTGACAGTAGCCTGTTGAGATCATTCAGGGCCAACTCGGTTGACTTGCCTGGCTGATATGCATATTGACGGTCGCTAAAAAGGTTTTTTCTCAGTATTTCGACTCGTATATATCTATCTATTGGTCTTTCTAGCGTTTTCAGCATGAATGACGATAGACTGATTGGGCAGTACGACTTTGGTGTCATATCATTAAACCTTCCTACTTTAGGAAGGTATATGACTTTCACATTTTGCCACGCCTTTGGTATATGTCGCCAGGCTATACATGCTTTAAATATGCGACACATATGTGGAATTAAAGTTTCCTGTCCCTTTTTGTAGTAGAATGGGATATATTCCATCTACTCCTGGGAATTTGTATGGTTGACATTTGTTTGTAGCCCATCTAATTTTGTTCGTCCTCGATATTTCTGTAGCTAGCCTCCATTCCAAAGGAGTTGGCCTACGAGGCCTTCTTTGAGGGCTGTATGCTACTATCGGGTCTAGCAAAATTTCTGCGGCCAGAGAGTGTACTTCTGTGAGCATTGTTAACGTTTCCTCGAAGGGTTTTGTATAGGTTTCATCATCTTTCCTGAGAAATCCTACTTGGTTTGCAGTACCCTCTTTAGCTAGGACTTTGTGGATTCTAGAGCATGTGGGTGTTTCAGATAACTCCTCACAGAACTTCCTCCACGATTGCTTTTTAGCCTTTCTTATCTCCTTGTTGTACTGCGTGAGTTTAGCCTTATATAGGGCCCAGTCTTCGGTTGATTTGGCTTTATTAAATAGCCTTCGCACTTCGCCTCTAAGGCGTTCCAAGCCTATAATAACTAGATAGGAAAGTCATGTGTTGGACACATCAGATTTTTTTAGATCATAATGATCTGCATAACTCTAAATAGTCAAAATCCACACTATTTAATTTCTTCTAATATTATTTTAGCGATATAAACTCCAATAATAAATATTTAATGTTTTTTGGGACGTTTTTTAGTAAAAAAAAAACCATTAATAATGTGATCTTGTTTAGTTTGTTCCTACATAATTTAGTTCATTAGGTAGTG